TCTGGATATTATTATTACAATAAAGTTCATATATTAAGAAATTGATGCCTCAAAAAGCTAGCATTTCTCAATATTCCTTTATAAGAAAAATCTGAGCTACCCAATGAGGAATATAAGGACTAGGGCTCCAAGTACTAATTGAGGCAAAGAACAAGACCACCAAAAGTACTCAAATAATTTATAAAAAATAATTTTTTAGGAATAAATTGATGATGAACCCAGGTTAGATGTCAATATTTTCAGAGGAGATAATAATAATAATAATAATAATAATAATAATAATAATTATTATTATTATTATTATTATTATTTGTGGTGTTATGGGGGTGGCCCATATCCGGCTTTGGGAAAGCATCGGTCTTTAAAGGGCGTGTAATTAAGGGGAATATATGAGGACATAAAATCTCCGTATTTAATATCCAATGAGGACGTGAGGGTTCGAGAAGGATCTCACGTCACGGGGTACGTCAGCATGAGAGTGGGACCCGCTTTTCACATGAACTGTTCCCCCACCCTCGGCCTGGCCCACTGGTCCGAGAGTGCGGCTTCCCCATCCCTGCCGGTGCTTGTCCCCTCGCCGTGGCAAGCTCGCTTCGTTGGTGTCGCCCCCACCGCCGACAACCCACACCCACAGAAAGACAGAGAGAGAGAGAGAGAGAGAGAGAGAGAGAGGAGCACAGCTTGCCTTATTTAAGTTCTCGATGAGGGGAAGGAAGCAAGGAAGTCGTTGGCCGGAGGAGGAAGGGACGGACCCACGAGATGGAGGCGAAAGGAGGAAGCTTTGAGAGAGAGTTCGAGACCCTCATGGCGACGGAGCTCACGCTGGGGCCGCCGGGGATGGCGGAGAAAGCGGCGGCGTGGTAATCACCTCCTCCTTTCACACATTTCCGTCAATCATGCATCCTAGAAGCATATTTCTTACGTGAGAATCGATCGCGCGAGCAGTTGCAGTGAAGACGAAATGGGTTGGTCGCCGGTGACATCCTACCGGAAGCGCAGTCTCCGGCGGGAGGGGGCGGCGCCGGCGGCGGCGGCGGCTGGGTACGTGAAGGTCGCCATGGAAGGAGCTCCCTACCTGAGGAAGGTTGACTTGGGGGTTTACAGAGGGTACGGCGAGCTCAGGGAAGCTCTGGAGAGCATGTTCGAGTGCTTCTCCGGCGGTGGCGCCGCCGGGTGGAACCAGGACGGCGGCTACGCGATCACCTACGAGAAGGGGGACGGCAGCGGCGCTGTGGTGGCGGGGGACGTCCCGTGGGAGTAGGAAACTCCTCCCCTTTCTTTTCTTTTGTTTGCCTTTACGGAGGGATTTGGAGTCTTCGTTATTGGTCATTGACGGAGGGTTCTTCCTCTTCGTCTGTGCGTGGTGCAGGATGTTTGCTTCCTCCTGCAAGAGGTTGAGGATAACGAAGGCCCATCGGGTCCTCCAGGGAGAGAAAGAGCGAGAGACGAGAGCGATGATCCGGTGGTGACAAAGACCCATCGGCCATCTCTCGTCCTGTGGCTTGGATTGGCCGAGCTCCACACCATGAACTCTCTCTCTCTCTCTCTCTCTTCTTCTATCCCTCCCTCCCTCTCTGCATGTCAGAAACTTGCACCAAGGAGGATGGGCTTCACCGGATTAACATGTGAAGCCACATCCGAACTCACCTCAATGTATTTTCCAAGCGATTTTGGCCATTAGATAATAGCAAAATATTTATTTATTCTTCAAAGGCCGGTCGGGCTCGGGCCTATCCCAGAAGAAGCCAGGCTGCGCCTTGATGGCAGAGAGAGAGAGAGAGAGAGATCCTGGGTGGGAAGAACAGACTATACAATCAGGAGATCTTGCATGATTTTCTTTGAGCAAGATGCCCTCCAGGATGCTTTCGTTAACTAAAGTGGGCACAAGAAACTACAGAATCATATCCGCATGGGATTTCCTCGAAGATCAACTCTTTTGGGTGGGTGGGTGCAGAGAGAGAGAGAGAGAGAGAGAGAACCCTGGTGGGAAGAACATGCTATATAATAAGGAGATCTTGCATGATTTTCATCGAGCAAGATTCCCCAGAGGATGCTCTCATCAACTAAATTGAGGACGAGAAACAACAGATCATATCCACATGGGATTGGGTGTTCTTGGCAAAGATCAGCACAATATTTAGTCAGAGAAAGTAGCGCTGTGATCCCTACTTTTTCTCATCACGAGCCCACATTGCAGCCTGTGAGCATGAGGAAAGGTGGATTTCCCAATGCCCAGGTAGATCCATGAGCAGTTGATGATCATCATGCCCTGACTCATAATATACTTTATGATCATCTCCAAGCTGGGCCTTTTCTCAGCTCTTTTGCCCCCTCTTCCTGAGGCTGGAGGCAGCATTTCCCCATGATTCCTGTAAAAGGAGAGAGAAACAAAGTGAAGGGGGATGAAATAAATCTAACTCCCATAGGACTAGGATTTGCTCTCAAGGCACAACAGTGGATTCCCATCTTTTCAATAAGGTAGAAAGCAGATGAACAACTGACCCTCAGAATTAAAATTTCCATATATGAACCTAGAAGATAAGAAAAATGCTCCCCAGAGTAGTATTACAGTCAGCAGTGGTCTACGATGAATGAACATGAATTCCAAAGAGAGACGAGAAATCCCAGTAGAGAGAGAAAGGGGGCCGGGGGGGGGGGGGGGGGAAGAAATGAACTCAAAGCAAGAACAAAGTCACCAATGTGGTTTCGACTACTATGATAACAGTTCTTGTCCTGGTTTTTCATGCAGATATGCAGAAGAGAATCTCAAACGTTAATTGGTGCCTTCCAAACCACCAATGAAAATTTGACACCATTTTGAATGCATTGATTGTATGGTAGATTACAGCTCAGCAATCCCAAAAAAAAAAAGAAATTAGAAAGTCCTGGGGGTGTGTAACTACATTTAGAAGACTTCATGGTTGCATAGAATTCTATCCTCTAAAAGCACTTTGGATGAATCGATTCAATTTTGCAGTATGAGAAGGAAACAATAATTCATTAAGAAATATCGAAGACCAGAAGAACAAGGTGGGAATGGAGTAAAGAAAGGATCAGCTATGTCTAGAGTTCCAAGGTTTCCACAGAAGTTTGAGATGAAAAAAATTTCAATGAATGAAAGAGGAGATGAATCATTACCACATGGGTGAGAGTGTGGATAAGAAGCCATTTTACGTTTTTTGAAGTAAAAAAAATTTAAAAGGAGATTAGTGAACATGCTGTTTTTGAGAACTAATAATGACCAAATATTAACAAAGGACTAGGGACTTCAATTTATTAAGCTTCGAGATAATATCATGTAAACAGAAGAGAAAAAGGCACAAAGGTGAGATAATAAATGTTCATGAAGTTGAAATATTCAGTTCCGAATAATTCTGACACAAATAGAGATTAAGGAAAAAACACAGCAGTTCCAGTGTCCGGCTTTCATGAAGAGTCATTAACGTAATGGAGATAAAAGATGCCAAGCATAGGGGGCCATGCATAAATCCTCTGTCTGAACCATCAACTTGAAGCCTACAGAGATGGTAAATAGGATAAAACGGGACAAAATCACTTCTTATATCTACTGAAGTATACAAAAAAGGAACTAGAATCCTTTATACAATTATTTTTTTTAAGCATAAGACCAAGTTAAGCGTTCACAACTGACAAATAAAATTCAAGAGCTTGCAAGTGTATAGAAATTTATATATACAGAAACTCGTCTGTGCGTTTGCACCTAAAACAGAACCAACCTAACTGTGCCTCATTGACTGAGGTGTTTGCCAACTTCTAGAAAGAAGGTTCAGAATTTAATCATACAATTATTAAAAAATAGTGCCGAGTCTTAACATAATTGTGCAGAAAATCTAAGATGCCTCTGGATCTTGAGTCTTAAAAAATAGTGCTCGCAAAACAGCTGACCTTGAGCAGTGCCCTCCGGATCACGTCTTTCAGTCCCAATTTTTTTAATAATGATTCATTGTGTAGGAGATGTCTTCCTCATTCTAATCCAAGATTTTACCACATTACCATGTAGTTGGTACCAGACAAGGGGCGGTATGATATAATAATTACTTAAAAATATGAAGCATGTTGTACATAAACAGCTTTTCCAACGAAAACTAGACAACTCATATCTGTGTCTAAGCACAAAGGGAATGTCCAAAGCAAAGAGAAGAAAAAAAAAAACTCCAGCTTACATAAAGTAGATTTAAGAATCTATGTAGAACAAGACAGATGGGGGCGGAACTAAAACCAGACCATTGATTAGGTAGACAATTGTGATTATTCCCAATGGAGGGCCTCATAAAAAGATTACCTTCAGAAATGTGATAGATCACTGCCATGAATGAACATGGAAGGACTTGTGTTATTTGATTGGAAAGATCTCATCTTGGAATCCAATTTTGCAAGTTGGGACTTCACCCAGGGTGGACTGTATCTGCCTTCTATCCACAAAGCCTCCCCAGTATGCTTGTGCTTGAAATCTGGATATTTAGGATTTTTCTGAAAAAGGATAAGCCCCAAACAACAGTAGGTAGACAGAATGAGCCAATTATTCCAAAAAGTAGAGTATGGATTATCTAAGAACAAAGCTTTTCAAGGTTTCCAGAATATTCTAGGGTCAAGTGATTGATAGAAAGTCAGAAGAATATAAAATTCCATCTTTCACCGCAGAATCTTCATAAGAGCCCAAGAAAGAAGAAAACAATCAGCAAAAGTTTGGTACTCAGTGTCAGCAAATTACCCTATAACCTTACATCTTTACTGACCAAGAAATTGTTCTATAGGCTGCAGTTTAACAGAGCAAAGGCGTTTATTAGGCATTGGGCTTCTAAATAAATTCTGATGGCCCCTACATTTAGAGCAGGTTGCATGGACACCTCTTCTAGGCAATAGTCTGGATCTAAGTGACACCTTTAAGTGTGTTTACAGATGCAAAAGTGAATCTCAACTCTTTCTATTTATGTGGAAAGACCCAGAAATGTAAAGCCACGAACATTATGCACATACATGCACGAAAATATATGCACCTTTAAGATCCCTACAACATAACCAAGCCCACGGCTTTAATGAGACAAGTTTAGATGGTGATCAGAAAGAGTAAACACACGTTGAATAATTATTTAGTCCCATAAAACATTCCTATTGTTATCAATTAGATCCACTGTGTCAGAAAATAAGCAAATGGCGTACATGGTTTTCTCATATACCCAACACACTGACCTTGTTCTTCCGATTGTCCCACCAATCCACGGGATTAGCAAAGAATGCCTGCCATAATTCTTCAGGAGAACTGCCCTGATTGCTCGCATAATTTCCCACCCTCCCACCTGCAGACACAGAATGTAAGGCAAATGTAACATTCCACATACGTATCACCAGAATGTGGGCAAACTGTTCGTTATCTTCACCAAACGAAAGTCATGAGAGAATCACCTTTGCTCGGAGAGCCTGAATCTGGCTCATATAATGGCACCTGTGGTAAGTTCCTCTCGATGAAATTCAGCTGCTGAACGACCACCTTCGATTCAAACACAGAAAATAAATCATACACAGAAAAACACAAAAAGAAGGTGCGATATGATATGAAGCAAGAAACTGGAAGACCAGAAATCCACCTTGTAATAGACTTGCCGCTTGCTGTCATCGCCTTCAACAGAATCCGACACGAGCCGGCCAGAGACATATATCTGCTGACCTTTCTCTACGTGCTGGAAGGCAACGTGGGCCAAATCATCCCACAGTGTCAGGCTAATCCTGAGACATACATCAAAGGAGCTACACATCAACGAAATGCCACAACCAGAGCAACAACCAGTTTGCCATCACTCGCCAGTCCTCCAATATATCCAAAGGGGGGGGTTGTGGAGGCCTCAGTCGATACATACCAGGTCGTCTCGGTGGAGGAATTCTTAACGCCAAGGCGCGTCCACGCGAGGACCTTGCCACTACTTACGTACTTGATCTGCACGGGCGTTCCGACGACGCCGATGAGGTGGACAGTGTTGGCGATGTCCTTCCGCCAAGGTATCGTCGCTGGTTTTGGATGAACCACTCTCTCATGCTCGAAGTCCAATCCCCTCTGCGCCACTCCCCCGCCGCCTCCCTCAGCGGAGCATCTCATCCACAGCCGACGGGAGCATCCTCCGCGCAGAGGAGAAAAAGCCTGATCAACCGAAGAAGAAGAAGAAGAAGAAGAGGCGCAGGGAAGGAGACGAGGATTAGGGTTTCTGAGAAGGGAGAAGCGGGGTTTAAGGATCAGCGGCGCCCCCGCCATCGCCGCGGCCATGGTTTCTCCTCGCCGGCGAGCCGACGTCCTACTTCTGGTAGAAGATAATACGATGGAATTTCGGATCCTTTATCGGACACATTAACGGCGTCAAAATGGGTCGTTCCGGTCCAATATCTAGGCATTCTTCAATATCGGATCCGGCTTGTGAGCTGTGTAATATATAAGGGTGGATTCAAATCAATTGGGTATTTTTACATATAAAAATAATATTTGGAATTTATGATTTATATAAATGTTTTTGAGGATTTATGAGAAAATGCCTAGTTTTTTTTTAAGCCTCCGGGTGTGTTCCTCTTCCTCCAAACGAGCTCCTTCTCCTCGCCGCCATGTTTGCTCCGGCGGCTCGGCTCGCCACCAGGCGGCTGCACGAGATCCGACGCGTCCTGCGGCCGCCGGCGCAGGTTCGGGAGGCAGTTCCTCGCTCATTGCGAGAAATCCTCATATTGTGGCTTGTCTCCCTCTTTTGAGGTTCTGATTTATGGGGTTTCGGTTTTCTGCAGGCCTCACCATTGGCCGCCTTCTCGAGATCCTTCTCCACCGCTCTTAATTACGTGAGTTATTCAGTTTTATCTTTTTTATTTTTTGCCATCTGGATTCGGTCTCATTGTTAGATTGGTGGTTCTTGTTCTCCCTTGTATTTATGAATTGATATCATCTTTTCTGTCTCTGATGGAGGGGATCATTGGCGCATGCAGCACCTTGACTCGCCTGATAATAAGAGTGACATGACGTGGGAGTTCTCAGAGGCTAACATGGAAAGGGTACGTAAATTTGAAAATCGCCAACATTTCTGTTGTGTTAAGTTCTGACGCTTTTGTCGTACGATGAGCGAATTTTTGCAATCTCATCCCTACGTAAGTTAAGTTTGTACCGACGACCTAAGGATCCATGTTTTTGACCTCGGAACGAGATACCTTATCAATCTAAGGGTAGTAGCTGCTTACCTTCATCAAATAGATCACTAGAGATCGGTGGAGAGAGAGAGAAACGGGGGAGGATGGGGGATATGCTTTGCACGAGATACCATAAGCTGCAATGGAGAACTTATTCTTTCCTTTTGTGGGCTTATATCCCACGTGAGATCTTTCGTACGTGTCTTCTATTTGTTGTTGATGCTATAGTTCAGCGAATTAAAGGTTGTCTCAGGACTTTGAAGTAGGCCATTGTGATGTTTTCGTATGGATGGTACCATGTTCTGATATTAATTCCATCCTTTCGAAGCTTTTAAATGTCGGATTAAAATCTAGAAGTTCTATTTTGGAAATTAAGCCACGAGAGTGGAGGAGATCCCGTTGTTACTTTGGATCGATTAGTGTTAAAGCATCTCGTTCTTTCAACTTTACTCTATGCGGTTGAATGAAAAAGCGGTGTGTGCTTCCTGAAGTTGACTAGTTTTAGTTGACAATGTTGGCCATTTAACAGTCCATGTAGTCATTTCCTAGACCAATTATTATGAACATTCGGAAGATTTGTAATCAATTCGTTTGGCTCATTTTTAAAAGAATGAAAAAAGGCTGATGATATTACTGTGATTCGGATCTTGATAGATTATCCCCTTGCAGCTGTTCTTCAAACGGAATAAAGACAATGGACAAGTCATTTTGAGCTTGTTTTTTTTCAGTGGATCACCTAGATTAACAATGGACACAGACTAGGAAAGTTACATCTGTGGACCCTTGATACCATGCTCTCTTACATTATGAAGGGTTTTCTCATCTTCGATGCCATGCAACTCCTGACGCCATGAGCAGGCATTAGTGTTCTCATTCATCTATTGAACCTCGGGCCTACCAAATTGAATGCACCCACCTGCTAGGTAGTCTTGATATTTTTTCTTTTTTCTATGGCGATGTACGTCAATTATTTCACCTACATTTCCCTACTGAGATGGAATTTCCATCAGCCTTTTCCCTACTGAGATTTTCATCAGCTGAGGTCCCCTTGTCCATCCTGCTAATGTTTCCTGTTTCTTCTTACTCTAGCTGTACCGAGTTTCCTGTGTTTTTGGCGGATGAATCATGGTCTAATAACAGACTCATGAATCTCACATCTCCTTGACTTTGCCCATGCTTTAGTGTGCACTAGACATTGTCAAGCCTGTGGTGTATTTGAGACTTACGTTTTACGTGCTGAGCGCCTTGTTCAATGGTGACTGGTGTATTGTAGGTTGTCTAATCCTTGAGGATAATCTAGGATACTATTCGTCACCGGTGTCTAGTGGTTGATCCCATTGTTTAATTGCTGATGATGTCTGATAGTACTAATAATGTTCCAATAAGCTGTTTCTTGCGCAATGGGGTGTGTGTGTGTTCTGAATCCTTGACGAGGTTGAATGGATTTTTCAGGCATATAATTAGTGAGCCTATAATTGCTATAAATCATATTCTGAGGATTGCCATTGATTTCAATGCGGTATAATTCAACTAGTACAGTTGGTATCTTTATACTATCCCCAGACACATGCTTCTTTAATGATAAAACATGATGGCTGCGAAACAGCAAGGCTTGTCAAAGGATCTATCTTTTTGGATATTCACTGGCTAATTGACATGAAGCTATCACTGGCAGAAGTAAACCAGAACGCCAAATTCAATGGGGAGCTTCACTCGTCTTCCTAGCAAATTCCCTCCTTCTGACCGAACAACCAAAAGGGTCGTTTTAAGCAACTTTGTCTAATCAACACGGTTTTTTCTATGGAGATAGTAGCATCAGATCTGATCGTCTCACAGATATGAACTTCCCAGCTCATCTCTTTCTTGAAAACCTGCTGTTATGCTTTAGACAGCCATACAATCTTTCTGCTTTGCGCTTTTTATTACACTCTGTTGACTGACATGGTGATTGTATAAATCTCAAGGAAATCTACTAAAATATGAAAAGCATAGTGAATGACGTTTTAGGAGTCAAGTGAACATTAAAAATAAATGCCATACATACTATGCCGACATGTGTTGTAGAGCTTAGGGTGAGACAAGGTGAGCCTCTTTTTTATTGGGCTGGTTGGATCTGCCTATGTTTTGTTTTATCAGATGATCATCATGATCCAATTGTTTTGTAGTCAACATTAAAGTGCGCGAATGTATCAAATTCAATCTTGCAATCGATTGGTGTTTCTTGCAATCTTCTTTATGTTCCCTGTTCAGTCATCAGATTACCTTTGCCCTGTTGAGTTGGATATCTACTTATAATCTTGTAACATGTTGCGTAGTGATTCTGTTCTATTTATTTTTTATCTTGAATCAAATGATGAATTGTACTATCAAAGACATTTTTTGAAAGTGTTATAATTTTTCTTCTTCATGAGTTTCCAGGTCAAAGAGATTTTGTCTCACTACCCTTCCAACTATAAACAGTCTGCTGTCATTCCCCTGCTGGATCTTGCACAGCAACAACATGGGGGGTGGCTACCAGTTGCAGCAATGAATGCGGTATGCCTACGTATTTATTCACTTACGTTCTTTACACCTGAGTTTTTATCTTTGAAAAGAGAAGTTTTAAGGCTGGTGTTGCATTACGTACATGAACGTATGTAAATCTTTTAAAAGGTAGTAAGGTTGCTACTTCCTGATAAATAAACCTTAGATGAGATAATGTCAGGTGGAGGTTCAACTGATTATTACTAGAAATAGAAATTCTCAGGTAAATTAAACTAAAACTGTCCTCCGATGAAGATTTGGCAGATTATCACCTTTCGTTTTTGTTAAAAGTGCCCAATTTCCAACAGAAAGAGTGTATTACATGGTTTTCTGTAATTCCCTTTGAAAGCCTGAAATTATATTTGCCAATTATAATCCTTTAGTGAACGCTGAGTCTTTTTTTCAGTATAAAGATGAGATTTCTCTCGACTAATCGGAAAAGTTAGGGTGAAATGAACTCCATGTCTCGGTGCCCTAGGGATACCCAAGCATCCAATTATCCAATTGGAACCGTCAAAACTTTTCCATGAAATCTGATCGATTGGTCTGCCTGGCGTTCTGATCTATTACATGCACAAGTTTATCAGTAAGCATTTTAGTCATTATATTATGAATCTCATGTTCTAAATTGATGGACCTAAATTCTCATTTCTTTCTGCTTATTATTTTGGTCAATCACTACTAGTGACATAAATTGAACTATTTACATGTGTAAGATATTTAATTGGTTTAATGAACGCCATGAATTATAACTTGGCTGGACTTCAGGGAGCACAAATCTTTCTATTGCTATTTATCAGTCTTTTCACATTAATTCTGCCTACATTCTGGTACCTCATTTTGTTTAACATTATATATTGTTTAATTCCGAATCATACTAGCCTAGATTTGACTTTCATTATTTTTCTCATATTCCGTATATCACTAAGACACCATCTGCTTTCTCTCCCATGAACGATTGAATAATAACAGATAGCTAAGGTCATAGAAGTTGCTCCAATCAGAGTATATGAAGTTGCCACATTTTATTCAATGTTCAACCGGACAAAGGTTGGTATTCAGGTTCTTCTTTTAGTTTTTAATTTCATCCATTCACAAAAATAAATAAAAAACAGATGCATTTTTAGTTCTCACTATTATTATACTGCAAAGGTTGGTAAATATCACCTCCTCGTATGCGGAACCACTCCTTGTATGATACGTGGTTCACGGGACATAGAAGAGGCATTACTGAACCATCTGGGTGTCAAGCGGAATGGTAAGCAGCCCCATGCAACTCGGATTACGTTTATCTTTCTTAATGAAGAATGGTAAGAGGCATTTTTCAGTTTATGGTCAATTGCTGAACTGGTTCTCTTTGTTTTCTTTTCTGGCAGAGGTGACGAAAGATGGCTTGTTCTCTGTTGGGGAAATGGAGTGCATGGTCAGTTTGTAGGCCATTACATTACTTACGATTCCGAATCTTTCCATTTCTGCCCAGTCCAGGACTCTTGTGATCTTCATTCCATTCCATTTAGATGAGAATATTACAATATACAATTTATATCTGAAAGCTGAAGGGGAGTTTCTACTTGACCGTTGATTTGTACAGGGATGCTGTGTAAATGCTCCAATGATGGCAGTGGCCGACTACTCCAAGGGTTCAGAAGGCTACACCTACAACTACTATGTCAATTCCTGATCCTAATCTATTTTAGTGTTACCTTTTTTAGAAAATATGACTGATTTCTTGCTCCCTTTTTCGGAAGTCGGCCTGGTTTATTGACAAGGAATCTGCTCCTCCTCCGTCATTCCTGACTGGTGCGCATTTGTCTGTGTGGTTCAGGAAGACATCACCCCAAAGAGAGTTGTTGAGATCGTCGAGATGTTGAGAAGAGGAGAAACTCCACCTGTAAGTCTCTCATTTTTCCTCTAAATAGTAATAAAAAAAATAAAGATTCTCCCGTTTGAACCCCCCCCCTCTGCTTCTGCAGGTTGGCACACAGAATCCCCTGCGTGTGAGGGGCGGGCCTGCCGGGGGAAACACTACTCTGCTTGGGGAACCAAAGCCGCCGCCATGCCGGGACTTGGATGCCTGCTGAATTTAACAAAATGGCCTCAGTAGTGAAGGCTGCTTCATGGGTGGGTTCCATGCGCCTTCGTGAACAGAGAGCTAGTAAATTTATGGTGTGTTGTTCTTCCATGTCACTAGAACTCCGCTTTCCCCATCTCAGCTCGCCGATGGAATCACCGGAGAGTTTTTCTATCTGGTTTCCGTGACAGGATAACCAGCTGGGTTTGACTCAAATAATCCCCAATGGCAACAGGAAGATTGCTATTTTTGCTCCCTATTCTGGTCAATGCCTTTTCCTCTCTTATTATTTTACGATTGCATTGCTACAGGAGACTGTGATGTGCAGGGGAGCTCTGCTGAAGGTATGCACCGCCATTTTGTCAACTGGTTGGTCAACCTCATTGGTCAACCCCAATCTGATATTTTGCTCTGGAGGCTTTGAGCCAGCCATGCTCTTCTCATCTAGAAACAGAAAAATCCTGGAGGTTGTGAGATGAAGGACGGCCTGAGTCAGTCTGATCTTTGGACCATGAAGATGAGAAAATTTCTGATGTTTTCCACAGGTAGGAGGCCCTGTTGCTTCTGGTCAGATGGGACTCATTAGGTCACTTTGAAGGCGCGATAATCTAGGGTTTCCTGATGATGATATAGGCTCTCACCAGATTAGCAGCCTCCAAATGAGGACATGGGTCCTTGAATTCAGTTGCTTTCTTGGGCTTTTTTTAGCAATTAACACCACTCCAGGATTATGCCCATTTTAATTTTGTAGGACCCACATTTTTATTTTGTTTTGGCCGTGGGATCAGAGTTGACTTTCTTCCTGGAGAATTATTAGTGATAAACCTCGAAATTATTTGGGGAGGGGGGGTGTCAACCAATTTTATTGACTCTGAAGCCAGACCAAGCAAGCGACAGGGTCAACCAATTTTATTCTCATTTTTTATTGACGGAATTTTTCCCTAATTGGAAATGAAATGACGACAACTCTGAGAGAATATTAAGCAACAGGCGTTTGGCACAATATAATATCATATAAAATATTAGTCGCTTATATTTTTCAATCTAGAACCAGATTATTTTGTTTTATATATAAATGCTCTCCTTGCAACTTATCATGATGTAATAACTACTTAAAATTAGAAATTGAAGCCTCGTGAAAATCATTTGGTTATTATTAACCAAAATTTTGAGGCCATAATTATGAATGTCATTTCGCATGTATTTATTATGGGGAGAAGCTATGGGTGTTGGCGGGTTGACTTTCTGCAGGTTTTGGTGTCCTAAAGAGTTTATCCGCTGGCTCTACTTGGTTCAACTAGAGTTAGAGCTGGGGTTACGGTTAGAGAGAGAGAGAGAGAGAGAGAGAGTCTTGTAACTTGAGCATATTTCTTAAAATTGGGGGATGTGAATAATATGTATCATCCATCTCTCTGTCTCTGTCTCTGTCTCTCTCTAAACAACAGATAAATGTCATTACAGATAAGAGCTGGTCCTCTATATAAACCAATCCAAGAGAGCTAGGGAGAGACTACCTACCATGAGCTGAAAAACTGGACCCTAGACTTTCAGGTCGATCCAGCTCTGTAATGTTCTGTCTACACCTCTTTTTCAGGCCCAAACTCATTAAAAACTTCAGGCTCATCTCTGGGATCATTTGATGCACCAAGACCCATTAATGCAATTAATCCAAGACTAACACTTACCCTTTGTGCAAAATCTTAGGAGCATTATAAACGCAAAAAAAAAAGAAAAAAAAAGAAAAAAAGAGCTCTGATTTCCTAGAACATTTTGTTAATCCTCAAACGATGGACCTAATGTTGAAGTTGTGGAGACAAGGATTGGATCTGGATCCACCTCTTGAGACTTGTATACCAGACGGGGAAGAACACAAGAAGATCACTCAAATCATATGGCGAACCAAAGGTGGATCACTATCTTGAGGCTTGGGGAAGACAGGAAGATCGAAGAGCTATCTGTCACTCAAATCAGAAGAGGAACTGGAGTTGGGTATTCTTTTGGCACAAAAGGGTGGCTAGATCTGAAATCATCCATATCAACTCATTTCTAATTCAAGAAATTAAAAACCCAAGGAAAAAAAGGCACCACTGACCGTAGGAAATTATTTATGCTAACCATACCAGGCACAGGCATAGAAGAAGGCCATGAATCTCCCTCAAGCATATTAATCGTGGGAGGAGTAAGCAGCCAGTCCGTATTTTTACAACAAGAGACAAACAATAATATGCTACGGAAGCAAAATCACTGAGTACAGAAGACCCTAAAAATGACCTGATCTCACGCGCTCTCCTTCGTGCCAGAGGATTCGAGCTCCTTCCCATCTTTGCTGCTCACTTCTTGGGGGTTTTCAGCAGCAGTCAAATCAGGTTCCTTCTTCAGCTCTGTTTCAAACTCCTTGGCTGCCTGAGAATTGGGAATTCAAGTAAAGATCAGGGTCAGATGGAACTTCCCGGCAGAACACAAGGCTTGCACAAAGCAATCTAAGTGGTGGAAATATGAAATATATACAAAACAGGAACACTTTATTGCCTATGGGACCACTGATTACAGAATATGCATTCATCTCTGTGGGAACATGTTTGAGAACCTGTCCACCAGATAAAGATGTTTGAAATTCAAAATCAGATAAAATGAAATCAGAAATAGTAAGTGAGAACAAAGAACACATCCTGTGAGGGACCTTTGTCGTCAAAGTTGAAATTGGGATTCAAATGATAGCAAAAAAAGTTTGAATTAAGATGTAAATCAAGCAAATCTAAGATAAACTGCGTTTTACCCATTGATGGGCTGCTTTGTGTACTTCAATCTAATACAGAATGGGATTGGATCTGGCTTTTAATTGAAGATCAGATCATGATTAATCCAGCATTATTGAAGATCGGACTCAAGCCGTGTTTGGGGCCAGAGAAGAATGTAGGGAGACTCAGCCATGATAAGGAGTGGAAGCTCAAGGCTAAATGAGGATAAATGCAAGAGGTTCATCATCCTCAATGTGATCATGAAGAGTAGAATTCAAAGGATACGGGAAAAACGCCAATTCCCTCTAAGCGGTCAACATAAGGCTCCAATTAGAGCTTCTCTTATTTATAGGTAATTTCAACAAAATAATTTAAAAACTTGTCCCTCGGATTATGCCCTACGAAGAACAAAACAATAAGATTATTTTCCTCATCTTGTGCAGCAAGAATTTCATACAATCATGGCACTGCAGACTTCTCAAAATCTGACTACTTATCTCAATCTATTTACATTGCACAAAAACACATTACTTGCAAATTAATCATCCATTTTAACAGTATCATTCATCCAAATAGCAGTCTTATACAAAGGTTTTGAACCATGGTGCAAAGGAAATGAAAGACCAAAGTATGATTATGACATAGAAAGTTGACAGGTTCAGGATAATCCTCCTAGCCTATTCACTCACTAGTGAAATATAATGATAAGGTTTAGAATATTTCTAGACGATCCAATATCTCTTTGTCCCATTTGTTCTACCCATCTTCAGATATAAAGTGTGAAATAAATTCTGGATTTTTTCCCTATTTGCATAAGCTTCGCATAATATTAGATCATACTCTATGCTAAACATCCCCCAATTGAGAAGACTTATATCCACTCCTCATGCAAAAGTCTCACCGAATCTCTGTTCTTATCACGTACCCAGTTGTGTGACTCAAGATATGCACATGAAAATGTCAACAGAAGTATAGAAATTTAAACGGAATCCAGTAAACCGTGGAATATCTAAAGACACAGAAAAACTAAGGATTTAATACAAAATACTGTGATATATTGACTATGAACTACCTGGGAAAAAAAAAGCCATAGTGTGGTAGGTCGAATGTAATGTTCAAAAATGTCAAAGGAGAGCTCTTCTCTTTTAAGGCAATCTCACATCTTCAGCTCTGGGAATAACAGACTGGAATTTTGTAGAATGGAAAGACTGACAATACCAGATCAACATCCCATCTTCACTCGACCTCAGTTGATGTGCATCCATTCTACAGCTCCTCAAAATTCACACCTACGTCTCAATGACAGACAGGGAGAGCTTATATTCCCAAGAGGCTGACTTTATCTCGCATCGGCAAGTTAGGCAATAATCAAACCGAGCCCCCTCTCCTTCTACTCGTAATTTATGTTACCAAGCACAGGAATCCGGTTGACATTCTTGATAACCCAAGCAGTACCGCAGGAGAGTTCCATCAATATATACGAGTAGAAGCTGTAAGAAACTGTCAACATATTTCCATCGCCTCCATTCAATGCTCTCTCGCTAACCCCCAAGCCATAAAGTATAATTATGATGAATCCGACTACTGAACTCTCAATGACGAGATAAACAGAGAAAAAAGTTGGCGGATAGCCTTAGACCGGATTGATGTTACATACAAGTTTTATTTCCTTCACTGGATGCCCTAAGCAGGATGCGATTCTTTCCGCTGATTCCACCGCTTCAAAAATTGCGTGTAAACAAAAAATAAAGCTACTCGACAGCCTCAGCAATACGCTAACAAGTGCGAAACATTAAACGAGAAATCAAACGACGGGGATCATCTCAAGGGACCTGCTGAAAGCTCTTCACAGTCTTCCCGATCCCGCGCCCAATTTCCGGCAGCTTCTTGGGGCCGAACACCAGCGCGGCGACCCCAGCAATCACGACGAGCTCGGGAACGCCGAGACCAAAGAGGCAGCGACATCCGAGACCTCCCGGGGGCGCCGCAGTGCCGACTCCACCACGTGCTCTCCTGGCCATCGAGCGCATCGCCATTCCTGAGCTCGAGACCTTCCCCCCGCCATTGCCGCCGACGAGGAAACCCGAGCACCCCGACCGCAGAGGGGAATAGTAGAAGCAAGAGGAAGGCGACGGAGCAGAGGAGGACACCTTTGCGGGGAGCGAGCACCCCAGCACAGACGCAGAGGCGACGGCCATCATCTTCCTTTTCCTCTTCTTCCTCTCCTTCTTCGTCTCGCCACTACTGGAGGGAGGGAAGTTTCTGGATTCCTTTCGTTCCCAGTGATGTAAGGATGACCGTCGATTCTACAGATTTGGCCCCCGAGTGAGGAATCCAACGGCTCCCATTGACCAGATCCCAACAAACTTATCCGCCTGATTCCTTTCCCCCCTATCCTTTTACACAACAAAATTTCCCAAATTCGTCCGGAAGTCATGCTCCCGGACGCCGCGTTTGGAAGAAGGCCCCCGGGGAATCGATTTCATACCCCTCCTACAGGCCCGGATATCTGCTGATGTTATTGGGCCCACTTCTCATTACCCCCTCTTTCCACGGCCCACGATTAAAGTCTCCGATTCCGGCCTCTACCATAGCCTGCCTTTAAGCGATGAGCCGAGAGAGAGAGAGAGAGAGAGAGAGACGACTCATATTCTAAGCCTTCAATGCAACACCCACACAGTGAAGCGGCAAGGTAGGGTTGACCTGCCCATTATCCTGGGGGGGTGAGCCCAGAGCTGAAACAGAAAGAGGTAGAGAAACAAAAAGACAGAGATAGAGAAACAGAAAGAGAGAGAGAGAGAGAGAGAGAGAGAGAGACGCCTCATCTCCTAAGCCACAAAGTGAAGCTGCAAGACGAAACAAGGGAGGGGGGAAGGGGGGGGTTGACCTGCCCATAGCCCAGAGCTGAGCCACCAATATAGAGCGAGAGAGAGAGCGAGAAACCTCGTACCCTATAGCCTTCAATGGAACATTCGAGATAAACAGGGGGGATTGACCTGCCCATTAAACTGGCTCCAACTAGTACTGACTCTATACTATGAAATTACTCACATCACATTTATATAACGATCGATTAAGAGAGCCTACAAAACAGAGGACCATACAGAGATTGGAGATCAAGCAAACGGCAGCGCCTTCACACCGCCCGGTGGCGGGGCCTCTTGGGCGACCTGCCGCCAGGCAGATCGCGGGGCGGCGCGGGCCTCCCCTTCGCCTCGCCGTCGGTCCTCTCCTTGGCAGCCCCACCGGCCGGCCGGAGCTTCCGCCGGAGCTCCTCGGCATGGCGCGACCACAGGGCCTCCCTCTCCTTGCTGGGCATCTTTGAGTATCTTGGGTCTGATCGGAGGAGGTTCTTCGCCTCAGACCAGGAGCTGAGGACGGTCTTCCCACTGCCGCCACCGTCGGCAGCGGCGGCATCCGCCTTCTCGGCAGCTTCAGGCGTGATCACCTCCGACAAGAGGGTGCGGTAGTCTCTAGCGCAGCGCTGAGAAATTTCACCCCCCAAAAAAGGAAAGAAAAAAGAAAAAGAAAGGGAACGGAGGTCGGTTAATGGTAGCCAATATGGCGAAACAATGATTGGCATGATGAGCATGCCATAAAAATATAATGGGTAAGCGCCAATGTTTCCATGCCATAAAAAGATCTAATCTTTAATCAGCATGGGGATGATAACCCATAAATAGAGATCGCCCAGATGCAGGAAGAAACTGGGTCAGCTTCCTCAGATGCAGGATGAAACTGGGTGAGATGCAGTTGAACATACATGCATGATTTTATTCACTAATCCAGGGATGAGAATCAGCATCACTGAAGACTGACTGATAAGGAGCCATTAAAGCAAAGCGCAGAAAGGTTACCTCATACAGGTTCTTCACATGCTCCCGGAATAGCTTCTCCATGTCGGCCTGGTCCAAATCAGGGTTCTTGGCGCGCCCCTGAGGATCCTTCTCCAATTTTGGCTTGGATTCAGTCCACGATGCCTAAGAAAGAGGACCAAAACGGACGATTACAATAGAGGGAAGGAAGGACATAACGAGCTAACCATTATCTTCCAGAAAAGATGAAAAATATTAGATCATGGGTCAGAAATGGAAGAACACTCTGGGATGAAAAGGAGCATATATATACAGGGATAATATCTCCCACGGATGCATGAATATTAATGAAAATAGCAACCATGCAGGAATTTTTATGTTCCAGAAAAGATGAAAATATTAGATCATGGGCCAGAAATGGAAGAACACTCTGGGATAAAAAGGAGCATATATACAGGGATAATATCTCCCACGGATGCATGAATATTAATGAAAATAGCAACCATGCAGGAATTTTTATGTTCCAGAAAAGATGAAAATATTAGATCATGGGCCAGAAATGGAAGAACACTCTGGGATAAAAAGGAGCATATATACAGGGATAATATCTCCCACGGATGCATGAATATTAATGAAAATAGCAACCATGCAGGAATTTTTATGTTCCAGAAAAGATGAAAATATTAGATCATGGACCAGAAATGGAAGAACACTCTGGGATGAAAAGGAGCATATGTACAGGGATAATATCTCCCACGGATGCATGAAGACTAATGAAAATAGCAACCTTGGCATCTTTAATCTTTTCCACAAGTAAAGCCTGATATGAAGATTCGGCCTCCTTTCTACGAACTCTCAATCTCACAGCCTCCATTTCCTGTTCCTCTCTCTGCTTTTTCTTGCGCATTTCTTCCTCCCTCTTTTTTAACTTTTCCTGAACATGAAAGAAAAAAAGCAAACAATTAAAGAATCGGCAGCGAAAATCCAATCATTTTAAGCTAATATTACGATGTAAATTATAGAAAATACAAGGCAAAAGCACACAAGAAAACAATTCCGGGCTGCATACTTGCTCCTCTATTTTGGCCTTCGCAGCAAGCTCAACTTCTGCTTCTGCTGCCTTCAACTCTGATATGTACTCATTAAAGAATGCCTCTCTATCCTCACGCTTGACAGATCGATACCTTAGATCATCCCTCAAGCTATCCTTGACCTAAGCATCATGGAAAATAAAGAGAGACAGGGTAAATATATGGATAAAGCATGGATAACTGTACAAAAATATAAATCAAAGACACGCTTGTCAGCCCCTTGGATTTTTCTCACACACAAGAAGTTCCCACTTCAATGTTTTACATGACAAGTATAGCCTGTGCGGATGCTAAGGCCTGTCAGACCCATAGCAGAAAGAATTTAACAGGCCTACAGTCAATAGAGAAGAAAGAACCTTTTTTTTTTATCTTTTTCCCTTTAATGTTTGATGCGCATAAAGGACAATCCAACTGGATATAATATCCTGCGTGGCCTCCCTTGTTCAGTCATCTTTAGCTTGAACCAGAGCCCAAGCAAAGATATTCAGAGCCCTTTTTAGGTGATATCCACAAAATTTTGAGCACAGAGTAAAGAATTTTCTGCATCCTTATAGCGGACTCCAACCAGAGTTATTTCATGAAAGGTTACAGCGACGCTAAGAAATGATAAAAAAACTGAAGGTATACTCACATAGATGACGACAATGTTAGAGTTTGAACTCGATGGCTTGAGGACAACCACAACAAGTACATTTGTGGAAACCAAAGGGCATATATTTTTGCAAATTTAAATGGCCATCAATTGGTTGAGAAGAGTATCAAATTCTGAATAAAAACATTTAAAATTTTAGTTCAGACTAGGACACAAATATTGTACGAAACACTTCTCAACCAAATGGGACATCAATAAGGAGATAAAATCTGCAATGAGTAGATGTGATAGTGTGACCCCAATGAGTGATGTGGTCATGGGAGATGAATATTCACTTCTTCATGCATGGTTAGTGGATAAGTAAAACGTTCAGTGATGAACGGCAGTTAAAAGAAGAAGTAGATAAATCAATAAGAAAATAGATTCAACAAGGTGTTAATATTGTGTTGAAAATTCAGAGAGAGAGTTACCTTTGGCAGTGGCAGGTATTAATGCATTGACCAGTTCATCAATGTCAGCTCCAGCAACCATTGATGCCCATCATCACATTGACATCAGGGAGCACGACCTTGAACTCGACATAGTGCATAAGGGCCATGTTCTTAGACAATGTCGTGTATGGTGCACCGTGGTGCAAGAAGATGGCTGTAGCACTTAAGAGTTCCTCAATGTATGCATCAATGGTTTTTTTCACTCAATTAATAAGGTATGTTGCTTTAATGTGCATGTTCAAGAACTAAGTGTATAAGAGTGATGATGGGACGACGGTGAGTCGAGAGAGCATCGCCTTGACAACCCTTTGCTAACTACCTCAGTAAGAATTGAGTCAAGGTGGAGCATGATGACAGGCGTGACCTTAGGGACTTGATTGATATATTCATCAGTTATCTTTTCAAGTCTCACATTCTTCACATATTTTGGGCTGAGCCCAGTGCTCAAAATTAATTTGTTGTTGACAAAGTGGCTTAAGCAGTGGATGGCCATCACTAGTATCCTATGCAACTTGGCCAGCTTAGTTGTCTTTAAAATCATACATGCTACTTTGACTACATAAGCTTGAATGTTGACTTGGCCGACATAATGATTCATCATCCACTAATTAAACTTGATACTTAATGCTACTAATATTGATTGATTCATTAATATGTCGAGAACACTAATGACGAGATCAAAAATCTGATGGCTTTAGTTAATAATGACACATCAGTAAATCAATTACTATTAGTAGCACTAAACACCAAGGTCAATTAATGGATGGTGAATCACCATGTCAGTCAAGCTGTCATTCAAGCCTATACAACCAAGGTACCGTGCATGATTTTCAAGGCAACCAATCCTGCCAAGTTGCACAATGACCTAGAGACGACCATCCACTGCTTAAGCCATTTTGTCAACATCAAATTATTCTTGAACACTTGTCTCAGCCTAGAAAACACAAAGTATATGAAACTCATAAAGATAATTAATGAATATATCAAATGAGTCCCTAAGACTACGTGTGGCATCATGCTCCACCTTGTCTAAGTTCCTACTAGGGAAGCTTCAACTTAGGCATCAAGGTAGTACTCTCTCAACTCATTGCTGACCCCTTCAGCTTAGATGTCCCAACATCACTCTCATACACTCAGTTCTTGAATATCCACATCAAAATGACATAACACCTTGTGTTGTTTCACATTGGTGCTACATACCTCACCAATTGAGTGAAAGAGACCACTTAAACATGTACTGAGGAACTCCAAGCACTAACAATCATCTTGTTGCACCAAGTTGCACCAGACACGACTTTGCCCAAGAATACAAGCCTTATGTATTATATTGAGGCCAAGGTCGTGCTCCCTAATGTCGACATAATGATGGATAGGTGTGTCTATAGTTGTTGGATCTGACATCATTGAATTGAGCAAGGCTCTAATGCCCACCACTACTACCAAAGGTAACCCTCTCTCTAAATATCCAACACAAAATATTAGCACCTTACTAAATCTATTGTCTTATTGATTTATCTACTTTCCCTTTTAACTACCATTCACCACTAAATATTTTCCTTATCTACCAACCCTGTGTGAAGAAGTGAATATTCATCTCCTATGACCACATTCGTCATTAGGGTCATACTATCACATCTCCTCATTAGAGATTTTACCCCCTTATTGATGTCCCATTTGGTTGAGAAGTATTTTGTAATTGATGACTTGTGATAGGAAGCCAAAGTAGATTGAGGACAGCATAAAAATCAATGGCCTGGAGATTCAAGACAAATAAGACCGTATATCTTGGGTGCACATACAAATATTTTTTTATCACACAATTAAGAATAACATAAGAAGAAGAAAAAATGATGAAAATGTACCTACTAATTTCAACTATGTAAAAGGGGAAAACGTATCCTTTAATCATTGAGCTAATGTCACTATGATGACCTCTTAGAGCTCTTTTCTTATTTCGAAATTTGACTAAATATCACAGTCAGAGTAGCCCAAAAACTCAGCACAAAAAGTGTAATAATTATAGCGCATTTAGACGTACAAGCAATAAGCAAGCAATGAATAATGTGTTTTAACTTTAGGGTTAGGATTTTCTCTGTTGGAGTCATTTATAATGTGATGTATTCATTCGGTAAGCAGCAATCATTAAAAACGTACAATGAATTTTAACTGAAAAGTACTCTCATGTGATCATTTAAGAGATTGAGAGGCCATATTTTACTACATTAAACGCACAACCACAGAATGATCAGAAAGACAGGTGAAAAAAATCCAAGGCGTCTCAGACCTAGAAAAATAACAGCCAATACATACTTACCCTAGACCAACGACTGGAGACTGTTATTCCGGCTCTCTCTCGAAGCATAGACTTAAAATCTGCACGTACAGATTGAATCTTCTCCTCAACCACCTTCTTAATTGAGAGAATTCTGCGAGTAAAATCAAAAACAATTTACAAAATTTTGACTATTATTTATATGGCCGCTAAACGAGATGATTTTATATGAATGCGTTTATGCATCATCACTCAATAAACATACCTCTCACTTAAAAGAAGCTCTCTTTCCTTGCGACCCAATGCCACAAATCTGGGATCACTACCCCATTTCCTTTTGAAAGCTTGATAGTCTGTCTTAAGGTTGATGTCCTGTTATATACAACCATTAGTGATGGTAAAATACAATAATTAAAAAAAAAAAGAATCCGAAATTTCATAGAGTGGAAACCAAAATATGATGGCAAAGCAACCTCTGAAGCGTCATCTAACAACTGTTTAAAACCATCTATCACAGCCTTCTGTGCAGCTCTTTTTTCTTTGCGCTCTTCTTCAGCTCGCGTCCGAACATAGTGTTCAAATAAAGCCCTCCGAACAGAATGACTTTGCACAGCCTTCAATCAGAATACCCATTTGAGGACATCAGTCACGATCAGCGAATAACATTTACCCAAAAAGGCTCAAAATCATGTCAATAAAAGGCACAGGGTCGATTTTCACCAACAAAGGCAAACATTTGCCAGAAAAAGAATCCTCTCAGCATACTAGCAAACTTGCCTCAACACTATTCAGCAATCAGATATAAACGTGAAGGGAAAAAAAAACCATCTCCAACAAGAAAACAAAATTTGTGAAGGATATCTCTGACCATGTGCCATTAGATAAGGAAGGCAAACATTAGAAATCAAAAGCTAAAGAAGAATGGACTCTCTTTTTTAAAATAAACGGTAACTTGGGATCTTGTAAAAACTAGACCTGCATATTACAGATCTTGAAACCTCATTGCATTTCAGCATTGGATGCTCATTTTGTTTAGATGGTTACTTACATTCAATGTGGCACGTATTCAACCATATTTCATCCTCTTGCTGCTTGCTAATTCGTAAAATATTTTCTACCATTCCAATTTCCATCATGCACATTCTTATTTAGTATTCCTCTTATAATTTCGGTTTCACCTTTCCATCAGTACGATGCATGCCTGATGCAGTATTTCAAGGTATAATTAAAGATTTATGGCTATTCAAAAAAATAAACTACATCACTAAAAGTAAACAATTTCTAACGAATTTAGAGAATATCTTCTCTAATTTCGAATTTAAACCTCAGAAATTGTAAAAAAAATGTCACAAATAAGAAAATATCGAAATTGCCTGTCTCTATGAAACCAAGACAAGCTGTCACAGGCTTGTCTGCACCTGTACAGATAGGTAAAAGCACAGACCTAGATATACAAACACTGCAGCATAAAAGGTATGCGGAAATAAAAACATGCAACCGAGTGACCAAGGCATGTCGAAATATATTAGTCACACAATCCACAAGTTTAATACCGTTTCCATTTGTGAACATACTGTCACATTTTAAGAGTCAATATTAGTAAGAGGCTTCTCTCATTGAAGCATAAATGCAAACATTTTTCTAATACACTGAAAGCTGGTACAAAAGTGAGGCAGCTGCAACAGATTTGTGCCCTTCGCTCCATCAGGACTTATGTAAACGATTGAATCTGATATCATGCTCACTAACTGCCAGTTAATGTCCATATTGTAGTGTCCAAGATGATCTCCAGGGAAACTGCTCAAATATTTAGGATCCCTGGTTCATAAACCACCTTCAAATAAACTCGATACGAGCAAAAATCCATCATGAAAGAAAACATATGAAAGCCTGAGTCAAATTACAACCAACTTTTCTGCATGAGAATACAGAAGAGATTATTAAGATCCAACTCAGAGAGCGAATTGGACTTTGCCATATATTACATTCCAGAATAGTAAGATCAGTCACAAAATTGACATTTTCCCAGTCCAACTTAGCAATATGTTTCAGAATATAGATTGTTACCTTTTTTTTTCCATGTACCCGTAAACACATTGCCAAGAGACTGATCCTGCTTGGATTGAAATAAAAAGTTTCTATCAAACACCCAAACCATCCGCCCAAATCATGTTCTCCTAGAATACATTCAAATGACTTTGATAGTACTTCATTGGTTCAGATCACATCACCGCCAAATCAACAGATTCCAAGAATCCAATCCACCTCTGTTTCAATAACAATTAACTTCACCCATTCAAATAACTGAATCCACTTGAGTCTTACGATACCAAACTAAAAATGGGTGAAAAAAGGTGTACACAAATAACAAAACATACAGTAACCAAAGTGACAACGATATGTCAAACTGTAAGCGAGATTGGTTCAAAACAAGAAATTAAATCAGCACATCTATGACGCCATGTATCGAAATATAGACAGATTCAAATGAAGAAAGAAGTGCACACAATGCTAACTGTTAATTGTAAGAAAAAAGTGCACACAATGCTAATTGTTAAAGAAAGAAGAAGATAATAATATGAAGTCAAAAAAAAATATGTTGCAATAGTTTTCAAACAGAAGCATTCGGGGTCCAACAAATCTTCAATGAGAGTTGCAAGAGTTTCAAACAAATATATTCATAATTAAAGTATTTAAATCAGCAAACCTTGAAACGTGGATCAAATATTATCTTAGGTAGTTCCTTCTCCCATTTTGAAAACGGCGCTACACCTCGTTCTTTGAGCATCTCCTGCAGAATCGAAATAACAAGATCAAACATATATGAAAATTTTCCAAGTTAGATGCAACATGAAAAATGACAAATGAGAGCTTTTCACAAAGAGCCTCTTTGTGATTATCCATAGTTACAGAAACAAGAAAAATAATTTCTGAAAATCCACTTAATTTTATATCAACAGAAAAAATAAATAATAAATAAATAATACTGACAAGACACAAGTATAAAGAAAATCACCTTGAATTGGATAATACACTCTTCCTTCGTGGGTCCATTATCTTCATCATCTGAATCTGAGGAAGATTCTGAAATGTTGGCATCCCCGTTTGCGTCTTTTATTTTATCTTTGCTATTTTCACTCTGTTGGCCTTTAACTGTGGCATCAGCTACACCAGGGCCACTCAACTCTGTCAATTCCGGGGCAGATGAAGGAAGCAGCGAGGATGTGACAGGAGCACTTGCATCCTGCAGCTTCCTTTTAATTAAGTCCAATGCAGATGAAGAGATAAGAGGAACAGTCCTAGAGGAAGCCATATCACGGCCACCTGTTTGAACAGCAGATGCATTTACACCGACAAGGCCAGAACCATTGTCGTTTGTTATGCTAGGATTTCGAATTGAGCTTGAACTTTCTTTTGAAGGATCGCTATCCTGATTCTTTTTGTGCTCCGAAACCTCGGATGGGATTTGCCAACTGCTTATCTGAATCAGCAAAAACAGACAAAGATTCCCAAGACTTTAAGTGAAAAATAAAACATAAACAATAGCACGATGAGAGAAAAGCTATAAACCATGTTTCACAATTAACAGTGCATGAGCATGTAATCACCCTATTTATTTCAGAAACGTCAGTATGGCACCAGGAAAATAAGGGCTGGAAAAACAAGCATCAGTCAACAATGAAATAAATAAATGACTACAAGATAGCATACATAAACAAAGGAAACATTAGAACGAATGAAAAGCTGAGCAGGACTAACAAAGTTGCATAACTTCCTCGACAGATTCCTAATATTTCAGTCAGACTTAATGCTCACACACAGCATTTCATCCACTAATCAGTTTTCTAACAAACTCAAATAATACTTTTTTGCGGACCAGAGTTTTTATACAAATTGCAACCCTGTTTAGGACATGGTAGATTGGCTGCTGCCCCCCAAAAACAGATTGGCTTGTTCCCATTTCAATTCAAATCCCCCAATTCTGAGGACATGGCATCTACCACAAAACGCAGAACAAACTACTTATCATGAAAGAATATCTCATGTGGATAGAGGGGTATCACATAAGTTGTGGAAGTTTCTGAGTGTGAGACATGGTTGAGATAAGACTGTAGGTTTTCTTATAACACTGCGGGTCTCAAGTTTCTGGTTCCAGAAGGAACTATGTGCAGCAACAATGTGGAGATAGTGACCACCAATCTTTGGTCCATTGCTTCAAGGGTTGTGTATATTAAAAAATTATGTACAAAGACTTTGCACAAGGGTGTCTGAAGTTAATAAATTGTACACTATTATTCATTAAAACTAAATTGGCAAAAAAACCTCCTATTCTGGCGTATCAAAGGAAAATCAAACAGAGACATCCTGCTAGATATTGGATAATGGATTGTTGAAGACCTTGCTCTACTTACTAACCCGAGCACATCAGAGACAGAGCCAAAATATTCTTCTAACATTATTGAGATTAATTAATGAAGGAGATCTTCAAACACCTAGGGAATATTTTACACCACAAAATTATATTTACAGCAAAACTTTTACATTGTCATGATGTTCCATTCTGGAAAAATTCAAACGAACGAAAGAAAACTAAAATAACTACCAAGATGAGAGATAAGCAAGCGACCTTCGAAAATCATGACGATTTTTATGAATGGTCCAAATGAAAATTCATCAGGCAAGCAATTTCTTGTGGGCAGTTTCCATTCGATGTCAGCAAGGATGATAATATAATGGCTATGTAAGGATGATACTAAAAGGTCCTTTATCGAAATAAATACCTTTGTTTTGTTGTTATAGTAGTACTTTTTGTCATTGTTTGTAGTGACTAATGTCCAGTCAGTACCAGCTATCCTTTCCCTGCATAAGATTAATATTTATAAATTAATGTACGCCAAAACATAGCCCCTTCATAGAAATTCATAAAATCAACAGAAACTTTTAGAGTAAAATACTATATCCGATGGCCTAAACCTCACCAAAAAGTGATATAAGTCAATGTTACTACACAATTATCACGCACTTACAACGTACTTCAAGCACAGTTTATATGATACAGCACCAATAATTAGCAGACTTGCTTCCTTAAAAACAGAGGGAGCTTAATTTAAGACCGCAATAGCAACTCAAGTTATTGTTTGCCACTAAGTTATTTAGCATTGAAAACTAGAGATCTCTGACTCTGACCAAATCAAATACAGATGATAGAATAGTTCCGCATTATTTAATATTAAAACAAAACTCTAATTATTACGACATCCCCACTTTATACTTTTGTCATTTATTTGAGTTGAACAGTTAATGGATTTATTATAGTATCACAGCCAATGGTTGTTCTTAAAAAAACATGTACACATTTATATTATGCATGCGACAAAACCCAAAACGATTGCTTACACTTGCAGATGTGTGTTAAGGATAGTTCTATAAAATTTAGTACAGAGAAATATGTTATAAAGCTGAGGAGCACCTCATTCATTAACAATAGCTTTTGTTTTTCAATGACTCTAGCATCTAAAGATTTGCAATTAAGATAATATGCACCTTACATGTCTCAAATCGTTAACAACACAAAAGCTGAGTTACGAAATAAGGCAACAAAAAAAAAAAACGCATGGTCAGTCACAAGCTCGCAAGAAATTTTTTGACCAGTTATATACATTTAAGCTTCTCAATGCAGCATCTAAACTCGAAACGGCAGCAGTTAGAATAGAGAGACAAAAAATAGAACTAGATCAGAAAACGCAATAATATTAACAATTAATATAAACATATAGGAGTCATAACTAATAAAAAGGCAAAAAATATAGAAGAGTCATAATAACATCCATATACAATATTAAATTTGAGAATAGAGTCTATCCTACCAGAAACTCAGCAAGCATACCATGAAACTGGAGTTGGCTGAGCATCTGATTTCCCTGGCTGCAAAAAGCAGAGAGCAGGTAACTGAAACTCAATAACTTGTTGAAATATCTAATCTAACAGCAATCAAAAAGGGCAATGCATCTACCTCGCCTTTAAAACACAAAGGCTTTTCATATGTTGATTTGCCCGTAATGGAATTGTAATAGTATATGGCACCATTCTCGGTTCTGTGTGAGGTCCATGCATCTGTTTCTTCATTCTTAGCAAAATCCGCATTCTTGCCCAAGGCTTCAGCAGCATGTTCTGTACCTGATCCATGACCAACAAGTCAGTCTAAAATGTCACAGGAATGGGGTCTCAACAGCCCGTGGAAACCAGAAATGGTAGCAGTTTATCATTTAAGATCTGAACTTCAGAGATCCAGAACAGATGCCTAATGCCCCTTCCCACACTACCACTGCCCTGCCTCCTCCACCCAACACCCTTCATGCACACTGCAATCCACCATCACCCCACAAACCAAACCTCTCCTTATCTAGTGAACCCTTTTTCCAGGGCCTCTCATGTTCCCATACTACACCCAGCTGTAGCCCCTTTCATCAGTTCCCTTAGGAGACCATGTCCTCTACCTATCTGCTCACACGCCTCTTCCTCTTCCTATCTGACTACATCCTTTCTACCCTATCCGCCGCAGAATCCACCCTTTTCCAATCTAGGAGCCCACTTCCCACATACATGGCTACCACCAACGGGAAAGTCATTGGATGGGCTGGGCCGATACTAGGCTCAGGTTTCAGAAGATCTAGCGCAGAACCTAGTTTCCAGACTTTCTTGGGATCAAGTCCAGACTTTGTATGAGGTGACCACAGCTGTGCCATGCCTGACCCATTTCCATCCCTAAACATTGTTCTGCATGATCATTCTGTGGAACCTGAATCAAAGAAATAAGAACAGGGAAAAAAATTACCAATGCCTTCAGTAGCTGATTGTGCACTAAAATCCTTCCCTGCCTGGACAAGTTCAACTGTCGCAGATTGCATTCCTGCAGAAGAAACAGGGGCAGAAATCCCAGGAGGCTGCAAATTTGGCGAAGGAACATAAGGCATACTCTGCATAGCCATTGGAAAAGCAGGAAGAGCACCAGCATACGGTACAAATTGGGCATGTTGCGCAGTGCCCACATGAGGACCATGCAACCAAAGAGCCTGAGGAGCTACAGGCTGAGGAGGTATTGATGGATAAGTTGGATAATTTTGCTGTTGCATATTTTGCAGAATTGAAACTGGAGCCGGAACCAAATTTTGTGGAGCTGAAACAGGAGATTGCAAAATGGGCCTTGATGAAGATGAGTCCACATTTGTTGGCTGAATAGTAAGACTCGGAGGCAAATTGGTAGAATCCAACCTCGATGGTCCTTGGCCAGCATTTCCTGGCATCCCAGATGGCCTAGAAAATGATGGGACAATGGACATTCGAATGGTTGCAGAATTCAAATTAGGAGATGGAGGTAGATTTGTACTAAAACTAGGAGGCACATGTGCCACTGACAGCGAGGATTGTGAAGTAATTGATGAAGAAGTAACAGTAATGGGCTCTGCTACAGCTGCACCTGAGGTAGTCTGCAATAATTCAGAAAGTCAGATCATCAGCACACAAGTAAAAACTCTCTAAGAAAAATGAGTGAAGATAAACATACCGACTTTGATGACACTGCCTTCTGTGAGGAATCAACTGTCCCAGCATGGGAATTAACACTGTATGAGAAGCTTGTTGATGATGACAACTGTGCAACAGCTGAAGGATTCTGTTTAATTGAACCCAGTGAATTTGAATTTAAACCCACTGATTGCCCAGCAACGGACTGTTGAAATGATGGAACAACTGCCGAAGGTATCGATAGGTCAGCATGCAGATTAGTGTTACCTGTAACCTGGAAAAGAAGCACACAGCAGTTTAATGGTACTGTAGAATAGAATAATATCAAAGTAACGTAAAGTAAAGAACTCAGTTGGACTTACAATGGAAGGCTGAAACTGCTGACTTAATGTGGGATTAACATTAGACAGTGAAGAGATATTATATGAAAAAGAAGGCCTCAACACTGAAGCTTGCCCAGGAACTGGTGGTTGAAGAGCAGATGGCGGCATTGGTGGTGTTATTTTTACAATCTGAATAAAAAAACAAGTAGGAACATAACAAATAAATATAAAAACTAGGAAATTGTATAATGGCCATGATACCAAAAGACTTCGACACTCACAGGAGAAGATAATGATTGTTGAGGACTCCCAGAAGTAGAGTTCGATCTTGGAAAGACATTGTAAGAAAAGGGAGGCAATGGGGCAATGTTGCCTGTTGAGGTGAAAATTTTGGGTTGAACATGCTCTTGTGATGTCCCAGAGGCAACAGTGTCGAATCCCCTTGAAGTCGGGGATGATAGGCCTCCGACAGCAGGCAGACCGATAGTTCTTAATGAACCTGAAATTGGATTAGGCGAAGCAGTCGTTTGAGAAGGACCTGCATCTGATCCTTGAAGAGATTGACCAGACGGTGCAGAAGCGACAGTCAAACTTCGTGTACCAGAAGCAGATCCTACAATTCCCGTGTCAGTGTCCAAACTGACTGAATCTTGCCTGTCTTGTAGTGTCCGATCAGAAGATGACATAATTTATTAATCTAGAAAGAATATCATAGAAACAAAAGAGATGAATCAGACTAAAACCATGTCAAAATTTGAGAAATTAAATCATAACTCCACAAAAAAATGACAATAACCAGAAAAAAGACTGCCTGGTATAACTCTGTCAGTATAACGACCGAATCCGACTGAAAATAAAAAAAGCAAACAAAGAAAGAAATACATAGCAAACCATGCAACCTAGTCAAATTCTATTACGTCATTAGGCCACAAAAACAGGAACAGCTACACAAAAAAGAGCTTCAAAAACCCCACAATGAATCTCGTACTGGGCTACGCCCATATTCAAACTAGGGCTAAACAGTCCCCTGCCTCACCACCAGGCCATCTCAACAAAAAAAAAGAAAAATTGGAGAAAAATTATCTTTCTCTTATAAATATAATGCATTTTATTTATAAATTATGTGCATCTAAAAACTTCTATTTATACTATATAATCAGCTACTCCAACAAAGTCTGTTAGCATTTACAGTACGACCATCAGTGGGCAGATGGTCCATTTAGCGAATATATTCCTGGTGACAGGATGTTCCTAGATGAACTTGTACACAATGTGTCTTGGCAACTTAGTGTTACATGTGCAAACCAAGCCACTTTCTCATCTGAGCTAACTTCAAGGAGAATTGCAGACCATCAATGATCCATGTGGTGACAGTCACCATGAAAAAAAAAAAAATCAATAGTCAATGTTTAGAAAAGCAAGCAGTTTCAAAGTTGCTGAAAAAACTTAATTTTCTTCACAACCCCAACCAGAAATCTACCCAAAGTTTTCACCTGGAAATTCTCAAGGTACATAATTTTAGATATTATTTGAAATATCTGGAGCTACATCCAGAAGATGATTGCATTAAGATGATGCTCTTACTATAATTTTTGTTCATGCAGTGCAAGCCTCTTTTCACAACATACAATCTCATAACATCCATTAGGTTCACCCATGTTATGAAGTGATTTATACTCTATTCTCTAGAAACCATCTAGAATTAACATTACTCCAGGTCCTAATATGCAGTTATGCCCCGTTTAAAAAAATAGAAGTCCAAATGTGTATATCATCCTGCCCGATTGAAGCAAGAATTGCCTGTTAGTTCATATATGATATACGACATCATCACCATCCTGTTACCAGGAGAAGTATCATTTCATTAGAGTTCATTATCATTCAAGCATCTGTACCCAAAAAGACCCCTGGTCAACTCCCCACCCCCACCCCGCAGCTAAAACAACACAGCATAGATGAACCCAATGCAACCAATCTAGTGTGAAGAAAAAAATACGAATCAAAGACATTGAAAGAAAAGCCCCACTAGTGTATAAAATACACAACATTTTCAATAAGCCAATGAGGCCAATAACGGAACAGTAACAGCAACAACAAATTATGCCCGAAAAAAGAGGTGTAAGAGAGAAATGAAGCAACCAAATTCAGCAACCTTCTATTGGGCGCGAGCCACTTCTAGAAAATTAAACCTTCGTCTCTGATAAGCTTAATCACCAAAAAAAAAAGGCCATCTTCAGGCGAATAGAAATAATCTGGATGGAATCTTCCCTGAAGAGCAACGCATCGACAAAAAATGTGTATAGGTGCATGAGAAATTTGTTTCAGTTACAGTCCAGATTTTGTGGACAAAGGCTTTTTCGTCCCCTGACCGCATACTGCTGGCCATTTTTAAAGGAGATTTCATGGATAAATATTCACTAGGCCATCTTAAGGTTATATAATTTCTCAAATATGGGATGGAAAAAGTAGTGATCAAATAGATACACCACGATCATAGAATCAGAGAATCTACAACAGTGGTAATTTCTCTACGCCGGTTACGCCACAAAGATCTGATAGAAACTATTTGACAGTGCATGAGAATAGTACATCAACGGTAAATGTTTCAGGGTAATAGGTATCTAGAAACCTAACCCTCTTTAAATCCTACAGTCCATCTAACTAGGAAGTTAATCGTTGTAACCGAAACAAAGGCAGCTAATGAAAATTACAGGGGCACTAAAATTGTTTCGGGTGTACTAATTTACTCACATTTTACACATCACAGAAGGTATACAAGGTATCAGGCGGTCTCTTCCCATCTCATTCCATTTCGAACTCCAGCTCACATAGATCAAGGACACAGGAACCAGAAAAAAAAAAGCAAATTCTTGAAAAAAAATATCAAACTTGAAAACCTTACCTGGAAACTAAGGCCTTGCTAATCTTCACCCTCCAATAAAAAGACCTACACCTCTTGTGCTTGAAACCCTAAAACCACGTTCGCAGACGGACAACTTCTCGCACCCTATATGAAGGCCGAATGCAGAGTAAAGGAGGGAGGAGAAGCAGCACCGGGTTGTGACAGATGGACGCATTCACCAGCCATAAAATGGTAAGATGAAGGGGTAGAGGTGGGCGGAAACAAAGGAGATCAGCAGAGAGAGAGAGAGAGAGAGAGGTGCCCAGGTCCTTGGGCGAGGAAACAACCTTCGAGAGGTGCGCGGGATGAAAACCCTCCGAGACCTACGAGAGGAGGGAAGGGCCGGGGGGGAGTCGAAAGTCCGGATTTAAGTACCCCCAGGAAGAGAGGGAATCACTTCGTCGGGGTTACCAAACGCCGAGGGTGATAACGTTTTCCCGGAATATCTTCAAGCGGTCGTCTCACTCTTCATATAATCAAACGAGCAACCCGTTTTGTCTCATAAAAACATTGGGCCCACATAATTCACAATCTATGTAAGTAATTGGGTTTTATTGGGCTACCAAGACAAGCCATACTAGTCACTTTGGCCAGGCTTCGGCTCAGAAACGAGCTTAGCTATTTTCATCCCCCTCTCAGCCTCAATTTATGAGCTTGTGGCTCTCTCTCTCTCTCTCTCTCTCTCTCTCTCTTAGTCAATGAGCTGTCACTTGATTTCTTTCATCCCCTCCACTAGCCTATTTGCAATTCCAAAAATAATGATGACATTTTACATGTATGTAAAAATATGCATCCCCTCATCTTGCCTCTTTGTTGGCTCAAATCTAAGATTTAAAAATGATATTGAGATAAAAATGTGGGGTTGAACAGATAAAATTATAATTTTGACTTTAGTCAATTATCTTCAAGATCTTCAAACCTTAAGTCATCCATATTTTTAGGTATAATCATATTGGATTCAAGATTTTTTTAAGTGGTTCAACTTTAGTTGCATCAATTCTCCAAGAACGTTATATATGTTCAGCCTACATCATATTTCAAAAAAAATCTTCTAAATTCATGTCGCTAAGGGCTTAGCTACCTTGAGTGATTGAGTGAAATATTAATTTTGGTGAGAGTTGGATGAATCATGAAAATTATTGATTTATAGGATTTTTCTTCTTGATTTTACCTGAATTTGGTTGTATGTCCATCTTCAATGTCAAAGGGAGAATATCTTGATTTTTTATCTGCTTTCAATCTGATTCTTTATGTTTTTGAGTTCAGATTAGTTCCATTTTCATTTACAAGTTGGATTTTGTATCATAAATTGATTGGTTCATCCTAGATTTGAAATGATGATTTTGTTCTTTTTAGTACATTAATTTGATTTTCTGAATATTTTTTTATTGAATTAGTTCTAAACCCATTTCCACATTTAATTTCGTCTAGTTTTCCAAATCACATCATTGTTTCCTGGTAAAATGTGTTTTATTAAAATCACATTTTTTGTTTGTTTATTTTGACAACTGTTATTTATTTGAGGTGATGTAAATAAATATTATATATATTATTATTATTTCATTTTATGATAATAAATCCTTGTCAATTTTTTTCAATCTGATAAACTTTATCATAATGGTGACTTATGACCCCTCTACCATCTCAATATTATTTTTTATAATTATATTATATATTTTTTATGCAAATTTGAGTGACCTTTGTTGTTGGTCAAATAATAAGAAGTCAATGAGTCAAGTAATCAAATTTAAGTTTCATTATATCTTCTTCAACAAGATTAAAACGACAACATATTCTACATTTAACTAAAATTTCTTATGATAATAATATACCAAATATCAAGCTTTTATCATCATCTTCTTCGTTGGGTTTCAAGATACACTCCAAGTTAATGACTTCATTTGGAAATAACCCAAGATATGACATTTTTTAATATTTATGACAAAACTTCTGATTAATTATTATTTAATAACTAAAAATAGGTGAATCATGTGATTAGATCTTAGCTACTAGAGCTATAAATTTAGAAGTTAATTTTAGGTTAAAATTCTATCTAATTTGAGCCCAATAATCAACACTTGTGATTGATAAATGGTTGATCTAGTGAAACATCAAAATAAATGTTCTTAGAGAGTTGGCACATGTAGATGGTCAAAGGACTTCCAAAAATCAAAAATAATTTGAATTTGGAAACAAGAATGCATTAATATTAAAATCAAAGAAAGGAGATTGAGATACTATAAATAGTTGGCCCAAGCCAAATAATTATAATATTTTCAATCCAATCCCCCTCTTTTGAATCCAAGCATTGGAACAAAATTCAATACAAAGAAGAAGACATCTATATAAAGTATCTGAAAAAAAAAATATGCTAAAAAAAATAATGTAAAAATCAAAGAAGAATTTCTATAAATTGAAGCAAGCTTCAAAGTAGTAGTAGTACAAAATTTTCTAGTTTTATAGATGAAATAATTTTTAAAAATGTCAAATGAATCATTGCTACTACATGCATGAACTTGAGATCTATTATATCATCATATTACTTTATGTGGATGATATGTTGATTACATGAGATGGCATGTAAGTAACTAACGAGCTAAAACATTTGCTAGCAAAGAAGTTTGCTATGAAAAACTTGAGGACTGCATGGTAAAAATTTTAGATGAAAAACACAATGATAACTTTGATAGTTTCTCAAGATCGCTTTAGTAAAATTGCATTGAGAAGGTGACTAATAGGTTCAAGATGCAAACTACAAGTTCGATAAGAACTTTTATCCAATCACTTTGTATTTTTAAAGAATCAATTACCTAAGTTAGTAAAAAAGAGAGGGTATAAAGGAAACTTTCTTACTAAACTAGGTAGAAATCATGAAATCATTGATCTAACAAAAAAACCCTAATATTTCATTCTATAAAAAAAAAACCAATTGGATTACTATTTTGTTTGCAATCTATTGGACAATAAAGAATTAATACTTAAAAGAGATCATCAGATGGAAAAGCCAAATGAACATTTTGATATAGTCAAACATCACAAAGAGATTGAGATTATACATAACTTAAATTGGTCTTCAAGATTCACTAAGACATTGAAAGAGTTCAAGAACTTTTTTTTTTGCTTGAAGATTAGTCAACAAGTAGGTACATAAAAAATAATATAAGTAAAGTCAACGGCAAGTAAGAACAAAAATTTGTATTTCAATCTATATACCCCCTTTTCTGCTTTCAATCTATTGTTGTTGTACTTATTTCCATTGTACAAGGAGGTTACACTTGTCACCGAATTGAAGCACCCAAAGGAGGGAGGGTATATCAATAATCATATAAAACCCATGATAAGACTATGATAGTGAGAATGGGAGATTAGCACTGTATAAGTTAAATTAATTAATTAATATTTTATGATATAAATTATACAAAAAAGGAAGATTAATAGAAGAAGATTCTAGAATGCAATATTCTCATCTTCTTCGGGAAAGGATACAAGTTGTCCCTCCATACTTTGATGGGCTCTCATTTGAGTTCGGATCATTTCCAAGACTGATCTTAGCTCTGCATGGCATGGGTGCATACCACCCCCAGCAAGGAACTCATTGACCCTCCCGTTGACCTCAATTGAGCTGCATCCAGGCACCTTCTTGGGCCCCACCTCCTTGGCCTCCCTCCTCAGCCTTCCCACCTGGTCCCACCGGGAGGCCTCACCATACAGATTAGACAGCATAATCCGGGCCCACGGATCGAACGGGTCCAATTCAATCAGCCTCTCCGCCACGACCGAGCCCACTCTCAGATCATTGTGGGTCCTGCAGGCACTCAACAAGGCTCCCCATACAACCGCATTGGGGCCCATGGGCATGGACATGGCAAGATCATAAGCATCCATCAGGTGACCCTTTCGGCCAAGGAGGTTGATCATGCACCCGTAGTGCTCCATCTCCGGTGAGATGTCAAAGTCAACCTCCATGGATTTGAAGATCCTCAAACCTTCTAAAAGGAGCCCTCCGTGAGCGCACGCGTTGAGTACCCCTACCAGCGTGACCCCGTCGGGACGCACCCCCTCCGCCCGCATCTGGCCGAAGAGCCGCACCGCCTGCCGCGCCCTACCGTGCGCGGCTAGCCCGCATATCATCGCGGTCCAGGGGCGGAGCCCTCGCCGGCCGGGCATTTTATCGAACACCTGCAGCGCCCTCTCCACGCTCCCGCACTTGGCGTACATGTCGATGAGCGCAGCGTCGAGGGAGCCGTCCACATTGAGGCGCCACTTGTCTATGTACGCATGCGCCCACGCGCCGGTCTCCAGCGCGCCGGCGGCACAGCAGGCGGCGAGGACGCTGCACAGGGTTTGGCCATTAGGCCGTAGGCCGGCACGCCCCATGCGGCGGAACAGCTCCAGCGCAGCCCTGCTTCGGCTCGCTTGGGACGTGCCCGAGATGACAGTATTCCATGAGATGAGGTCTCTGTGGGGCATTTGCTCGAACAGGTGGAGGGCCTCGTTGAGCTCGCCGTTGGAAAGCAGCTGGTGGATCATGGCGTTGTGAAGGACCAGATTCTTGCGGGGGAATTCGTCGAATACCTGGCGTGCGAGGTGGAGACGGCCGGAGGTGGCGTAGGATCTGACCAGCTCGGTGCCGAGGAAGGCGTCGATTTCTACGCCCGTCTTGAGGAGAAGGCAGTGGATGGCCATGGCGGTGGAGAGATTTCCCGTCTGGGTGGTGGCGCAGAGGGCGACGGCCAGCGCCACCTCGTCGGGGACCAGGCTGGTCTCCGATCTCATCTCGACGAAGAGGGCCATCGCCATTTTAGGGCAATTTGAGGAGACCAGAGCCCCGATCATCACAGTCCAGGAGACCAATCCCGGTTGGGGAATCTCCCCGAACAGCTTCAAGGCAGAACCGAGCCGTGCCGTTCCCGCGTAGAACCCCGTCATGGCGCAGGTGACGAACTCGTTGGGACCAAATCCACGCTTCGTAACCTGCGAGTGGATCTGGTCCAGCTCCCGATTCCTCGGACGGCATGCGGCCGCCTTGATGAGGTAGAGGAAGGTGTGGCCGTCGGGGGGTTCGCCGGCGCGGATCATCAGCCTGTACAGGAGCAGCGGGGCGGCGTCTGCGGATTTGGAGGGAGAAGACGAGTCAGTGAGTTCTCGGAGCATGGAATTCCACCTGAATGTTTCCGGCGAGCAGCTCGCGGCGGCGGCGGCGCTGGACAAGCGGTGGTGTGGCTCTCCGGCGCGAGGAAAGTGGAGGGGAGAGAGAAGGCGACGGCCAAGGGGAGAAGGGTGGCAGCGTCGGAGGCATGACATTTGCGGCGGTCTTCCATCAGTAGATAGCTGGGGGCGGACTGCGGACGACAATCGTATAATACTCCACAAAAAAACAGTTTTCGAGATCTAAAAAATATAATCATTCATAAATGTGGGTTCTTACATATGATAATTACAACGTGTAATTGTAGAGTTGAGACGTCAGTATACTTCCCGCCCGACCCAAGTCAAAGATTCTGCCTTGCTGGAGGTGACCCATCGACCGTGTATTAGAGGAGGTCAACGCAAGCAACAATTTTCCAAGCCACGAATGAACGAATACTTCAAAAACTCACTAAAAGTTGCACCATCAAAATCCATTGATACTCGAGATTTTTCAGAAACCGGAAACTTAATCCGAAATAAAATTATAACGGGAATTAAAATAATCCACCGAAATCTGCAAATATCTAATTTATATAATTTAAGCTCTTTCGAAAGGTAAATAAAATTTGGGATATCTCAATATTAAGAAGAAAATAAAACAGGGCATCAAAGGGCGGCGGCGCTCACCAGCAGGAGATGATGTGTCTGCTGACTTTTTGCCCCCCAGGTTCAGGTCACAGGAGAGAGCTTTCTGAACCAGAGACCCATCTGAGCAAGCAGTTCGTCGGAGATGGGAAGGAAATTCAGGACATGGGCAGCGGTCACATCAACGTGGGGGTGGCTCGTCACCATGGCCGGATCTTCTCCTCCGAGATGCAGAAGAATCAGTGGGAAGTTTCTGAAGACCTCGAATGCCGCAGACCTTGAGGTGCCACACGATCTTGGACATATCCTCCTGAGGGAAGCTCAGATCCTGGCGCTTCACCGACCTGTACAGATCACAGAACTGCTTCGGGTCCTGCAGCCTGATGTATTCTCGCAGGAGCCGGGCATGGCGAGGCTCCCAGTTCCTCGGAAACGGGGTGTAGTCGCAGGAGGGGATCAACGACATGTGGGAGAACTGAACCCCGTCAATGGCGTCAACGAGGCCCATCCTCAGCAGGTCGGAGTACTCGGGGGCGGCGTTCCTGGTGCTCTCCCTGAGCGGTCGGCTCAGGTCGCGGGAGGCGATCCTGTAGACCTTGGCGCGGGACTTGAGCCTGTACCTGGCGGCGTAGAGCTTCGCCAGCGAGCTCCGGATCACGTAGGCGCAGAAGCCGACCACCTTCTTCCGATTGTCCGCGTAGCGGAACCAGTCGGCTAGGGTTTCCAGCAGCTTGTTCATCTGTGAGTTGGTGTGGGCCTGGCCGGAGTAAAGCATCGGCGAGCACGGCAATGGTTCCGGGTCCCTGTCCCCCTTGACGAGCTCCAGGCGGCGGAACTGGCTGATGCAGCGTTGCAGGCTCGCCGTGACGGAGAGCAGCGTCCCCACGCCTTTCTCGCTCACGATCTTCCCCCCCGTTCCCGTGTATCGCAGAGTCGGATGGATCACCCGCCTGGAGATGACGTGATCCAGGAACTGGATCCCTCTGGTGATGTGCTCGATCTCCACCTTCGAGCTCTCCGGTCTCCTCCCGAAGGCGGCCTCGCAGAACTCCATCAGGCTCCTCCTGAGCTCCACAGCGTCCTCTCGGGGGCCTCTGATTCCGACCAGGAAGTGCGAGCCGTAGCGGATGTAGTCCATCCTCTTCGTCTTCTCTCTCCCGCTGGAGGGGACGAACTCCGGCCAGGCGGGGTTGTGGCTGCCGTCGGAGATGGAGTCCCTCCATATCGAGTCGAGCTTGCATGGGCGGAAGTACTGGACGATCTTCTCCTCCATCCAGTCGTCCAGTTCGTTCAGGCAGATGTTGGCGAGCAGAGGGCTCAGGATTCCACAGCGGCCATAGCTCGGCACTCGCGCAGCTTCCTCGGGAGAGAAGCTGAAGAAGACTCTCAGCCAGTAGGGGTCGGGCTTGGGCTCGTTCTCCTTCAGGATCTTCTTCTTCCTCTTCATCCTCATCGTCTTCCTCTTCATTCGCTTCCTCTGCAAGTCCCCGTCGGAAATTCCTTCCTCCGCAGGCTGCGACTGTCGCGGCTTCGAGGGATTTCGAAGGCCAGCGCGGATTAGACGCAGTACCTTGGGGTCCTTCGTACCCTTCTCCAGGCACCTCAGTATGATCTCGGCGTCGAGATTCTCCGAGATGCTGGACAGATCCCCCTTGATGAACCAGAGGTAACCTGCGAAATTGCTGCGGATGCTGCGGAGCACCGTGTGGGGCGATCGACCTGGGCGGAAGCCATGGGATCTGTTAGAGAACCTCGGCTCGAAGACTGGCTCCAGGATGAGCAGGAGGAGCTCCTGGACGATCCGATCCTGAAACGGCGGCCCCGCGGCGTCGGCGAGGAGCTTCAGCTTGCGCTTGGATATGAGCTTGGTGGAGGGGAGGTCGTTGGGGGCGCGGATGTGCAGATCTGCGGCGGCGCCCCAGGTGAAGCGGCCGGCGAGGACGGCCTCCTGGAGTGAGAGGAGGGAGCGGAGAGTGGGGAGGTGGATGGCGTTCCTCGGGGGGAAGGAGGAACCAGTGGCGTGGGCGCAGGATCGCTGGTAAGCGAGCACCCACAGATCAAACTTCTTGAGGAAGCCGGTGAGGTTCACGAAGGGGACGGCAGCGCCGCCGTCTCCGCCGCGGGAGTAGGAGCGGATCCAGAGCTCGGAGCAGATCTCGATGGGGTCCTCCTTCATCAGGTCGTAGGGGTTCTTCTGCCGCCGGTGTAACACCAGCGGGAGGGAAGGTGAGGCCACCGCTGCCGTGGCCGTGTGGAGCCTCCGGGTGAGGAGATGGACGGCGGCGGCGCTCCGCCGGTGGCCGTCGCGGAGGAGCATCTGAGCCGTCGCCGGAGTTCGACACAGTTCACTGGTTTTCGAGGGGCCTCAACCTGTTCGAGCATTTGCCTGACAGGAAAAGGAAGTAGCCGTCGCCAGGATGACGAAGACAAAGGGCGGGCTATTTAACTTACAATTATTTATTTGTTTATTATAATAATGCTATATTTAAGGTGCGAGTTTGAATATTGGTTGCTATTAATTCGTGCTGGCGGTGGCTGGGACTCGGGAAACAGAGGATGGAGGGGCACTCTGCCGGCGGCGGCGGGGTGGCGGGGGGGAGGTCTCGGAGTTCGCAGTCGTCACAGTCCGCCGTCGCATTCGGCGTCGGCTTCGGCTTCGAGCTCCGCTCGGCAGAAGAGGAAGTACCAGGCGACAGTCTCGGCGGTGGCACCGCCGATCGGCGGCCCGTTCGCGGTGCCGGAATCTGGGGTTGGAAGCGCCGCTCTCGCTTCCAACGACGACATGGACAGCATCAGCGCGAAGGAAGAGGAGGGGGATGAGTACGAGGACGAGGAGGAAGACGAGGATGAGGACGGAGATGAGGATCAGGATTCCATGAGGACCTTCACTGCTGCGCGCCTCGAGGGCCAGAACGCCCCGGGTGTTTCCGGGGGAAGTGGGAATCCAGGAGCACGAAGCCACCCAAGTCGGAGAACCCCTCCGCGATGAGCGGTGGCGCAGGGTCAGAGATCGGCGGGAAGGATGACCGGGGAGCTGCCGGCGCAGTCGTCGGTGGGGAACGCTGGGGGAGCCTCCGCGAAAGAGGAGGCAGCGAAGGGGATCTTCACGGAGAACCTTCAGACGAGTGGAGCTTATTGTGCCAGGGAGGAAGGATTGAAGAGAGAGGCAAGTCCACTACATTATCATCATCATCTTGTTTGCATTCTTCTGTCCCGCCTGTGCCTCTGCGTCAGGAATTTCGTTAGTGTAGGGTATTCGTCTGTAATGTTTCCAAACAAGGATTTCGATCGTAGAGAGAATTCGAAGTTATAGAAGTTACGTGCTACATTTCATAGAACTCCTTGCATAATGTTTCTTCTCTTCGGAGAATCCATATCCACAATGAGCTCTCTTTTCTATTCATGCAAGGTGGATTTTAAGAAAATAAGAAACCTCTGCACTTGTCTTCCTGCCCCCCCCCCACCTATCCAATTATGACAGTTCCTTTTTCAGATGTTGAGTCTAAGAGATGATCTCTCCTTTCGTACATCTGGAATTCTGTCTGTCTAGCTACCATAGAGTTCTAGAATATGGTAGTTAATAACAAAAATTATGCCTGCAGGAAGATTCAGGAAGGCTTAAATTCCTTTGTTATGCAAATGATGGAAATGACGAGCATATGATCTGGTATTCCTTTTCTTTGATTTCTGTCCTCTGTAAACTTTCGCATAATAAGACTGTATGGTCTGATATTCTTTGCCTTAGGTTGATAGGATTGAAGAACATTTTTGCTAGGCAACTTCCTAATATGCCAAAGGAGTACATTGTTCGCCTGGTGATGGACAGGTAGCACTCCTATTTTAAGAGACTTTCATCCTGAATGACATTTAAGAATGTCTGGAGTTTCATTTTAGTGATTACTTGGTTGGTCTCACTAGAGTCATTTGTCTCTTTTCATTAAGAATGCTCGTTCTTCTACTTGTCAATTAAGAATTCTCATTTATTTGTCAGTTTTTGTGTTATTCTTTAATTTGAGTTATAATTATTTATTTAATATGTTTTGCCTTTTTCTTTTCTTTTTTGTGTTTCACGAGTTGTAGTTTAGATAAAATTTGCTACTTTACTGAACTTTATGTAATCTTTATCCACTTTCCTTTTTTTTTTTTTTTCGGAGATGTTTAGATTAGTTTATAAAACTTTGAAGGCCATGAGAATGTAAATTCTCTTTTTATCCAACAGTATATATATTATCTTCAAAATTTGTGCATACAGAGGGAATAGATTTAGCAACTATGAATATGCAAATTTAATGGTGAAATTAACTTTATAAAGGCCATTACTTTTTGGAAGTGGTTAGAATATCCGTTATGGGAAAAAAAAGTATATATGCACGTACATACTTGAGTACATTTCGTACAATGGTTAATATATAGTTTCAATTAAAATAAAATATTATGGGCAAAATCTTTCTCTTCTATCACATGCACCAATGAAGAAGAGATCATCCCAGTAATTTGTAGATCTGGATCATATATACTGAGCCAAAGGAAAGGAACATACCAATTATATAGACTAATGTGTAACTTTGTGGTTTATATGTGAGCACAACTTTAGTAAATGCGTATTGTGACAAAAAATGTGCTAAATTACAGCAAGAGTTGAAGCAAGTAAGATCATTTTGGATAAAAATAGCCATTAAACTGAATTCGATAATATAGGATTTAGAAGAGTAGTCCAGAGGATGAAAAAAACCCCATTTCTCCCAGTAATAAATGTACGGTAAAGTCTTTAGTGAAACCGTTTGAGAACTTTCATGAATGTAATATAGAGGTCTTTCCAATATTATTAATGTAGAAGAGAAGTGGCTGCCGTATATATGGTCTTTATGTGGGTATGGGATAAGATGAAAGAGCAGTTGAGATTTATATGGAATGAAGACGGAGGCAGTTTTGTTCTTGTTTTATTGCTAGGCCTTTAATTTCGTCCTACACCTTGCTGGTATAGGAGACAACTGATGTATCTTGTTTCCTTCGAGAGATTGCGAGTCACATGGTTGAACAAAAAACTCTTTTTAGGTTTGTGTGGATACCTTTAAAATTAATCATGTGTGTGAATATCTTTTTTTTTTTTACTGACTGTGGTGGGGACTTTGACATTGTTCTTGATCAACATCATACTAGAATCAATGTTAGATATCTTTGCGGCTTAGCATTTACAATTTTTCCCTTTAATCTCCTAGTTTTGCTTATTCCATTTTACACTTCTTGACTTCTGCTTTTTTGTTGTCACCTCCAGGAACCACAAGTCCATGATGGTCATCAGGAATAATATAGTTGTTGGTGGTATTACTTATCGTCCCTATAGAAGGTATAACTTATGATCTGGTTCTTATTGATTGTTTTGATCCATCAAAGAGTGATGTAATTCTTGTGTTTGTGTTTCAAAATGAAGCCGGAGCATCAGTGATAATTTATAGTATTTCCGTTTGTTCTTTCTAATAAACTCAATACTTTTGGGAACCTTGTTGAGGAAAACTACACATTCATGATTCACAAAATTCAGAGCTGTGCATCATAGTAGAATGTTGCATATTTATTTAGAATTGACTAATCCTTTGCATCCGTTACCCCACAGTGAAAGAACATTGATGGCTCGTTGTAGTGAAAAATATTGCACGTTTCATTTTCAGATGTGAAGCTCTTGACTATCAAAAAAGAGAACTATTCAGATAACTTTCATTATGAGGAAAAAAACAAAAAGTAATCTCATGTTGGTAAACATGGGTTACTTGTGAATTTTCATCATGAAAACCTTCAATATAACATACTTTTGGCTCCCCTTTTTTATTTATTTTATCCCCGTGTCTTCATGCTTGATGGCAAAATTTCGTAGTGCCATTCTTCATTTGGAAAGAGGTTTTCTGCTTAGAATTAGATACTACATTTTGGGGACGCGATTGGAATTTGATTGCATTATTAGTTTTCAACATTATTTAAAATAACTGTAGAAAGTTGTTAGAATGTTGTTTGTGGTGAAATGATTATGCCATGATTTACTTGTGGAAGAAAAAAAAAAAAACTTTGATTTTTGTTTTTTTCTTGTAGGCAATAACTCTTATTACTGGCTTCTATTCTGTCCTATATTTCTGTACATTCTTTTGTTTTTATTCTCTAGCGAAATATAAAACACACTGATTGCAAAGGATACGTTGGATTATGCAGTCAGAGATTTGGAGAGATTGCTTTCTGTGCAATCAGATCAGGTGAACAACTTAAGGGCTATGGAACGAGAGTGATGAATCATTTAAAGCAGCATGCTCGTGATGTTGACGGGCTGACTCACTTTCTGACTTATGCTGACAATAATGCCGTTGCCTATTTCATCAAGCAGGTGTGGCTGCTCATTTCAGCACAAATAACATTTTTGAAGTTATTTGCTAATTTGATTTGCATTTTTGCATCTCGACTCTAGTTTTTCTTTTGAAAAGACATTGGCATGCTTACTTTAATCTTCTTGGTCCAGTATCACAGCTCTATGTGATACCATTGACATAATTTAATCTTCTTAGTCCAGTAGCACAGCTCTATGTGATATTTTAATGCTTCATTTGTGAACTCTTGGTGGCACTTGTTCAGTTGTTAGTGATAGTTAAAGATGGTGCGTTCCATTTACCTGTATTTTTACTGCAATAGTGGGGTTTTTTATTTAAGAAATACAATGAAAGTTTCATTTGTGTTGATAGGGCTTCACGAAAGAGATTACATTCGATAAAGAAAGATGGCAAGGGTATGCTTCTGTTTCCTTATGCTTATGTTTCATTTGTATGCTTATGATTCTGTTTCCTTTCATTGCTTATCTTGGTCTGTAAGAATTCCAAAATTGTTTTTAGATGTCGTTTCTCAGTTATCTGCTGTGTCGTAAATGGGAACCAAAGATTTCTTATGTGTTAAAGTTCTCATGAGGAAGAATATGAAGTACAAAGGTCATGCCTATGTATCCTTTTGGTATCCGGCTTCTAGACTATTTCTGCATTGTACATTGATTATTTCTTCATTCTTTATGATTAAAATTTGGCTGCATTGTTTTTGGTCATCAGAAATCCTTGAACGTTGAAAGGACCATAGCTTTTAGTCAACCATAACACCTTGCACTCATTCTTTTAGTCCTTTGTTGATTTAGCACTCTGAAAACTACAATATTCCAGGGATATGTGAAATGACAAAAAATTTACCTCAACAAAACTCTAGAGTTTGGTAATGAAGGAAAGTGCTACCGCCCAAATGATTACACTCTGTTTTCAGTTCACTTTTGGCCAGACTACAGTGAAGAACGGGATCAACTTTAAAAGACGGGAATATAATTGAAAGAATTCTGATGAAACACCCTTAATGAGGTGCTAACCCTGTAGAAAAATTGAAGTTGGTAAAGCCATAGATTCTTCGACATTTTTACAGATTCATGAATTTCCTGATTTGTAAGGAATGAACAGTTCACAGTAATACATTCTGAAAGTGTTTAACGATTGCAACTTTGATTAAATTTTGCTTATTATTTTCTTTATTAATTTATTCATCAATTTACGTTGAATTATGACGATAATTGTGACATGTTTGCAAATTAAAAGGGGTGATTTTTATTTACCTTAAGAAATCTTATATATTGAGCAATGCTTTACTGAATGGCACTTATCACCGGTCCAAAAGGATGGTTATTCATCTCGGTTTTATCGTTACTAATAGTTTCTTCTCTTAAAACTGGTGCATATCCTAAACATCTGAAGGATCTTCTTAGTGTTTCCTATGCAAAAGCTCTTTTCTTAGCTAAAAGTTTGTTAAAAGCTTGTTCCATTGTCATAAAGATCATATAACGTTCAAGATATTTTAGTGCTTCTGGTACTATTAGGACACCTAGAATTATAAGAGTTATCTCGTAATGCTACTTTTGGCGTACATCTTTGTTCACTGGGTTAAAACTTGTGAGTAAAATCTTCTGAAGAAAGAGAATGTTTATCTTGTATCTTTCAGCTACTTAAAAGATTATGATGGTGGTCTCCTTATGGAATGCAAAATTGATCAAAAGCTTCCATTCATTGATTTATCAACAATGATTCGGCGGCAAAGGCAGGTAGGTATTCACTTTGTCTTAGTTTCAGGTGTGAATTTGATTTTATCATTGACAATGAGAGAAAGCACCCTTTTAACCCTTACAAATTCTCACACCCCCTTTGCGACCATAAAGATATGTTTTCGCACATATTTTGATATAACCAAAGTTCTTTTTTATAAATAACCATATACAGTCACGCCATGCTTTGGCAGAACAAATTTTTTCGTTGATAATATCGATTTACTATCAAACTCTCTTCAATGCAACAAAAGTTGTTCATACCTTTAAATGAAACATATATTTTTAATTACCACTGTAAATACCCTTCAAAAACCAGAAGAGAGGTACCGAATATTGTGGTTATTTCACGTTGGTGGAAGGCTATGTTCAGGTTTTTTTTGGCTGTGCCGCTGCTCTAAGAGTAAAGTCAAACTCCTAGTTACCACCTATGCTTCTATCAAGTTAATTTTCATGTGAATAGGATTCCATAATATTGTTGATTTCTTGTTTTATTGGATATCAACGTTTTTCATTGTCGGACAATTATTTGTGCATCTATAAACTCATATGTAGTAGTGCGGCAATGAGTTCTAAAACCATTCATGAAATCTCAGATACCATGCCAGTGTGGTTTATGCATTGTTAGTCAATCTGGATTTTGTCGGTCACAAATCATAAGAACATTAGTGATTTTAAATCCTGAATGTGGCAAAACCCTATACAATTGACAATGCTTGGTTGTTTGGCTTGCAACTTTGGTTGTTGTGACTCTAAGTTTAATTTTCATTTTATACTTGGTTGACGTTCTATGTCATTTACGTTTAAAATGACAGGCAATTGATGAGAAGATAAGAGAACTCTCCAACTGCCATATTATTTACCCGGGGATCGATTTTCAGAAGGTTTCTATCTCTCCACACAGCAGTTAAATAACAGATGTATTTCAAGAATTTTTGCATTGACTTATTGAGGAAAATACGGACATATCAATGTTCACCCAGTCATCAATGGACGCTAAGAACCTTCTGAGGACATTGTGATGAATGAGGGCATCTTACTTACATTATTAGTTATTTCTTTCAAATAATGAATTCATACATTCATTTGAAAGCTGAAGCTTCTTATCGACCATTATCAAAAAAAAAGCACAGTTTATATGATCGTTGCTTTCTTCCAGAGCATTCAATAGTTAGGTGTATGAAGGTGCAAATGGCCTAATATTATCCAGGGAAGAAAAACTAGGAGGCGTATGCATGTCATTTTACATCATGGGACGAAAAACTTCGTATTGTTTTTCTGATTATTACCTTTGATAAGGGAAGGAAGTTTGTTTCCCCTCTTTCCCCACTGATTGATCAATGTGATCCCACCCGTCAAAAAATCAGCCATAGCTGGTTTTCTCGGATTGGGCATTTTTTCCTTCTAGATTAATAACATATTTTCCAATTCGGGAGATCTATATATTCAGGTAAGAAGAAACCTGACGATGTCTGCCCATGCCGTTGACCAACTTGGAATTAACTTATGGAGTAGGTCACCACATGCATCAGATGTGTTATTCATAGTTATCACATTTTTTTGGCTCTTTTAGGTTCACCGGAGTCTAGAATCGTTCTTTTATTGGCACTAATATCTGAAACAATTCACCTGTAAGCTCCTGCCAGATTAATGTCAAACAGTTGCATTTGATAAGCAGAACTCCCTGCATATCCCCTTCAGCAATTTAGCATATTTGGCGTCTTGCATTTTTGGTCCACTGTGATTGGTTACAACATACACGATCATCCCTACGAAAATGCTTCAAGATGCTACTCCTTCCAGTGATCAAAATAATCGTCAGGGAGACATTCTGTGACTGCTAAAATGGTACTTCATTTTAGTAGTCAGAGAATTTGAATGGCATGTGTTGAACTTTCTAGGATTGTTTTCCTTTCTTTATGTTTCTTTTCCATTGTATTTTCGTCCTTTCCTACCATTCCCTGTGGTAAGTGGATCCATTAGACTGTTAACGGATTCACTTAAAGACTAATGTAATGGGCCTGGCCCATTAAGTCATGTAACCCGTACTTAAGCGGGAAACCATGATAATTGACGTATTCATTTTGGACTGTGGAAACCCTGCTCCAAGAAGTGGTGACTGGTTCATCTTGCTGGAAGAGAAGGATCGTGAAGATTGACTCCTTTCATTCTCCAAGTTGCACGAATCTCAATCAAGATCAATTGTCAACAACATGGTCTTAAATTCTTTTTTGCCAAGGTTGCGTGCCAGATAGGCCTTTTAGATGTTAACTCCAAGCTGTGGTTGTTCTAGGGCCCGGTATATATGTGAAACTGTCTAACTATTCAAGTTGACGATGCTCATACTCTGTGTCCAGACATTTTAAACCGATTTTCTTGCGTTTATGTTTAATTTGTGTTAAAACCTACTTTGAATATTCTTCTCTGATAAATCTTTGGTGAATATTGTTGTTATACTTTACATTTTTTTTTCAAAAATTTAACTTGCTGATAATAATCATGATGACTTTAAATCACCAGTTGGCCGAGGAACATGGTGTGTCCTTTTTTATTTTTGTCCAATTGACGTCCTCTCCTTAAGAAGATGACTGGAAAAGGCAGTGGTGTGTTCCCTCTGTGCTGGATACTCACTACAGTAATTGCAAGGCAGATAAATTTTATTGAGTGTTATGAACAAAATTGCATTTCTATTATATTTACCATGGATTAGCCACAAGTATCTATTTTTTGTAGTTTTACGAATATCACAGTTTAATGAGATGGCAATTCTGTGATGACTGATGTTATATGGCACTTAAGAGCAGATGAATGATATTTTGCCTTTTTATGAGTGTATAATACTAGCATTGACAATACTACTGTCAGTGTGAAAGTATAGAGATGGCTATATATATTCTTCCAAATTCTTAAACAAAAGAGATTACATGCATTCAAATTGCATGCGCATGATTTCATTCTGTTCTAGAGAAACCTTGTCCACTAATCTTTGTCTTTTTCTGTTTAATTTAGAAAGATGCAGGTATTCCAAGGCAGCCAATCAAAGCAGAGGATATCCCTGGATTGAGTAAGTTGATGTTATGATATATTGTTACACTGTCTTTCTATTTAACGTGGCCCAAGCAATCAAGCTTGGGCCTTTTCCCTCGGGCCTGGGGCAGTTGTCAACAATGGCATATCTTATGTATGAAGAAGTGAAGGACTAATACTAATTCTTTGATGTGCAATCAATGCACAATTTTACAAGTAAAAGCACCAAAATTTTCAAGTGCTCTTGGAACACCTGGAGCAGTCGATGGATTTGTATAAAAGGCATCATAGGATGTTGATGGCAGCCTTATTGCCAGAAAAGGTTCTTACTGGAGTCTCTACTGTTGGACCAATGTCTATGAGAAGAATTTTCAATCATGATAAGTTGATTCCCCCGTATATCATGTCCCCGTACTACCTGCTTACACACTAAGTTTGGCATTGTAGCTGTTCTTCTCACTGATGTTTCTTAGATCCCTCCAAGGAAGAGACGATGTCCTGTCCTAGACCTTTGTCATCTTGAGAACCTGCCCAACCGGCATTAGTATCACCGTTGACTCTCTAGTGATCAGTCTTAGAGTCTTAGGTAGTTAGCCCCTTATGGGTCCAGATTTCATGGTCCCTGCGTCTCACGACTATCTTGCGTATTTTTCTTGGAAAAGGTGGTGAATATAGTTAATGTACGAATTATATGTACTATATCCGGCCTACTGAGTGAGTAAGGAAGCTTAGCCCTATCAGTTGGCAGATGCTTTCACCTCAGTCTCTTCATCTCTTCACCACTATCTTGCGTAATGGTTGAACTCCTTAGGAGCAAGCATCCCTTCATCTCAGTCTCCTTTGTTAGATCCTTGGTACATTAATGCGTTAAATAACAGAGTCACCCGTCTAAGATAGGATAAAAGGGGTTTTAATGTCAATATTGAGATATTTTTTTTGTTTTCTTATTCTAACCGTCTCTATTTGGGTAGGATCGTACCCTATTATTTGGGGTATGGGCATGATAACCCATTCATGTTGTCTCGTTTCTCTTGGTCTACTCATCTTGGCATGATGTTAACTGTTCGTGGCCAAGTAACAATTTGAGTTGATCGCTATCATTTATCTAAAATATCCTTGGTAAGTTGGCTGTTAAAACTTGAATAATGTCTCTCACAGACCGTGGCTTTTGTGTTATCCATTTCCAACTATTCTTGGTGCCAGATTCATTAATTTGCACATGGTCTTTTCTCACACCTCTTGCTTTATACCCCTCAATTGTACATTAGAGTTCTTGACAGTGGTGTGCATCCAGAAAGTACAAACTAATTTTTTATAGTGGAAGGTCCACTTTACACTATTTATCTTTAAAGCATTTATTTCCTAATACAATATCTTTTCCCACTTTTAGTCGTTGACAACCTCTACAATAGAAGTCAGTGGACTGGAAGAAGATGAGATGGAAGAAGAAAACGATATTCTGGAGGGGAAAGAATGTGTACAGTGAACATATTTCGAAATAATATTTTAATGGACCATATGGCCCCTTTCTTAATAATAGCATACAGTGTTTGGCTGTGATTCACAAGAAAGATAAGTGATGTGTTATCGATCAGACTCTACATTCTTCACTTGGCAACTGGGCATCATTCCAAAAGATCAATTATGTTGGGTGGGCGGGTTGCAGGAGTCCATGAAAACCTTCTTTTTTACACGCTTTTAATGTGTATTCGCTCCCAAAACTGTTGTCTACAGTTACACACATCTGGCTTTTCATTTGTCCAGTTGGATTTTAATTTTTTTGAGATTTCCTAGTTTCGTCAGGTAATCTGAATGAAGACTTTGTCTTATGATTTTTCATGTCGCGTTTTGCATCACGATGACAATTTAAATTTATTAGCCCACTTTTGTTTCTTTTCCTGTCCTACTTTTTTTTTCTGTTTATCTAATTTGCAAGGAGTATTACAGGAGAAGCTGGTTGGACGCCAGATCAATGGGGCCACTCACGTTTTCGACCGAGCAGTGCGTCATTTGATAGCGCTATCTATCGTCAGTCAATAAATGCTTTCATGCGCCAACTTCTGAAGGCAAGTCTCTTTTATTTTTAGGAAACACCGGCAATTAGATAACTTCTTGGTGTGCGCCTGAGTTCTCTGAAAAGTCGTTCAGATTATGAGAATCTAGGTAAGTATTCAATTTATCTGTCAATTACGTATCAGTTCACTTGCAAAAAGGTTTTGGTTAATAAGGCAGGCAGAATACCGAATTCAATTGTTTTGTCGAAATTGTATAAATACCCTACCTACCTAAATTGACAGAAAAATACATACGTTGTCAGTCTTTTGTTTTATTTTGAGAGTGTCGTCTCAAGCAATCTGTCTAATGTGATGGTTAGTCAGGTAAGTTTTATTGACGTTAACATGTCGTACATTTGGAAGTCTTATCTAACATTATTGATTTTTTATCTTTCAACTTTTTGAATATTCTCCGATTATCTTATAATTTAGACATTTAATGCAAGGAATGAATGGTTGATCAGAAAAGTTTAAGTAAAGTAAATTATTCGTATGTTCCATATCAAGTAAATTAGTGGATTTTCTTCTTTCAAGGGATTTAAGTTTAATACATATGGTTCCCCCCGATAAAAAGTCTTAATACCCTATGTTCCTGGAAGATCATCTTATTACTCGACATGTGTACACACTTGTAGCTTTTCTTTGTAAAAACCTAATGAATTGTATTGAAGTTTCGTCTGCACGATTGATGTTAGCTGTAGTGTCACATACGCTGCTGTTTTTCTCCGTTGTACAGCTAATGAACGAGCATACAGATGCATGGCCATTCAAAGAGCCGGTTGATGCTCGGGCAGTTCCTGACTATTATGACATCATCAAAGATCCAGTAGGTGGGTACTAAGCACGCATTTTACTTATTTAAATTATCTAGTTAGAAAAAATCCAGAAAAAATTGAGCTTGGCAAGTTGACTCTTTAAGAATTCAGATCATAAGGCTAGTTTGCCACTCGATTCTGTCTTGAATTTGTTTATAGTTGTACGAATTGGGACTCACTCAAGTCTATCGGACAGTTCTTAATATTTCTTACTCGCAATTTTATTTTTTTGTGGTGAATACCTTCTTGAATAAAAAGTCAACTGCAGACCATTGACAGCTTATGGAAACATTGCTCTGCGTAAAAATTGTATGCATCCATCTATATATATATATATATATATATATATATATATATATATATATATATTTCTTGCAACCTAATTGATGATTTCAAACAGCCAATTCCAGACCATTAACAGCTTGTGGAAACATTGCTTTGCGTAATAATTGCATGCATCCATCTATATATATCTTTCTTGTAACCTAATTGATGATCCCAAAGAGCCAACTGCAGACCATTAACAGCTTATGGAAACATTACTCTGCTTGATAATTGTATGCATCCATCTCTCTCTCTCTCTCTCTCTCTCTATATATATATATATATATATATCTATATCTATATCTTTCTTGTAACCTAATTGCTGATTCCGAAGAGACCTATTAAGAATCTCTGCATTCCAGAGCTTACCCATGATGCTGACATTCTTGATTGTTCCACAGATTTGAGGACGATGTCTAGGAGAGTGGAGTCAGAGTATTACGTAACACTTGAGATGTTCGTCGCCGACGTGAAGCGGATGTTTGCAAATGCTCGAACCTACAACACCCCCGAAACCATATATTATAAGTGTGCAACAAGGTGGGAAATAATCAGCTCCATGTCCTTCCCTTATGTGCGATTATCCTAAATCATGCCGTTGATTCATGTCCTGTCATATTTCTGTGATATTCTCTAAAACCCCCCATTCTTGAGCTGACCTCAGGGGGTCCCCCTCTCCTTTCAGGCTGGAAGCGCACTTCACAGGAAAGTTCCATTCAGAGTTCTCGAGCTACATAGGTAAGTTCAGCCACAATGTGCGGACCGCACCCATCTCGTAGCGTGGTTGAGGTACCAAACGGTTAGCTTGTTCCATGGAGAGATGGATATTCCAGAGATTCATGTTTCAGAAAGGGTATTATTTTGCTGGGCAAACACCTTGGTAGGGTTATTTTCTGATCTATGATTGGCGAAGGAGAAAAAGGGCTACAGGCTCTACTTCTGCACCTGCTACGCTCCTACAAGTCAGTTTTTGTTCCATATTTTTATAGTTGTCTGATCTGGGTTGGGGTTGTCATCTGGACCTTCCAAGGGCAAACTTTCATGGAAGGTAAAATCAGATCAATTGGGTAGACCCACCATCCCAATTCCAGCTTATTGCTTCCTGGTATTGAGATGGGAAAGTATGATCATGAACATGGATTCTCCCCCCTAGACATTCAACCTATTGGCATTCTCTCTCTCTCTCTCTCTCTCTCTCTCTCTCTCTCTCTCTCCAGCTTAGAGATGATAAAAATTTCAACCCCCCCTTCTTCCCCCTTTCCTTATTGTGTTAGTTGTGGATGGAACAAGGAAGCCTTTTTAATACATTTTTAAATGTGATTTTGTGTAGGTTAATTGAGTTTAGGTCACTTTAAACTGTTAGATTTGGGGATTAGTCCCTAGTCTTTCATTAGGATCCCTAAAAAAAATTGAAGGATGGTGTTAAGCTTCCTTTACCCTCACAATGGCAAGAGGAGGGTGGCAACATAGCAGGTTGGAGTGGGAGATGAGGTGTAGAGGTCACATAAGAGAGAGAGAGAGAGAGAGAGAGAGGTCACGCGATTTCCTAGCATGAAGGCCAGTTGGTCTTTTCTAAGGTTTTACTCAATTTAATTGTTATTGATCACTTATTAATGGTATATTTCTAATTATTGGGTAATTTATAATGGCCATAGTAATGAATTAAAAAGTGAAACTTTTTCTCGCATCTAGTGGTTTGTAGGGACCAAAATCTAAATTGATGGAGTTGTATAAGAATATCAATTGAGTCTTGAATGAATCTTCAAGGCATGAATGTTCTCCAATCTTTAAATCTATAAGGATTGATTTGAGGGATCTTTTAATTCACAAGAATAAATAAAAGTCCTTGAATTCATTCACGAGCATAATTTTTTAATAATTATCAAATTCAAAAGGATCAATATAACTCACATGAATCCAAGAGAATGAGATTTTGTGATAATCAAGATGTTCTTGAGGGTAGAACAACGTGCCTTTCAATAGCCAATGAATTAGTTGTAGATCCCCTGAAATTAGACTAAGAAATCATTTTAAAATAAAGATAGTTCCTAGAACTAAGACTCTATTTTTTTTTGGAATGTATCATCATTATCGCACATAATACATCTTTTTTAAGTCTACCTTGTGATAATCAAGATGTTCTTGAGGATAGAACATGGTGACCTTTCAATAGCCAATGAATTAGTTGAGACCCCTTTAAAATTACACTAAGTAATAATGCTTGTTTAGCTTATGGTTTTTTTGGGATTTATCATCATTATTGCACATAATATATCTTTTTAAGGCCACCTTAGTTGCTAGTTTTTGATTCTCTAGCTAAGAGCATGTTGTTCTACATGATAACATTACTTATACTTTTTTTATGAGTGATGGGTTTTTTAGAGTATTTATTTTAAATATATATTTTATACAAATAAATGACTAGTCTAATCTTTCTTTTAAATTTGTACCCTTTTAATTTTTAGTAAAAAGAAGTTTGGAAATAATTAAATTTTATAACTCTTAAGCTGTCTCTAATTATATATATAAACATATATACATTAATATATAATTATGTGCGGGAGGTTTAATTTTATATTCTTATGTGTGAAATAAAAATATTAATAAGATAAATATGAGGCGATCTCAATTATATGTTCATCTTTCTATCACCAAAGAGGTATAAGAGATAAAAAATATTTTTTTAGAAATCAGGAATTATAAAATATTTGACAGGTAATGTATTCTTGAAGAGAATGAGATAATAAAAAAATTAAAAAAATATGTTTAAACTATTTTTTTACCATATTATATATGCTATTAATTGAATATTATTATTTATTTATTTTTAGTGCAGGAGGCGGGTCGTCTAGGTGTAACGGCGTTTCCATCCAGTAGCGAGGTTCGTCCCCTTATTCAGCTAGCGAGAGAGAGAGAGAGAGAGAGAGAGACAGAGACAGAGACAGAGGTGGCAATGGGTTCCTTCATGTCGTCGTGGTCCAAGGGTGGCGATGCTCTGGCGGCCGAGGGGGAGGAGGTGGGGCAGGCGGCCGTGGTGGCCTTCCACAGCATGGATAGCTGGAACTCTCACTGGGAGCTTCACAAGGCGCAACCCAACCAACTCGTGGGTTTTCCCCTTCGATGTGTTAATACGTTCTCATTGGGAGATCGGATCCTTCTCCCCTCCGATTAGTCTCCTTCTTCGACCGCTTTTTGGTATGATTACGGTTTACCAGATCAACGATCTGCTTGTTTTCTTCGGGGGCGCAGATGGTGGTTGATTTCTCGGCGACCTGGTGTGGACCCTGCCGGTTCATGGAGCCTGTCTTCAAACGTCTCGCCGACAAATACACCAACGCCGTGTTCGTCAAGATCGACGTAGACGAGCTCCGGGTAAGCTTTTCATTCTCTAAGCTGAGGGTTTCCCCCTGCCGATCGATTCTTTCTGTCAGATCAGATCTCCGCCGGAATCTGCTCGACCCTGTTTATTTCCAAATTCATGATTCAGCCTCTTGATCCATCTGACTATTCTCTCTCTTCAGGAGGTGGCGGCCAAGTGGACAGTGGAGGCGATGCCCACGTTCGTGCTGATCAAGGGTGGGCGCGAGGTGGACAGGGTTGTCGGCGCGGCCAAGGCGGAGCTGGAGAGTAAGATCCAGCGGCAGCTCTCCTCTAAGTGATCTTCTCTGGGTATTCCCAATCCATACCCTGCTCGTCCAAAATCCTACACAACTCTTTGGATGTGGCAGGCCTACTCTCAAAATCTGCGGATATTGACATTGCTCTCTATGTCTATCAGGTCTTCTTGAACTAAACTGTTTATCTCTTCCATCATCCTCAATGCGTGGAATAACTAAGGCTTAAGGATTAATATGCAACTGAAAACATGATTTTCCTCCACGTAACTGATGATGAAAATATTTGGCTATTGATGATTTTCATTTCCAGGTGAGACAAATGAAAATCCTAAATCTGGTATGAAACTGAAAAAAATATGTCGCCTCCTTCTCATGGGTAGAGATCAATTAGATTACTAGATTTGATGACTGCATGCGCAATGCTGTGCGGGTGGATATCAAGGACAGATACCTTCATCTTCTGCAGCTTTAGATGTCTTCGCATTAAATAGCTGTGGTTCCTGTTCTGTAAATAATCCACAAGGGCCTTTGACCTGTCACAGTACATCAACATCTGCTGACCCACTTGCTAATTTTCTCCAAGTTTTGATTTCTATGCATTAAAATGCTCTTGGCCAAGACAGTGTTCTTCAGACAGTGTACAGAGGTTTGACCTACCTGCTCTAAGTCAAGGGCAGTTGTCTGCCTGATATAGTCTTTCATTTTTCATTTTGTGGATGAAGAGGTCGATGGCTGTCGTCCCCTTGTGTGTGCTCCTGTTCTCTGCTGGATTTCAACGCAGTTCATATGTAAATATTGTCAAGATATAGCGATCCCCCCACATTTTCCTCACTGAAACCATACCTTGGAACAATATGTTCTTCCAGGAGGCTGTTCATTCTTGCTTCTTTCTTTTTATTTGTTTTCTCTTCATTTTCTTCAGCCAATCATGGTGAAAAGTGATCAGGTCGAGCTTAAAATTGGCTGGCTGACCTCTCTAGAGTTGAACAATTTTCCAATGAAGTCAACTCATGAACCGGCAAAATCCTCCCAATTTTGTTTATTTTTTGAAATATTCAGGACGGGGTCAGGCCTTCGGACTTCCATGATTAGCGCTTTGGCCGGTTGACCAAGTGAAGGAACCTCAGACTTTGGAGGAATTCTGTAGAATTCCTGTAAGGCAGTGATCAGGTCAACCTTAACATTGGTTGGCTGACCTCTCTAGAGTTGAACAAGTTTCCAATGAAATCAACTCATGAACCGGCACTTAGGTAACCTCAGACTTTGGAGAAATTCCTGTTGAATCGTCATCCAAAGGGTCAGACCAAATACATTGAGAATAAATCAAGATAAAATTTCCTTCAAGAACCAATGAACACCGAATTTCCTTCTGTTAGATTTTCCTGGGCAGAAGAGCTCCTACTTTTTCTGCAGTGCTGTGATGGAATCGCTCTCTTGGAACAACCTTTATGGATCTCAGAGGGTTTCCTAAGAAGAAATAAATCATGTTCTTTGAATTAAAATATTTGCTCACCTACTCTGGATGCTTCCAGTCAGTTTTCATTACAATGCCGTGATGATTTATATTATTCTTGAGATAATAATAAAAATAAAAATAATCTGGGAAGGTTGGAGATCGGAGGATTTTTGAAACGCTAATAATATATCTTATTTGTATTTATTAATTAAGAGTTCTGGGAAGGTTGGAGATCGGAGGATTTTTAAAACACTAATAATACATATTATTTTTATTTATTAAATACAAGTCTGGAAAGGTTGGAGACCAGATGATTTTTAAAACACTAATAATAAATCTTATTTTTATCTATTAATTAAAAGTTCTTGGAAGGTTGGAGATCAAAGGATTTTTAAAAAACTTACTATGAGTGGGTGCACCAAATGAGATGTAAATTATCATTCTTATAATATTCGAGGGTCTTAATGTAAATATAGCCATTTAATGTATAGCTTTATTGTTATGATAATTAATTTATAGTAATAATAATTAAGTAATTGCATGACTTTTAATCTATGATCATCCTCAACACTTACTATGAGTAAGTGCACAACTCATCTATATATCATATATTATTTATAGTCATTTTTTAGCCATTAATGGGTTTATATAGTCATTTTAAATCTGATGGTAGCTAAACTTTTTTGTTGATTTGAAGTTAATTGTAAAAAAATTGATATATAAAGTTTTTTTCACTTTTTTATTTAAATTAATAAATCACGCACTTAGTCACCAACTGTGTGCCACCGTCCTGTGCAAGTCATGGGTATTTAATTTTTTTTTTAAGATGATATCTTACTAATTTTACTAAAAAAATACAAAGAGTGCACCACATAGTGTTGTGTTAATATATTTTTTTAACGTGATATTTTTATTTTTTTATTTTTTTTTAAATAATGAAAATACCACCGGACATGATAATTTTTAAAATTTTAGCTATTAATTTTATTAATTTTTATTTTACAGTTTAGAAATATGATCGCTTCCGTTTTGGAGAGAGACTCGCAGTCAGGGATAAAGGACATATTTTAGGTAAAGGAAACCCATTGAAATGTTATCGGTCCAACGGGCATGGTTTTGGTCAGGGAAACGACAGCGTTCCTGTTAGAGCCATGCCCTACCTTCCAAAACCCTACTATTCCCCCTCCCCCCCCTCTCTCTCTCTCTCTCTCTCTCGCTTTATACCTTCTCTTCCATCAATCTTACCCCGCCCGCGGGTGGGATCCGGCGGCAGTGTTGCCACCTCTGCTGTCCTCGTCTCCAGAGTCTGCCGCGAGCTTCTCTCTTCTTCCCCTGAAGAGAAGGTCTCCGCTTTTCCTCAGTCTCACCATCTGTAGCAGGAGAAGAGCAGCATCAGAAGAGGCCGGAATTGGGGTGGGAGGTTTGCTTGCTTCCGTGATACATCGCCCTTGGTAAGCTTATCTCCCTCTGGGGGGTGTCGGGGTTCGTCTGAGATTCATCAGATGATTGCAATGCAATCATATGCCAAAGGAAATCGTTATTCGTATATTAATGTGTGGGGATTGAAAAAATCCAGTTAATTTAGTCCGACCGGCGCAGAGGGCCGCCGCTTTGAGTGTAAGAAGGGGCGCTCCACAACCGAGTGGAGGCTGCTGCTGGACCTCTGCTCGAAGGCATGGGGAAGAGAAAGAGGATCGAAAAGGGGGGTGAGCCGAAAGGAGGCGACGGGAGAGATGCGGAGCATTCTCCTTCCACCGTGTTTGTCAGCAACTTGCCCTACACTTTCCAGTCCGCAGAGGTGTTGTGCTTTCCCACATTGAGAAACAATAAGCTCGGCTAATTCTTTTTTTATATTCACCATGCAACGAATTTCTTATTGCGGCGGCTATTCTCTGTTTCTGCCACAAATTTTCAGCTGGAAAACGTCTTCAGTGAGGTGGGCCCTGTCAGGCGCTGCTTCCTGGTTCTACCAAAGGGTAAAAATACGGGACTCATGATCTTAATTGGGGTCGACCTTCTGGTTTCTGTCTATGGTGACCTTGCCTGTTCAATTTTAGGGCATTTCTGAACAAATCAACATCATAATTCCACTTATATTCTGCAGAAAATCGACATTCTTCCCATATTATGTCTATTGTTGTCATCTGGAATGCGTTGTGTTGAGTGAAACCAGTGGTACTTTTTTCTTCTGGAAATGATGGAGCTCTCTCATCGAGTCTGATAATTGGAACCCTCCATTAAAGCATTTTTGATGATGGTTTAGTTCCTCAAAACGAACCTTTTGGCCGTGGGTTAGTGGGGAAAAGCTTAGCTACCGAAGCATTCACATTTTTGTCTCCCTTGGGAAAGGGGGATAGGTAAGTATGGGAAAAAAGAGTTAGTATCTTAGTCAAGCATGTTACAGAAGACGTTACCTTGGAAGGATTTTGGATAACACCTGTGTCACATATAAAAGTTTACCATTGGAAAATGGGTTTCTTATTGGGACGCTATTAGTATCAAGAATTAGTGCCTGTTGTTCGAAAATAGATTTTATTCATTTTTCAGAAAATAATTTGTTGGAAAAAAATCAGATTCATCGTTAAATTCAGGGCCCTTTTTCATGTTTGTCTTATGATTTTTTAAAGTTATATGTCTAGAATTCCATAGCAATGTGTAGAGAAATTAGGGCACCTCAGAAAATTTGGAACCAAAGTGCAGCTTTAGTATTCAAAATTGGAAACCTCTTTCAATTTTTTTTGGCTGCTTTGCAGCGAGTTATGCCTTATTTTTTTTTCCCCTGAATTTTTAATTCATGAATATTATCCATCTATTCTTTTTGCTATTAATTGTCATTTTTTTTGGTTGCAGGATCAGATGTTCATCGTGGCTTTGGCTTCGTACAATTGTAAGATTTGATCCTAAATCTCTGCCTCTATCGATAGAAATCTACAGATAGGTTCCACGTTCAGCTTTTTTTAGTTACACCTTTTTCCTTTCTTTTAAAAAGAAAAATATAGAAAATCCAGCTTAATACTAAGAAGAAGAATTCTTCCACAAGATTTAGCTCATCTTTTTAAAAATAATTTATTACACAGAAAACACCTTACAGAAGCAAGCTGAAGTTCAACTACAGGATATGAATTAAAATACTTACTGATTGTGCTTTTGTGCTTTGCGTATTTTAAGGAATCCTTATTTGGTTGTTAATTTTATGCCTAAATGATTTTTTAATCATTTATTTATGCTAAAATAGTTAAAAATGAGGAAATGCAACATTGATTATGTCGATTGAATGCTTCAGGTGCCATTCTGTTTTTCTATAGGTACCAAATTTTCTGTTGCATCTAGATATGGATTCTATCAGCTATTCCACTTGTTTTGGGTTTATGTATTCATCTTCTGGGTGTGCCTCTCAGACATTAACTTTGACCACCACGAGCGATTATGCATAAATTAAACTCTTAAGGTGAACCAGAACCATATGAACTAGATGACCCTTTACTGTGGACCATACCGCTATTTGGTATTGTGTTCGTTATGGGATATTTTGTTTGTATTTGGGAATGTTCTGCTATTCTTGGTGACCATTATTTTAAAGCTGGCGCTATTTTTGGGAAGTTATTTATAAATTTCAAATATTCATTAGTCCATTGGAACAATGCTTTATGTAGGACAATAATTTCATAAAAAAGAATTTGTTTAATGCTACTATTACGGCTTGCATCTATAATGACAGGCTAGGTTTAATTTTTGTTTGTGCCAATGAACCTAAAGGGCTGTTGAAGTTGCTCAGCCTGTCTACTGGTGATCTTCACTAACAGTAATTCTGAAGAGTTATTTGTGGGGTTCTGAGTGTTGTTTAGAAATTTTTTGAATTGTGAGACTTACCTCCTATTGTATTAGTGATCTTCACTATTGCATTCTTTCTTTAGTAATTTTTTGAACAACTGTCTGTCTGTGTCAATTTGTGATTGAGACCTGTGAGAAGTTTGGTGTTATGGCTAGTTTATGTTTCTTTTATCCATGTTAATTTTGTGTTACATGCATGGGCTGATCAACTTGGCTTTCAGTGCTTCAATGGAGGACGCTGATCGTGCTGTTCAAATCAAAAATGGTTTAGTTATAGGAGGAAGAAAAATCAGAGTGAAACCTGCACTGCGCCGTCTTCCTCTTGAGCATCGCCGATCAAAGGCAACTAGTGGTGAGTCTTCTTTCACTCATGCTTTTGCATGCAAGTGTCAAGCTATTTTTCTCATTTGATGAACGAAAATAGCCACAACTTTTACTGTGCAGCCGATGTTGAAGATGTTTCTAAAGTTGATCAAATTTCTGTTCCCAAGTCTGAGGAATCATCACGAAAGCAAGAGTCAGGTCATAATGATGTGAACAGTCTTTTACTTGCTGGTTCTTCCTGTTCGGTAATATTATTTAGATTCTTTTAACTCCTTGTATTACGTGATTTCTGTATTATTAATTCAGAAACCGTTGGCGATCCAAAGAGAATAAAGAGAAAGATGATCCTTAATATCTGTGAAGATGAGAAGTTGCCTGGCTCTGAAAAACAGAGGTAATGTTGTTGTCCTTTTTGGTTTCACCTCAGTCAATATATAATAATGTACATTTCCCTGGACCAAGTAAACTCTGTATGAACTAAGAAACATTATGCAGATTTAAAACGCATTACTGCTTTTGTATGTATCCCATAACTTCCAAAGGTAAATCCTCCTTAAAATGGAAGAACTGCTATCAAATATCATTATTCATGCCTTGACTCAAGCCTTTGACTAATTCCCCTTCTGTATTATCACCCTGATTTATCCTTGGATAGCCTTTGAAATGCTTTTTGGAATTTCTCTGTTGACAATTTAGTAGTAGCTTTCTCTTTAATTGAAAGCAGGCAGCAATTCATATTGATTAACTTTCTAGAGGAAAATGTGACGTGCACCTAGAGACTATGTTTTTAGAAGTCCTCTGTGACAAGGTAATGACTACGCTTATTGCATGGCCTCAGATAGTAGTCTGTTCAATCATCCACCATGCTCTTTTCGCTACCCTTTTTGTTGCTACTTCGGCGGACATCATCGACCATGTGTCTCATGCCACTGGTTTTCATTTTTACCTGCTCCCTTTCTCAAAGTTAGAAATTTTGGTGGCAATGTACATGCAGTACATGCCCTGTATCGCTCTTGCTTATCAATCACGTGTGAATAGACTTTCGTTTCTAACTTGGAGAAAATTGGTACCATCACCATAACATTCTCCATATTTAACGTAGTGCAATCCACAAAGTTGGAAGCGTGGAGAAGTAAACCTAATGGTTGGGGGACATCGAGCTCCTCTGTTCAGAAGAGTTCTATTGATAGGAAAACAACAGATAATCTATCTTGGAGCCTGCAGGCCTTATATGCTGCTTAAAATCCTGAAAAACGATCAAAGTGTCATCATATTTAACCCCGGGCAGACCCTGATTGGGGCCAATCAGGTCCGGTTGGAGAGTTTAAGCTGAAAATTGATAGAAACTGCTGCTTCTGGACTACTTTAAATTATATAAAACTGTAAATTTAAACCATCTGGGCCATATTTATCTCAAAAATTATCTGCTGTGCAAATATCTTCCTGCACGTAACTGTTGTACTTTTTCTCAAAAATATCAAAAATAAAATATCTGCGATCTTTCTACCAGAATTATCTCAAATCATAAGCGTTCATTGTGTATTTAACAGCATAGGGCTTTATGAGATTTATTCTTTGATTTTATTTAGGACCCTTCTCTCATTCTGGGGGTTAAATTTTTTTTATCCTGCATTCTTCCAAACCTTCTTTAAAAGACACAATCTTTACCTATCATAAATGCATTGTCTAGACCCGAGATTAAATCACTCCCGAGAGAAGCTGCATTCTAATACTTCCGGACATAATAGTTATGGACTGTATGAACCCCTCATTGCTTTGTTTCGCTGAAAACAATTTTTTCCCTTCACAATCGTTATTTAAGGTTTGCCCATTTAAAAAACTATAATAAATTCACCATATTCCAGTTAGAGTTTTTTTTTTTTTTTCTAGTCCTACTCTTTTCTGGGACCTGAACCTGCCTAGTCTATTGAGATACTGAGTTGCACAGTCGTCTGCATCAACAATGCCTGCAAGTAAGCATCAATGCTCCGTCCATGAAGAACAAGCTAATCTTATAGGAGAAGAAAAACCGTCAGGATTGAGCATCAAATGTTCCTATCCTGATGCATTAGTTAAATATGGTACTCCTGTCACATGCTAATCGTTTCTCTATGTGAAATATCCTGGTCCTGTAATGCCTATCTGACATTCGAAGTTCTATCCTTTTGACACCCTTGTGTAATCATAGCATTCAGATGTCCCAAGTGAGTGAATGTCCCAAGAATGGAGATTTATAGCATCTTGTGGTTTTAACAGTTCTTATCAGCTTCTGTAAACAGGCTTCTGGTCTAGAGCTGACAATTTTTCATGGGGTAGAATGAAGAATACTCCAACCTAACTTATTTGTTTTTCCTCTTATTTGTTGTATGGCTGTTATCATTACAACCACACGCATGGTTCTGCTGAAGTTCTTTCATGTTCTTTAGTCTCATCTTCCTCCAGTTCTTTTTTGACCCATCTGTCTAGCTCTCCATCCTTTTCTTAGCCTTGACCTGGGGACCTGGCCTGCATAATGCTTTATCTTCACTAAATTGAAAAATGATGGGACATAAGTTAGCTAATTACAAATGCTACCTTGCAATTAACTGATCCCCAGAATTTAAGAGCATGCTATTTCATCTTCAAAAAATTCTCTCAAATTTCTATAGCCAATTTCCGAGCTTAGCGGAGCCCAAGACATACGATTGGGAATAAAAACCCTCATCACTGAAAATTGTTTGCCATCATTCTCTTTTTCTCCTTCACAATCGTAGTCCTCTTAAAACTAGCCTTTTGCCTTGTTGTCTCATCAACCAATGCTTGATACTTTAGCAATTTTGGTTTACTGTCGCGGTGACCTGATAAGGGGAAAATATAACGTGGATGATGTGTAATCTCCCTACTGTTGGTGAATTGTTTAACTTAATTTATACCAACTTCGAGACATACCAGTCTTAGAATCCAGTACCGCAAGTCGTGTATACAAAGAGCCAGAAGAGAGGATGATGCCCTTCATAAGTTCAAATGGATAGTTTCCATATCCATTATTGTAGGCATCATAGTGCCCTTCATTACTGCAGGCATCATAGTGCCATTAAATCTCTGTTTCTAGGAGACTAAGGTTTTTTGCCTACAATTTACTCCAGCCATAGGCCCCAGAGGAGTTTGTCTCGAGAAGGGAGGTCCGATAATCAATGTCCGCCTCTCTTTCAAATGTTCAGTGTGCAGAAAACCCCGAATATACATATTCAATCGTCAGGTTCCCGTGTTATCCTATCAACAGCTCATGTGCAGGAGACTTTCTGCCAATGATCTGTTGTAGGCACTGATGCCAAAGGAACGAGTACTCTCCATCTAAGATTTCTGGTTCAGATGCCACCTTCTGAGCCTTTTGTACCGATGATTTCCTTTTGTACCGATGAACTGTACATGCTCCGTGTCTAAATCAAGATCTGGGCCCTGCAACTTGAAAAGTTAACTTGCGTTGACAACTAACAAAAATATATAAAAGAATATATAATCTCATATTTGTTTCAAGAGATATCTCGTATAGTATGGTTTCCTTTGCCTATTTGCTCATGAGAGTGCAATCCATTTACCGTCTGATTTAAAATTACGAATACGAGTTCTTAGCTTGGTTGAAGTGAGAAGAATGATTCATTATGTTGTCAATTGAAAATGCTAAGTTGCTCCCAAATATTATGGACATTTTCTGGTAAGTTATTGCAGTGTTAATGAAGGATGCAAGAATGGCTGCAATGCCTCGAGCAATATTCACTGATATCCTTTCTGTTCTTATCCGCATGTAGGGTTGCTAGGACAGTTATATTTGGTGGCCTGCTCAATTCTGATATGGCAGATGAGTTCTTCCGTCGTGTTAAAGAAATTGGCTCAGTTAGATCAATACAGTATCCTCTACCAGAGGAAGATCTTGAACTCCATGGTTTGTGGCTACCCATCATTTTCTCCTTTTCTTATTCACATAATCTATTTGGTTTCGATTTACATGTCATTTCTCTCTCTTGGATGGGGATTAGTTTACAGTTATTCTGAGAGTTATGTCCGTTCTTGTACTGAGTTTCATACTATGTCAAATATTTTTCAAATTAATTATTGCTTTAATTGGTTTTAAACATACTTCACTCTGACAGTCCAGTGACTTTTCCGATAGTCATACCACAATATAGAATGGATGTGTACAGTTGTAGAGTTGAAACTTGCATATTTAAGTCCGCTGTATGAATTTGATGAAAAACGTTAATAACGCATACAAATCGTGTTAGTATTTTATTTACGTTATTTATGAAGTATATCACAATAATACCTTTTCATTTTTATAATACCTTTTCATTTTTATAAAGTATATCTTTTCGTGATCTGGGGTATTAGGCCCATGCTCCGTGTTTGTGAATCTTGCTAGAAATTAATTAAGGTTCAATAGCTTCCCGTTGATCCAATGTTGTCTCTGTACAATAGCTGTAAATCCATGACAGCTGGGTATGTATTCTCTCGTTTTAGTGGTCTAATCCTAGGTGGAAAACGTGCGTTCATTGAGAGTTAAAGAAGTAGAGAAAATTGATCGAAAATTGGCAGATCTGCTTACTGGCCAACCAAGCTTATTTTGGCTTTATTCTCTCATCTTTTGGATCTTAATTGAAAGAACGAAAAAAAGAAGAAAAACGTTTTGGGGCCTTGAGGATATGAGCAATAGATGGATACTTTACAACTTGATAAGTACCCAGTAAAATTCTTTTGAAAACATTTTTGGCGTAATTGGCTTATCCCCTTGGGTTAGGCTATACATGTGGCCGTTTTAAGTTCAGTTGCCTATGCTGCCAACCTTCCTTTGGGTAAAACATTAAATTGGTGGGTTTGCAGTCCGTTGAAAAAACATGAATAGAGTTATCCAGTATGGGTTCAATTAAATTTTAAAAGCTTGTAACAGAGATCATAAGCTTAGAATGGCTTTCCTTTCTATAACCTAGTTGTTGAGTGCTCCCTGTTCGAAACTATTTACTCTTTTGTGTAAAATATGTAATGTAGGTCTATGATGTGCTTATCCTAGACAATTTTATCTGATGCAATGGCCTCTTATATTGATGTTATGGGACGAACGTTAGTCTGGAATAACCTTGAACCGTGATGTTTATTTGGATATCCTATTTATTTGGATGCTGGAGACTACTGTAGTTGAGGCCTGTAGGGATCGCAGGTCGCATTTGTTAATTTTTCTGGTAGAGTACTATTTGTGTGGATGATTTTTATTGCTATATTCATTGATAGCCATATGGCCGATCTTGTTGTCATGAGTTTATGCAAATTTTAAGCTGAGCTACCTTTTTGTCTATATATCACCTAGGCTGCATCATAGTGAGAAATATTTGTTCTTCTTGCAGGCCTTGCTCGAGATGGATGCAGGCCTGGTGCTTCAGCTGTAGTCTACGAAAATGTTAAATCAGCACAGACTGCTGTTATCAAGTTACATCAGCAACAGATAAATGGAGGATGTGTTTGGGCGCGGCAATTGGGTGGTGAGGTACATTTTAATTCATTTCATCTAGTTGACAGTTTCTTTGAGCCAGCATATTGTTATCCTGTTGGAAAATTTCAGGCAGTGGCAACGCATTATATTTTATTTATTTTATTAATCTTGAATTGTAGCTGTCTAGCTTCAATTGTGCAGTCCCGGTCATGCATGCAAAGTGTACACTAGTATTTCCCCCCGAGTTTTGGTCGCAGACCAAATTTTCCCATAATTAAACTGGGTTTGTAATCCAAATCATGGTGCCACTTCGATTTGTAGTACGACCAACTCAAAATCTTCAGGGATACCTATTCGTTCTTGGTTCAAATCATCTGAGACGGTAGAATTGTCCGATTGTCTTCAATTTGAGGTGTTATTCATGTCAAATCTGTACATACTAATTAGTTAACCATTTATTTTAGTTTTTTTTTTCTTATTTTATTCTTTGCTTCCATATGACCTTCTTTCTGTTGACCTTATTTAGGGCTCAAAGACAAGGAAATGGAGAATCATAATGAGAAATCTGCCTTTCGATGTGAGTTTTTCCCTAGGATCCGTTTCAGTTGGCTTTCACAATCCATTGGATAAAATAGAGCTTTGACTCATAAATTAATGAGGTTTAACTAATCTGAATGAATTCAAAATATAGGTCACAGTTGATGAGATTAAAAAACTTTTCGCATCGATTGGTTTTGTGTGGGATGTATACATCCCGCATAATTCAGATCAAGGGTACGTGATTTCTGTTTTCTCATGTCTATTTTTCATATTATGCATCATGAAACGCCACAAGAAGCTGAATTTCTTTTTCAGGTCTTCTAAAGGTTTTGCCTTTGTCTCCTTCCTGCACAAACTTGATGCTGTGAAGGTATGACTTATTGTGTTCAATCTTTGTCGGGATGTATTCCTTTGGTCCTTTTAATGCGGCAAACTGACATTATCTAAGACGTTCTTTTCAGGCTATTGAAAAAGTTAATGGACAAATTATTAGGAAGAGAACTATTGCTGTTGATTGGGCTGTTTCAAAGAAGACATATGTTGATTCTATAAATCTGTTGTCTTCAAAAGACGGTAATTTGTAGAGTGAGATTTACTTGCAAGAAGTTTTGCAATCTTGAGCGATTAAATTCTTTACGATCCGATTTTAATTTTGATGTCTCTTAGTTTACTTACTGATTGGAGAAAAATAAGCCATATCCAGGTATTGCTTAGGAGATGGAAATTATGTTTGAAATTTCAGTAAAACTAGTAATTTCATCACAAGGAAGGGTTTGATGAAATTCATTATTACGAAGGCATTGTATTTTATTTTTAAAAAACATTCTCATATGTTTTTGGAGCTAGAAAAATATGTTAGTAATCTAGTGCTGCTCTTGGATGATTGATGATCATGGAGTTCCCATTAGATTTAGTTGAGGGTTTGTAGTGTTGTCTTTTGAAAGAAGACAAGTGGAAACAGGTTAGACAGCCAAAATGAGTATGTTCTGTTAAGTTAAGACCTTAACCAGAACCAAAGATTAGAACACACCTCCTTGTTGATGAGATTAAGGGAAGAATACTAAGGAAACATTGGGAGAAGAACAGATCTTCATTTGTAACAGTTATCGAAGGATCTGTCTATGCTATAATATTTCGTTGAAAGGAATATGCGGTGGTTTTAGGCTGTACTTACAGTCACAAGGTCATGATTTTTACTCCTGACAAAACGTTTTTTATCTTATTCTTCTATTTAGTAAAATTTTCACTTTTTTATATTTTTATTTTTAAATTATCTCTTCTGACTTGTTTTCTCCAGCAGTAGATGAAAAGTTCATGATTTTGACTCGTAACAGTTTTTTTTCTCTTGTTTTTCTTTTTACTGAAGTTTTCACTTTTAATGCTTTTTTCTTTTAAATTATCTCTTCTGACCTGTTTTTTCTAACAGTAGAAACATTACTTATTATTTTAAACTACGGCTTAGTATTTTTACTCATAGGTGACAGTCTTACTTTCCAATTGTCTCAGTATTTTTTTTCCGTGAATTTTCCTTTCCGTTTTTTTCTTGAGCTAAATTCACCCTTGTTAATGGAGATTCGAGGAAAGCTCTAGTCTACTACATCCCCTCCTTTTCAATGGTGCGGGTGCTGGAGATTGGAGCATCGGATGTTAACATAATCTTTATAAATGTTCTCTGACGAGATGAGTTTCCACGGCGTGAAATCATTGTCGTTTTTAATTCGTTGATATTATCTATCCATCAGATATTTTAAAAGATAAAATTAGTATACGAAGATTCTCAATCGTACGTCCGTTTTGTGGTGTAGTTTCCAACAAATCTCTTTTGTAAAAGAATACCCTCAAAGATAAGTGATTGATGCCTTTCTACGCACATGGGCTGCACCAAGTGTGAGTGCTATTTATGTTAACCGCTAGGTAAGGACAGTAGAAAGTTTTGCATTCAAAACCCTCCATGCCAGTTCCTTCTCTTTGAATAGGAATGTCATTTGTCAGACTCAAGACACACATATGGTGAGACAGTTAGATTGAACAACTAGTTAGGGTTCTAGAGAATGATTGCGATCAGTTTTTTTTTTTTTTTTTGTGCACAACATGATGAGATTGTAAATTCTCATCATTTTCTGAAAAAAAATCGCGGTTGTTTTCTTTTCTATCATTTTTTCCTGTTTTTAGCTTCTTCTCCTAAAGTGATATTCCCAAAAGATTTTCATTACTGCTGGAGGGAGGTTGATGTGGGAGGGGGTTGTTGTGTGTTTTCTCTTTCCTGCATTTTTTTTTTACTTGGGGGCGGCTCGGGGAGGGGATACATCTACAGACCAGACTTTGGTAAAGCCCAGGATGAGCCTGAGTTACAAGTTGACTGATATGGGCTTATTAGGGAATACTTAAAGGCCCAAGCTGGTTAGACCATCTTGTTACTGCCCATCTATGAATCAAAGCGAAAGGAGCACATGGCTTTCAGTTTGCTGGAGGCTTTTCAAGAGTAATTCTTTGATTTCATACCGTAAATTAGAGTGCTTAGTTTTAAGAATGCCATTATGGCCCTGTCCAATACACGATTTCCTTCTCTTTGGTTCCAGCTCTAAGAAAGGCAAAGTGGAAAAAACTCCACGGTCGTTTCAGATCTTGTGAGACTGGGCTTTGTCAGTGTTGAAATATTGAAATCATACTCCTACGGGTGAGTGGGGTTTTTATTGAAGAAAGTGTTTTCGTCCCTTGCTTGAATATGCACGAAATATTGCACATGTACTCTCAGATACAACTCTCTATTCATCACCTCCACAGTTTGCAACAAGTTGATGCATACCAGGCGAAGACCCTATTAAACTCAAAACCGAGCAGTAATATCCTTACCTATGATGGAAACTTTCAGCCCATTTTTCGAACTGGTGTATGTGTTAATGAATACTCTCTCGGTTGAACAACTCTGGTGCTAACAAATTGCAGTCTTTTGGCAAAGGCACTGCATTTTTTTCGATGTTTGGTATTAAATCATCATGGAAATATGTTTAAGTGTGAAAGGCATTAAGGACTAATACTGCATACTATAGAACAGAGGTACAAAAACACAATGACTTTACCTTTTTCTTCCTACACCTATCAAATAGTTTCTTCTAGATCTAACGTGCAAGTTTCTGTATTATATCTTAGTGAGATAGGGTTTTGCTCAATGGCGGGCTGTACACTTTACTGATCTAACTTTTTAGAGGGGATGACTGGCTCAACTAGGTCATTTCTCCAATAAATGAATGATAACAGGAAATAGTTCTAATTTATGCTAGAATAGTGATTCAGAGCATATAAACTGAATTTTGACATTAATTTTTGTCTGATTTTCATTTTCACTTCAAATCGTGATGTCCATTTTTTGCAGAGAAATCCAATGATAATCTTGAGACTGGCGGAGATAATCCAGATTCGATTGACGATGTTAGCTATTTGGTTGAAGAATCCCATGATCAAGAGAATAAAGACGTTGATGAGGTAGAGGGCGAGAATCACTCCCTGGAAATCGACGTAGATATGGAAGTAGATATTGCAAACAAGGTTCTTAATAACTTAATGAAAGAATCTGTGAAACGTTCATCTCCTGAGGACATTCTGGAGCCATCTGAGACTACTCATGAGGTACGAAATTCAAAGAGCAGAGTGGGCAGGCCATCTATTGATCCGATAAATAAACAGAAAGAAGAGCACAAGCCTATACAACTCTCCTCTGAATCAAGAGTGGATAATGACTTGGAAAGAACATTGTTCATAACCAATCTTCCTTTCGAAATCAAAGCCGAAGAAGTGAAACAGAGGTTTTTGGTATTTGGTGATGTGCAGTCATTTGTCCCGGTTCTCCATAAAGTCACAAAGTATGCTCAGAGTCATGAGTCTCACGTTTTTCTCCCTTTTCATTACCAAAATAGCAAGACATGATTATGAATGAGAACTTATCTTTTTATGTACTCTCAATTATTATTGTTTACTGTTGAAACAGGAGACCTAGAGGAACTGCATTTTTAAAATTTGCGACAATAGATGCAGCCGATGCTGCTGTTTCTGCTGCCAATGCTGCTTCATCTCTAGGGATTACCATAACTGGAAGACGGCTTACAGTAATGAGAGCCTTGGACAAAGAATCAGCTCACATAAAGGAATTAGAAAATAAAAAGGCTCAGGATCATGACCTTCGCAACCTGTATCTCTCCAAGGTCTTTTCCTCTTGTCAGTCCTTCCTCATTGAGTTTAGCTATAAGGTTATTGACCTTCCTTAGACCAGCTTTTGTTCTCTTTAATAGGAAGGTGAGATCCTTGCTGGAACACCTGCTGCTGAAGGTGTATCAGAATCAGACATGAATAAACGTGCAAAGTGAGTTTATAGTCATCATATTACATTCTATTTTCCCAATTTCATGGTGGTCACGGCATTTATTTTGCCGTCATAACTAGTCATGTGTGAACTGACTTTTTGTAGATTTTGATTCTGTGTTTCTTATAATGCACTTTATAAAACTTGACTTTTTTCAGCAACTTTGTTAGTGTTTCTGTTGCTTGACTTCCGCATCCCTAACTGTATACATGGTGCTTCAAAAATGTGTATATTGTATTAACCTCAAAATTATCCTTCAGGCTGTATGTCTGCCCATGGCATATGAATGATTATCATGTGTTCTATTCTTGTGACAGAACTTTGCATGTATTTCAATAAATCCATAGGTTGAGCATCATTATCATGAGCGGTTGAAATTAAGCATCCAGGTATTGGGTGAGGTTTTCCTGCTGGCTTCTTGGCCGGGTACCATTCTCAAGTTGACATCTTTCAGTGAAAAGCTATTATGTTCCTGCCATATCCCTGGGTGAACGCATGGAACTTCCAGAATGTGTTTTTTGTATTCAAATTTTTTTGTGATAATCCTCGAAGCTATGTTGCCTCCAAGTGCTTATGAATTAGAACCTTATGTTCTATTCTGACCAAAACATAACATAGGTTACATCAAAGACCCAGATTGCCCGGTTTTATCATGAGTTGAGTGAATTCAAAGATTTTTCAAGGTTTCTTAGCTGGTCACATGCCTGGCATCAATCTACCAGTTGCTGATGAGCATGTCGTAAAGAGAAAAACCCTAGGCGGGATTGCAGAGGAGGAAAATAAATTCTCTCACATTAAGTCTGGCTTGAGTCTGGTTTATATACCAAACCCATAGGTACTACAGTGAACCGTTCTAACATATTGCTAAGAATAAAAGAGTAGGAACAATTTTGTATCAATTCTCTAGTTATGCTTTAGACTCTATGTATATCAGTTGAAACGTTTGTGAGGAATTTTTGTTCTCTATATAGTGTAATCTATTTTCGTTGCCTCGTTTTTGACAGAGGACTTTGCCATGGCTCAGAAAAAAATATCAATGTCACATAATTGACAAAGATTGATGTCTCATTTGTTTGGATTAGTGGGGATGTATGTGAGGAATTCTTGTTCTCTCTGTAGCCTAACCTAGACTCTTCTATTTTTCTTCGCCGTTGGTAAAATATATGTATATATGTATATATGTATATATGTATATATTTATATATTTATATATATATATCATTGTCATAATTGGCAACTGCAATCTGCTCCGAATATCCAATTCATTAAGCATTGCTTTAGAGTCATCAAAACACAGTGCTAATTACGGAAAGACTGCTTAGTACTCTTTTTTTTTTCCGTTTGGTTCGTTGCTGGTAATCCTTAAAACTGTATTTATTACACGCTTAATATTTAATGGAAAATACTTTACTTACAAATCATGCTACTTCTTCAGGTTGGTCCAGAAAAAGAAGATGACGCTCGAATCCACAAATTTTCATGTTTCAAAGACTAGACTTATCATTTATAATCTTCCAAAGACAATGACGGAAAACAAACTCAAAGCGCTTTGTAGGAATGCTGTTCTTTCTCGAGCTTCCAAACAGAATCCTTCCATTCTGCAGGTTCGTCAATCAGCACCTTTGGTGAGGAAAAAACTTGTTTTCTGACCATCATTCAGACGATTCTCGAATCGATTTCAGGTAAAACTATTGAAAGATGCGAAGAAAGGAAAGATTAATGCCAAAAGTCACGCTCGGGGTGTAGCTTTTGTGGAATTCAAAGAGCACGAGCATGCGCTTGTGGCTTTGAGAGTTCTGAATAATAACCCTGGTATTGTGGGACTACCTGTCCATTTATTCATCATCTGTGTCCACCATGCTCGGGCTTTGTCTGCAAGTTTCCTCTTACGTGGATTTATTTCGTGGGTTTTTCTATTTTAAGTGAAACTATGCTGCGAATACCTATTCTAGCTTGCCTTGCTTTCCTACCTTCTATCTTGGAACGGGTTTTTCGATTTTTTTTTCATTAATCAAGCAGGTTACATCATATGCTTGACAGCATTCTTCAGGACCAGACTAATATTGCACATGAACAGTATCATAGGATTGATAGCAGCGATCTTAATCTGTTGAAACGTTGACATTTTTTTAGGATTCCATTAATATTTGGTGAAAGGGTTGGAACGTATTGTATGAATCAGATAAACATTGCACATGAACAGTATCGTAGGATTGATAGCAGCGATCTTAATCTGTTTAAACGTTGACATTTTTTTAGGATTCCATTAATATTTGGTGAAAGGTTGGACCGTATTGTATGAATCAGATAAATATTGCACATGAACAGTATTATAGGATTGATGGCAGCGATCTTAATCTGTTGAAACATTGACATTTCTTTGGGATTCCATTAATATTTGGTCTTAGGTTGAACCGTATTGTATGAATCAGATTAATATCACACATGAAAAATATCATAAGATTACTAGCAAACGACCTTAGTCTGTTGAAACGTTGACATATTTTTAGGATTCCATTAATATTTGGTCAAAGGTTGAACCGTATGGTATGAAACTGGAAAGCTATACAGATGTAGAATATCTTTCACAGGTTTTTCCCCTGTGGCAGCTTAAGTACGGTGGACATGCTTAGTTATGAATATGCTTTCTTATTTTATGGGTATGCTTACTTATTTTAGCTTTTCAATTCTGCCAATTCCATGGATCTGAAAACGGAAAAAAACCAACAAATATTTTCTCTCCGTTCACTGTATCCAATTTTATGGGTATGCTTTGAAGGAATGGGTATTATTCCATTTATATCTAAAAATGGTTCGTGGGTTGACCAGTCCACTACAGAATGATATGTGAACATTTCCTTCGTGAGCTCATAATCTGACAAACTGCTCTTAGCATTGACCATTCTCCACGGTATCTGTTTTTAGCATAAAAAGTCAACTTATTTCCCTCTGACATAATTCTGAATAATCATGTGAATATATTCTGCTGACATTGCCGGATAATCTAATGTTGGATGCATCTCTCACAGCATTCCTCTGTGAAAAGTCAACTTATTCTCATGTTCTGCAGAGACCTTTGGCCCTGACCATCGCCCGATCGTTGAGTTTGCCCTCGACGACATACGGAAATTGAGGCTGAGGAAGCGGCTCCAAGATATGCGGAGCGAGAAACCCTCCGTGCAGAGAGGCGATGGGGCAGATGTGGGGAAGGATCCCACCCCTCCCATGGCGGATGCCGATCTCAGAACTGAGGACAGGCGCAGACCCAAGAGAGAAAATAACCAAAAGGGGAAATTCAAAGCAACCAGAGCTACTGAGTCTTCTGAAGTGGGCGCTGAGGCAGGGTCCTGCCCGGTGGAGAGTAGGAGCAGAAACCAGAAGGGAAGCCTAGCCAGAGGCAGGAAGAAGAGTTTGAGGTCAAGCACAGAGCCGACAGATAAAAGTCAACGCTTGGTTAGTCATCGGGAGTCGGAAGAACCAAACCCCAGAAGAAAACCCAAGGCAAAGCTCTGTTCTGCTCGGATTATCAGCCTTGGTCTCACATTTTAAGAGGGAGATTTCTAAAACTGACAATGCCCGTTCTTGCCTGTTCTTGCAGCAGAGCTCGGCCAAGCCCGCCATGCATGCACCTTCGGCCCTGGGCAAGAGGAAGTCTCAGGAGACCGAGGTGAAGTCTTTGACTTTTCAGAAGTCAACGCCATGTTTTCGGTGAGCTGAATTCAGTATGTCACTCCATTGCAGGGAATTGAGAGCAAGAACATGAAGAAGAGTAGAATTCCAGCCGGAGATGAGCTGGTCGACAGACTGGATTCTCTGATTGACCAGTACCGAGCCAAGCTCTCACAACACGGCACCAAGAAGGTGGTCAGCTCTGCTGGCGGCAGTTCTGGAGGGCTCAAGAGATGGTTCGAATCATAGGCCATGGATGATGGATTAGCCCCCCAAAGAGGGCTGGCGTTGAGACTTTTGGCGTGCTGGGGATGAAGATGCAGATGGAGGTGGTGATGGCAGCGGCAGTGAGAAGTAATCTCTTCCTGTTTTTCCTCTGTTCGTCACTTCAGTTTTGTAGGGTTCCAAGTTTCTCGGGGATTTGACCCCAGCAGAAGAGATCATCTTCTCTATTACTTCATTTCCCACATTCTTGGAGATTTTGATCCTCTAATCTCATCTGACAATCTCTTTTTGGTGATCCTGTTCTTGACCCGAATAAATTTCCGTCCTTGGGAATAAAAAAATTGCGGAATCGAGAGAAAAATTATCCGGGTATGCATCGGTATTCCAAACTGGTCGAGCTACTCTAATTGCTTTGACTTTTGTACACTCGGCCAGTGCCAATTAACTTTTACGCCCCTCTTGCCCTTCTTTTATGGGTGTGAGGCGTCGATCTTGGCCAGCCGCTTCTTTTCTTTTGTGTTGTCAAATTATTTTCTTTTATTTTTATTCGGATAATAAGTTCTATTATATATATATGAATTGAGACTTTTACCTCTCTCTCTTATCTTCAGAGTCAACGCCGAATTCATGTAGGCGAGAATCTTGTCCTTCTACGGTCTTCTATGGAATCTACATCTTATAAAATTGCCCCAAGAAAAAAGCCCACCTTTTTCGGGCCAGGCCCGCCAAAGATGACGAGCCCGGTCATGTTTGGCGGACGGAAACGTTGACAACGCCCATTCCATCCCCATGAGCACGTTTCCCCTGCGTTTATTCCTTTCACTCATTTGATGGGCCCATACTTTTGTCGTCTTGGGTGCTCCTTGTAGATCTTCTATATCCAAGCGCACGCATCTGTGCCCTTTGATACGCACCGTACTTCAATCCAATGCCGTCGCTTCCTTCGTTTCATCCTCTTCGCTCTCTCTCTCTTCACTAACCAGACGCGGCTTCTCTCTCTTCTCTCTCCGTTAGACCCGACACGGCTTCGTACTTTCTCTCTCTTCTCTGTTCTCTCTTACTTCTCTTATCTTTCTCTCCGTCCCTCAGCATAAGACCAGACACGGCTTCATCTGCATCTTCCTCTAGGTCAGAGTCCCCTCCCCTGCAGATTCAGGCGATCGCCGGAGCTTCCTCCTCCTCCTTCCTCCTCCGATCCCGCGGCGGCGACGGCAGCAGCGGAGGGCGATGGAGTTCTTCAAGAACGCCAAGGCCGTGCGGCTGCGAAGCCACCACAACAAGTACCTGACGGCGGAGGACGACGAGGAGTCGGTCAGCCAGAACCGCGACGGCACCGCCAGGCAATCCCGCTGGACGGTGGTGTCGGTGGTGGAGGGCGGCGGCGGCGGCGCCGGCCGCACGATCCGCTTCAAGAGCTGCTACGGCCGCTACCTCACCGCCTCAAACGAGCCTTTCCTCCTCGGCATGACCGGCTGCAAGGTCAAGCAAACCCTCCCCTCCCACCGCCATGATTCTTCCGTCGAGTGGGAGCCTGTTCGCGACGGCTTCCAGGTCCGCCTCAAGACTCCCTACGGCCGCTTCCTCCGCGCTAACGGCGGCCTCCCGCCATGGCGGAACTCCGTCACGCACGACATCCCCCATCGCACCGCCACCCAGGACTGGATCATCTGGGAGGTCGACGTCGTCGAGATCCTCCCCTCCTACTCCCCCGCCGCCGTCACCGCTCCGCCGCCGCTGTCTCTGCTCTCCCAGTCTTCCTCCTCCGTCTCCGACGCCGCCTCTGAGCCCTCCTCCCCGCCCCGCGACTTTTCCCTGAGCTTCTCCAGGCAGGAGGTAACGATCATCCTTCCTTCTCTCCTCCCCCGGATTGTGTGATCTGCAACCCTAATCGGCGCTGATGTCTCCGTCGTCTTGCAGTCGATCGCCTCCTTGTCCAGCGAGTCGCCGCCCAGATTGTCCAGACGAGAGGTACGGCTCTCTCCCTCTTCCCTCCTGGATCTACCACACCACTTGCCTTCAATCCTCCATTGTCTGGGAAGATTGATTGATTAATCGATCGATCGATTGATCGTCTGTGTCCTCTGGTAGTCTCTGGCAGGATCTCCGCCGAAGCCCGTCGGCCGGACGGTGTACTACTGCATCGCCGACGACGCCGGGAACGTGGACGAGGCGATCAAGGCGCCGCCACTACAGTTCAAGGGGATGAGCGTGAAGGACCTGACCAGTAAGCTGGAGGAGGAGACGGGCCTCTCGGATATCATCGTCTGCACCCGGAACCCCTTGAATGCGAAGCAGCTGCATCCCCTCCTGCTGCAACTCCCGCCCAACAACGTCACCATGCACGTCGTCCTGGTACAGGCCTCCTCCAAAGGTGGGACTTCCTCGTGGGTCTCTCGAGATCTCGATTCCCTCCGCGATTTATGCAGTCGAGAACTGTTTTTTGTTTTTTTTTTTTTGGGGTGAGGGGGAGGAGAGAACAGTATTTGATTCTCGGCTCCCCGGAGCAGAGCTTCTCTCTCAGATTCTTCCCTCCTCGGAAGAAGATCCGACCCCACCTGAGTTCCTTCCTCTCTCTTGCAGTGGCCAGGAGCTTCATGAAATTGCCGCCGCCGCTCTAGAATCGCCGGCGATGATCACCTCGCGGGGGGAGGGGGGGGGGGCATCTGTAAATCCTCCTCTCATTCTGGAATAGGTCTTCTCGGGGGTACTCCCATTCTGGATTATCTTCCTGCTCTTGGCCCTCTTCTCTGTGCGGAGCCTTTCTTCTTCTTCCTCTTGCCATCATCAGTTTCCTTGTGGTTGCCATCATCACTTGGGCAGCTTGTAATCTGACGTTTGTGTCAACTGCTTGTTGGTGGTGATCAGGCAAGATACAGAAATAAGAATTTATTCTAAATATCTTGGTTGGATGAAAGAGTGAGATTTTTAATGAAAAAAAACAATTCAAGCCCTCGAATTTCTATCATCAACATTAAAAAATCGGAATTAAAAATCCATTTTTTAAAAGCTCATTATTTTTCTTAGCTTATGGGGAATTCTCACTTGGGCGTCTTGTGATCTGATGCTGATGTCAACTGCTTGTTGGTGGTGATCAGGGAAAGCACAGGAACTAGAAAAATATAAAAAAAATATTTTAAATTTCTTGGGCGGATGAAAGAGTGAGTATTTTTTAACGAAAAAAAACAATTCAAACCTTCGTATGTCTATCATCAATATTAAATAAATATGAAAGATTATTTTTATAAAAAATCCAATTATTTTTCTTAGCTTGTGGGTAGCTAATGCTACTAAAAACCATATAGTTTTAAAAAATGGAGAAAAATAATTAAAAAAAGGAGTTACCGGAGTTTTTTTCGATTTTTTATTTTTTACCATCTATGGGCGCAATGATTGGGACAAAATAAGCGCATACTTTTTATTAACAAATTAATAATATTAGGTTTATTTCAGGGTGTTTTCTGTCCTGAAAGGGCCTTCTTGGGTTCTTCGTGTTGTCTTGTTGCTATTAGACCTCGGGAATTGCGAAATTGTGCGGAAACTCTTCCTTGACGTGGCGGTCCCCCATTGGATTATGGCGTGAACATGGGCTCTAGAAGGTGGGTGGATGTTGTTCGGCAAACCGCTTGCATTTAATGTTTTGATAAAAAGACATTTGTTTGGGAAAAAGAACAAATGGAAGCCTTTTCCGAAAGTAAAAGAAAAAATATGAGCATCTAAAAAGGTTTGTTAACTGTCAGTAATTTAAATGGGGGACAGGATAAAAACTTAAATGGCGGAAGAGTCGGAGGTAAGGAAACCTCCCCAGCTCCCATTTCCTCTGCTCGCTATTCTCGGAGAGGGCGGCGACCTGCAACTCCACCCTGCGCCGTCGCCGGTGAAGGATCTCGTCGGAGCTCCGCCGCACCACCTCCTCTCCGTCTTCTCCTTCCTCACATTCATTCGCTTCCTCGAGGGCAGGTGGTCTTGGAGGAGGACCCGGAGGAGGACGCGGAGGCGGCGGGGAACTTCGCTCTTCCTCTTCCGATTGTCGGGAACTCTCATTTGGCGCATTTTTCGTTGGATCAGATCACCAGACTGGTAATTTCTTGGCGGAGAGAAGGTGGGAGTGAGTGGAGGAGGACGTGAAGGCGGCCGCTGACTTCGTTCCCTCTTCCGACCGTCCTCCCTAGGGCCTCAGGAAGGTCGCCGGCCGGCATCGTCGGGAGCTCCCTTTGGGAAAGTTTTTCGTTGGATCAGATCATCAGACTGGTGATTTCTTGGCGGAGAGAAGGTGGGGGGTGAGGGGAGGGGGGTGGGTGGGAAGGTGGGCCAGAAGAATAGAGTGCGGGGGCCATGAAGGGTACCGGGCTGGCGCAGCTGAGGGCGGCGGGGTTGGAGCGAAGGTGGATCCTGCCGCTCGCCGTCGGCTCTTTTTTCTCCATCCTCCTCTTCTTCTTCACTCTCTCTGCCTCCACGTCCGCTCCCTTCTCCATCATTCCCTTCTCCCTCACCATCCCGTCTTCCTTCGGATCCGGTTCCCCGCCGGTCTTCGTCGAGGACAAGCTCCGGGCCGTGGCTGCTGGGGCCAGGTCCGCCTCGCGGTCTCTGTCCTCTCCTCCTTCTCCCCCGCGGCTCGCCTACCTCATTTCTGGTTCCGTCGGAGATGGCGAGATGCTCAAGCGCGCCCTTCTGGCGCTCTACCACCCCCACAACTGCTACGTTGTGCACCTAGATCTTGAGGCCACTCCGCGTGAGCGGCTCGATCTCCGCGAGTTCGTGACCAATCATCCGGTATTCGCCGCCGTTGGTAACGTGATTATGATCACCAAGGCCAACCTCATTACCTATAGGGGACCTACAATGGTTGCCAACACACTCCACGCCGCCGCCATCTTGCTCCGGGAGGGCGGGGAATGGGACTGGTTCATCAATCTCAGCGCCTCCGATTACCCTCTCGTCACCCAGGACGGTAAGCACAGCGTGTCCTAGCCTTGTTCTGCCATCCTAACTTGTCAATCCGACTGTGTGTGGCATTTGTTTTCCTTCTGATGTTTCCGGTTCCTTGCAGATCTGCTTCACACGATGTCCTACCTGCCGAGAGACCTCAATTTCATCGACCACACTAGCAACATTGGATGGAAGGAGTACGACATTGCATCCATCCCCTCTCCCTCTCTCTGTCTCCCCCTCCTCCTAGATATCGATTATCCTCACTGTTTGATCTTATCATTCCGGGACTCACTTTTTAACATTCTGTCAGATTTCAGAGGGCAAAACCCATCATCATTGATCCGGGGCTCTACTTGTCAAAGAAAGAGGATGTCTTTTGGATTACTCAGAGGAGAAGTGTTCCAACAGCCTTTAAGCTCTTTACTGGTGAGGCAATTTCATCTCATTCCTCTCTTCCCAAGTGTTGTTATCTTCCCTTATCTGATCTCGGTCTTCAATGCATGTTTGAGCTCATGTTCAAGATATGTTGATGTTTAATGAATATGATTTGACGGTATAGCAATGGGTATGAACCAAATGAACATGATTATTGTGAAATGAGATGGGCTTACTGATACTACTGAAAAAAAAGCCTTCTCTCGATAGAAAGATGTTGCCACAATCTGGTGCGTGAAAAGTTTCAAATATAATTCTTTTCAAAGATTTGGTTAGGATTGCAATCTTCAAGCTTGTTCTGTTGTCTATAGTTGCATCGTTGTGGCCATGAATCATCCTGATAAAGCTCCAGTGTTGATCGAGCAAGCATGAATGTACACCTGACTTCATGTCTTGTTCATTGAGGAAGCAAACGAGCTTTGCTTCATTGTCCAAGATTGGGTTTCTCATTTCAACCGCCATCCTATTGCAGGATTTAGTTTTAATCTGAAGAATAATTCTTTTTAGTATTTCTGTTCTGCCATCAGAATTCTAGGAAAAGAATAGAAGCTATCTTCATTAATCTGCAAATGCTCCTTCCCCCATTCTTGTTACCATTGCTCTACATGCTTGCCAGTGCGAAGGTTTCATGAGAGATGCTTCTTCTTCCCTCAAGACTTGCACCCTGTTTGTCGCTTATTGCCACAGCTCTCCCTCCTTCCGAAGCATCTTTTTATGACTTCTCTCTTGTTAATTAACTAACCTTCGTCTTCCCGTTTTCCCTCTTTTTAGAATGTATCTGTTGAAGTTTTATTCAATGGCCTGATGTAAACTAGAAACCAGCTGTCGTAATCTTCCCTTTTTCCCTGTTTAGAATGAAACACATATTGAACAGATACTACGACCTTCTATTCTCTTCATTAGCTGGGGTTGTAATCGTCATTTGCATTTTTTAATTCTTACTAAAACCTTCTCTGTTTAGCACCACAACTCTTTCTCCTTCCAGGGCATCTTTGTGACTTCTCTCCGTTAACTGACCTTCATCTTACCATTTTCCCCTATTTATAATGGATCTATTGGAGTTTTATTCAATGGCCTGATATAAACTGGAATCCCACTGTTGCAATCTTGATGGACCCAATTTCTTAATCTTACATGAATGATGAAACATATCTCGAACACACACTGTGGCCTTCGATTCTCTTCATTAACTTGGATCGTAATCATCATTTGCATTTTTTTTTAAATCAAAAACCTTCAATCGCCTCTATCAAATGGTACATGGCGTCCTCTTTCTCATCCCTTTATTTGTCGGCAAGCAATGAGCCATTCATAATTTAATATATTGGGTTGCATAAGGTTAGGTCTATCAGCCTTTTTACTAGAATCATTTCTATTTTAGGTAAGCTACTTGTTACCGTTCTTTCCTTATATTCTAGAGACACATGGAAGTTTTTTTTTACCATGGTTAAGTAGCCAGGATCTGGATTTTCTCTCTTAGATTGTGCTGTCCTGTATTGTGGAACAAGGCTGCATTTTGTTACTGAGATGGAATTATTAAATACGGTGCAATGGCACCGTAATAGGTGCAGCAACAAAATATGGCACTCCATGACAACTTCGATAGGAGCCATTGTGCCATACTTCTCCATCTGTCTCTGTAATTTCTCCATTAGAAAACACATTTTTTTATCTGACCTTAATTTAGGTTTTGACCAGAAGTAAGAAGTCTTTAGTTGTCAAACTAGTTAAAAAGGTTTGAAATCATTTCTTCCTCAGGGGAGTTGCCCACCATGGCTGCATCCCCCTCCCATCTTCGTGAACTTAGTAAAATTCCGGTGTTAGCGTGGTTTATAAACACCGTCATTGGTTAAAAATGTGCTCATGCAACTTCTTTCTAGATGATCGTGTGTTTGTCGTCATGATGCTTTAAGGACTCTGACAAAAAAATATATAGAAAATGATACTGCCCATTAGGTTGTTTCTGCAGTAAATCTCGCATAGCTTACAAAGCCTTCTCCATGGCTTGTATAGCTATTAGGGGCTGTTGTCAGGCATGTGAGGCAGGATTAGTCAACCCATTTAGGTCGTAATCAATCCCTTCTGATTCATATCCGGAAGAAAAGATCCAGTTCACGTAAAAGAATGGAATGGCTGATTTTAGGAATAAAAAGAATAGAAGGAAGAGCAAGTGCATGGAAGAACACAAATCCTCCACCCATATTTAGCAAATCATGTCCTGGTTCTCCAGTTTTGAACTCAAAACTGTAGAATAGTTGTAGAATAGTGAGCGATATAAAAACATACTTAGGGCATCTGTTGAAACCATCACTTGTGCATTATCTTTATGTGTTGTTTTCATGCTAATCATGTCTGATTTCTTATTCCTCGGTCAGATTCATTTGGTGTCATATTCAATTTCCTCTTCTCCGTCACCATATCCTCCCTTCCCACTCCTGCGACGGGTCCTTTTTTCTCCCAGAAGCCCCAGAACCGCAGACATCCCTCCCTGTCTAGATGTCATACTTAGGCCACCAAGAGGCAAACCCAAGTGCCTCCCCCTCGACCCTCGCCATTTTCTCTCTCTAGCTTGCCCGTCTAATCAATCGACCCTCTCCAGTCCTGCAACAGGCCAACCCAGAAATAAACCCACCCCCAAGGCCCCCCTCTTCCCACCCTCCTCGGCATTCTCTCTCTCTAGCTCGTCTGTCTAATCAATCGACCCTCTCCACTCCCGTTACAGGCCAACACAGAAACAAACCCACCCCCAAGTCCCCCACCCCCAAGTCCCTCAGCCATTTTCTCTATCTTGCTTGTCTGCCTGATCCAACCGTCTGGGTTCTTCCTCTGGTTTTCTTCCAGGTTCGGCGTGGATGGCTCTGTCCCGCGCTTTCGTGGAGTACTGCGTGTGGGGGTGGGAGAACCTTCCCCGGGCGGTGCTCATGTACTACGCCAACTTCATCTCCTCCCCGGAGGGCTACTTCCACACCGTCATCTGCAACGCCGAGGAATTCCGCAACACCACCGTGAACAGCGACCTCCACTTCATCACCTGGGACAATCCCCCTAAGCAGCACCCTCACTACCTCACCATCGCTGACCTCCCCCGAATGGCTTCCAGCAACGCCCCTTTTGCCCGCAAGTTCCCCCACTCTGACCCCGTCCTTGATCGCATTGATGCTGAGCTCCTCTTCCGCCCACCCGGCTCCCCCACACCCGGTGGCTGGTGTGCTGTCACCACCGCCGCTGACCCCAATTCCTCCTCCGCCGCCGCCGCCGCCGAAGCCTGCCTTGCTGTTGGCAATGCCACCCTCCTCCGGCCAGGCCCCGGTGCCCTCCGCCTTGACCGCCTCTTCTCCTCCCTCCTCTCCCCCACCAATTTCCGCCCCCGCCAGTGCCAGTAACTTCCCAATGCCACCGCCACCGCCACCAGCAACCCAATTCCTTCTCTGCTGCCACCACCTTTCTCACAGTCAGCAACGCCACCATCTTCTGCTCCCTCCTCTCTCCCTCCAATTTCACCCCCCGGCAGTGCCAGTAACTCCTCCCCTCCTCGCACAGCCACCACCACTGCCGTCACACGGCGGTGGGCTGCTCCTGGTGTATGTACAGATGGTGTGTTGCTGGCGGTGCCGGTGAGGGTGCATCGTCGTTGCTCCCCCTGATCCTTTTCTATTTAAATTCAGCAGCTTACTTATAAAGCTACTTACTGCCGTCATTACTGGTACTACCTAGTGCATGTTGAGAAAGGAAACGCTACTCAGAGGCTTCCCGTGAGGCCAAACGGACCAGAGTTTTGTTTGATAGTATTCAATGCACGTCAACGCTGTCCCATGCGCCATCCCAAGTTCAGGCCCTCATTTTTTCATGGTTAAAAATTGGGCCTTTTTAGGTCGAATTGGAGAAACCCGATAAAGAGAGAGAGAGAGAGAGCCTAGCTCTACGGGTAGTTTGGGTAGGGCCTACCAAACTGAATCCAACGATTCTCTCTCTCCCTCTTTCGCTCTCGTGTTTTCCAACTCAGAAAAGAAAGAAAAGAGACCCTCGTGCACTAGTGGGCTGAGAGCCGTTAAAAAACGGGTTGACTTTAGCGAGGTGACGGTTACCTCTTGATTTTCTTTCTTCTCCTTCCACTGTCCCAAGAGTTCTAGGTTGTGGCCAACCTGATAGAGTCTTGTTTGTGGAAAGATCAATCTTAGATGGCTTCTTCTTCATCTTCTACTTTCCTCATCTTGGTCCTTCAACAAAGTCAAAATATTTTCATTTTGGTTTATAGGTGATGCTAAAGTTGATAATCTTCTTGTTGTGGTTGAATCTTGTTGAATGTTAGGGCATATGGAATGTGTTTAAAACATTATTTACCAAGGCAAATTATATTCTAGGGTTCTAGGGGGGTTGTTATTATAGGCTTGTGAGCTTTTGGTTTTATGAAGGGTCAAGAAAATAAGATGTATTATAGGGAATAAAATAATAAAATTAAAGTTGTGACTTTGAAAGTAAGTGTAGGTCAAAAGATTTTGTCCCAATTATAAAACTAAAATTTCACATGTCTCTAATCTCCTTTGACTTATGAATTAGACTACCTTTAGTGAATAAATAGAAAATATAAAATGAATATATATATATGTATGTTTAAAATTATAAATTAAAATTAAGGATTTAATTTTGACGACTAATAAATTAGGGACCAACACCACCCTTAGTAGTGGTGTTATTAGGGTCCTTGAATATCCATTTTGGTCATATCTAGGTCTATTGGGGCTTGGAATGCTTAGGATCCAACATGAATTTTGTGCATAGTAGCCAACTTCTCTATTACTAGTATGTGCTAGTGTTGTTGGGCATATAAGAGGTTAGTCTCTAGTTAATCTTTTACAATTCACAATATACTTTGTAAGTATATACTTTGGGTTTTTTAATAGGCTGATTAGGCCTGACCCAATAAAGGTTAATAAGAAGATGAAGAGTTTGGTGGTGCCACTCCACATCTTGGGGTGCCTTAGAAAATCACAAACCCCATCTATCTCTACCTCTGCCTACATCTCTCTCTTTCTAGGAATCTTGTGGGTGTGGGCTTAATTTTTCAAGCCCAAAGTTTGTATTTTGGGACTATTTTTAGGTTTTGTGAAAGTTTATGTTAACAAAATTTTCATAATGTAAATGAAAGTAGAAGGTTTCAAAGGTTAGAAGTACTTCTCACATAACTTTCATACAAGCCCTACTTTCCATATATCTAATGAACCTAGTTGATGAACATAAATATTATGTAGATTATGTGGATTAGAAATTTATTTTAGAAAAATGTACATAGTGGTGTGTGGCATTATGCGTAGGATGAGAGTAAGGCAAGTGGGAAGGCTAACTCTTTGTTTATTTTGACCTTCCACTATATGAGAGGATAGAGTTACTTTTCTAGAATTTGATAGGAACCTAAGTTCCATTGACTCTCTTTTGACCTCCCTTGACTAAGAGGGGAAGATAATTATTCGAAAAGTCAAGTGATATAATATTGAAGAAGAATAACTAACCTTGAGCAAGAGAGAATGAAATATCAAATAATATATTGAGAGGATAGAGCTGTATTGAAAATAAATAATGATTGAATATTAGCTCAATAGTGGCTGCTAATGACTTGTGACAACTCTTGTTGTTCATTCATCACAAAATGGGGGGACGATGAGAAGAGAAAGACAAAAGGATCACGATAACTTGTGGAACTTTATAACACAGTATGACTTGTGAATAATGACAAGAAAAAGGTGAATAATGATTCTACAGTGAGTGAGTGAGTGAGAGCGAGAGAGAGAGAGAGAGAGAAGAAGAAGAAGAAACATGCTAGAGACCAAACTTGCATGAAGCACTCAGTGGCTTTCGACTAGAGACAATGAACCTCCCCCTCTTCTTATTTCCATTCTTTTCTTATATAAGTGATACTATGAATGGTTACCCATATTTTGGCATAACGTGTCCCATATTCTCTTGACTAAACACTTGAGTGAAGTAGCTAAAATGACATGAAGGACCTCCAAAAGTCTACCAAATAGCCTTATCTTTGAGAGAAATCTTACTCCCAAGATTTCAATCAGAGAACTTACCTTGGAAACGGACAAGAGACTTCTAAGTAAACTTGAAGGCTAGTAAATTTTTCCATGAGACCAACACCTCTAGATTGCTAATTGAAGAACGGAATTGTAAGATAGTTTATAGTTTGACATTCTATATGAGGTTCTTGTCAAGGATAGAAGAGAGTGATTGAAGAGGGTTGTGTAAATTAATAACTGATTTTAATAGAGATACATGATATATTAGTTGAATCTTGACAAATGTAAGAAGTTTTAGTTGATAATAGATTTGGCCAATATAAGCAACCACCTTATAAGGACCAAAATAGTGTGAGGATAATTTCTCATTCATTTGATAGACGAGTGTTTGTAGATGATATGATTGGAGTCGTAGATAAATTATACTTTCGACACTAAAAGATAACTTATGAAAATACTTATTGTGCTAAAGTTTCATTTTATTTTGGGATTGAAGTAGATGGTGAAGTTGTAGCAAGATATAATTTCACTCTTACAATTGTTCATCGATGATAGTTATGACTATTTGTTGTTGTTCGAAATGAATAAAAGTAAGTGGGTTGGGACTGTAGACAATGTGAAAAGGGGTGAACTTGAGTGAACTATGATAATTCATATTGTATTAATATTCTGTCAACTAAATCTATCTTGACCACATAGTGGAATTTTTAAAGGTGCAATATTGTAAATAAGTTTTGAGATATTAGTTATTAACTTTTTGTTTAGCCATCTATTTACAGATGATAAGTAGTACTTTAATAGAGTTTGGTAGCTTAAAGATGAAATAGTTCATTGTAAAAGTAGTTGAGAAAGGTTTGATCTTTGTCTAAAATGATAGTGAGTGAGAAGTCATGCAACTTGACTACATCTCATAAAAGCACAACAATAACATTAGGTGTGGAATAAGGGTGACACAATAGTGAGAAATATGTGAATTTACTCAACTTGTCAATAATATCTAGCAAAGAATTGAACTCATTATAATGTGATAAGCTGGCGATGAAGTCTAAAGAGATATCATCTTAGATTTACTAAGGGATCTATAATGATTGTATGAGATATATGGGGGATAATGCTTCATATTTGTTATGTTGAAAAATAGAATAAGAGGTCACACACCATTTGATAGAAGACTTCGTCCCCTACCAAAAAAATTTGTGATGGATTTATTTATAAGTATAAGGAAAGCTTAAATGTTTGCTTAAAGTATTGTTGTGATCTCTTGTAGGATAATTTGAATGACAACATACCTAGTTAGAATAAATAAACACTCTTTGTAAAATAAAAATGATCATATATCGAGTATTATAGTCAGTCACAAGAGTGGTTTTAGAGGTCAAACATAATGTCTGATTTTTGAATGATATGAAGGTTTGCTTGAAGTTGTTCTAGGGAGAGGATATGTAGGAAAGAAGAATAAATGAAGAATAGTGAGACACTTGGGAGAAGGCATATGCTGCTTTAGTCTCAATCTCTAAATTGAATTTAATAATGAATTCATAACTTAACATTTTAATCAATTAATGTTGACATTTAAGAGTCACTTGTCACTACTCAAGTAAAAATTTCAAACTCTTTTAATCTATGTAAATGATAAGTGACCTTCTCAATAATAAATGACATCATTCTTTTATAAACATAATAATTGTCATTATTTTTGGTTCATATATTATTTTAAGTCATTATTGGGACACCAATGCTTTACTAAAATAAGTAATAAGGTGTGGATGTTACATAAGAATAACTTTCATCACCTTGTTTAAGATATCGGGCTCTAACGTAAATAGTATAAAAAAAATAGCTAATGCCAAAACATGAGTAGAAAAGAGAACGAGTTTAACTTATTTGAAAGTTGAAGTAGTTGTATTAGTCCATTGATAGATATCATTCTTGAGTTGGGTAAGGAACTAAACAAGTGACTCATAATTTCGTACGAAAAGGTAGTAATACCTTGTGAGTCTCAAAAATCTATAAAGTTTGCTGGGCTATATTAGTACTTCTTTGTATGGATATGAAGATAATTAACTTGCAACATATGAAGACTTGATGTAAATATTAGCAATGTGAAAACATATCTTGACTGTATATAAAGATATCATAAAAAGAAACCACAAATTGACATAAATAATTACGAAAATTATGATTCATGAGTAACTATAGTGTTACTGAGACATTCGACAATTTAAGCAGCATGACTAAAACTTATGTGGCTATGAGGAGTTTAAAAAATAGTATTTGGAATGTCTCCCTATTACATGCGAACTTGATGATAATTATATTTCAAATTTAACTTAGAAAAAACATCGCACCATGTAGTTCATCTAACATCTCATCCATAATGGTAATCAAAAAATGAATTGAAATTGTTATCTAATTCAACAGATGATAATGTATGTGGAAACACTAACTGTCATTTTTCTTGTTTATTAAAAGAACTAGGTTAGAGAATGAACTAGTGAATGGCTGCATAATTTCTTCTTGGCACATTTCTTTGATAAATTATTTAATTTTTATCTTTTGAATATGGGAGTAACAATATGGCTTCACAATCACTAGAAAAGAGTCAAAAAGTAAGTTCATGACATGGTCAACAATTTGTTGGGGGGAAAGCTCATGTGGAGCTTCAAAGACCTGTGGAAAAAAGGAAGACAAGAATTACGTATGATGTGATAACTATAACGTGGGCAACACTTAGTCGTCTAAGTTGGAAGAGAGGCTGGTCGTCAATTGATAGAATTCAATGAGAATCTTAAGATTGTGTTGAAGTTCACAGATCATAGATTTGAATGAAATTTCAAACTTAGACTAATGTCTCATTTTAAATTTTGACTAGTTTTCATGCTTAAGTTTTGATAATTAGATTCCACCTTGACAAAGGTGCAAATCCATTGCTTGCCTAGAATGTAGTCTAAATTGTCAAGGTGGAGGGAAAGAAAGTTTTCTCGAATGATAAGGGCTTGAAGTTGAGTGAAGACACAAGGACAAAGATCCTTGTTGATATAAAGGTGTTGGTGCTAGTGACAATGTTGAATGAATAGATTGAATGATGATAGTTAGTTCTTATATAAGTTATGTGAATATAAAATAGTGTCGTGCTAGAATTGATGAGTATGACAATATCCTTGAGTAAAAGTTGCCTGCACAACTTTATAATGTTGAGGCTGGAAAACTAAGAACATCATTCATCAAGAGTTCAATGGAGTTCTTAGATGCATGTTTGATGAAAGTTCCTCTGGAGAAGGTGGTCGACCAATTGTCATTAGCCTTTAGATACATCTCATCATCTGAAATAATAAGATGAAAAATTACTTTTGACATTTATATTTGAGAGTAAAGAGATTGTTACAAGCAAAACAAGGGCCCCTAGAAGGTGTCTCATGATATTCCACTCAATGAGATGAAAGAGATGTCAAGAAGGTGTTTGTCTCATAGGAATAAATGGATGCATTAATCATGCATCAATAGGTTGACTAGGAGACATTGATGGATAGCCTTCACAATAAAGTAAAGAACTTGAGGTAGATGAATGCAATAGATGATGAGTATGTTATTAGAAGAATTTTTTTTGTTCTTCCATAAGTTAAGCTACTTGCATGATTTGATGAAGGTTCATCAAGGTGTGGAGAGAAATTTTTGCACATATCTCAAGTTTGAATCTTTTTTAAAAAATAATATTTTGAACATTTAGTAAGAGATCTGTCACTAAGCTAAATATAATCTCAAAATCTCTATGATAATCTTCAATCATGGTAACTTGTTGGAGGTTAAATAATTACTTGGGCATGTTTGTGTGAGAGGAGGAACCAAGGTGGATAAGCAAGTGAATGTAAAGATCTTGCCATTTAGAGAAAGGAACATGGTGCTCATCTCATTGAAACTAATGTAATGCTTAGTCATGGAAGTTGATACCAACCATCACAGTTTTAGTTGTCTTGTTGTGGATGAAAGGAAAGAATATCTTAATGCAATATAGGCATCCTTGTGGATTTGGTCCAAACAAGACTGAAAGCTTAAGGCGTTGAGTGTCCAAGGAAGGTTCTATTAAGTATTTTTTGTGGTTCAATGCACTTGGGTGAGAAGTAATTAGTGAAAAACTCCAGCATAGTTTGGTCATGCATTGGTGAGACGGAGATGAGTTGGGCAAACCAAGATAGAATGTCAGAACTTTGTTGCCTAGAAGTTAACTATTGGAGGGTAAGTATGATCATGACAAGAATGCCACATGTGACCTCAAATCATTGTTCCATTTGTGATTCCAAATCAAGAATATGATAAAATTAATCATAAAGTTATTTTAGATCTTTTTTTACTCTGTCAAACATGTGAATCTGATTGAAATTAGAATGTTTGGCTTTGATGCCAAATGATAATAACCTAATTTATATTGATCCTCTTTTGACTTTCAATTGACAAAGAACTCTTTGAACATTCAAGTGATATGATATTGAAGAGAAATAACCGGCCTCATATTGAGTAGATGAGAGAATGGAATATCAAATAACGTATTGAGATGGTACAATTGTACATGAAATAAATAATGATTGAATAATAACTCAATATTGTCTACTGATGACTCAGACTCTTACTATTTCTCCCTCATAATGAGTTTGTGAGAAGAGAGAGACAAATGGATCACAATAACTCACGAAACTCTGTAACACAACAAGACTTGTGAACGGTGACAATCTCTCGTGAAGCACTTAGGGGATTATGACCCCAGATGATGAACTCCCCCCCTTCTTCTTCTTCCCATTCTTTTCTTATATAAGTGATAATAATATGAACTGTTACTCGCGATCAGGCATAATATGTCCCACGTTCTCTTGAGTAAATGATTGGGTGATAGTAGTTGAAACAAGGCGTCCAGTACGTGGTTTTGACCTTCCCAAGCACATGGAGGACCTCCAAGGGTCTACCGGAATTTCTTCTCTTTCTTCGGCGATGACGGCCGCAGAGACCGGCGATGGACTCCTCTTTGCTGCTTCCTCGCTCCTCCCTCCTCGCAGTCCTCTTCTTGGTGTCAGTGGCGGTGTTGCCTCTTCTCTCCGGGTCGACAGTCGAGAGCCAGCAATGGCGTGGCACGTAGCGAATGCGGGTACCCACCGTGATTGTTTTTCCTTCAGGACTTTGACACAGTGCGATCGAATTTTTGTTTTGTTGTTCTGATTCTGCTTGTGTATTGTCTGGTTTCCAGCTAGGGAACTTTGGTTTTATGAAGGGTCAAGAAAATAAGATGTATTCTAGGGACTGAAATAGTAAAATTGAGGTTGTGACTTTGAAAGTAGATGTAGGTCAAAAGAATTCGACTTGACAACTATAAAACTAAAATTTCACATGTCTCTATCTCCTTTGACTTATTAATTAGGCTACCTTGAGTGAATAAATAGAAAGTATAACAAATATCTATATATGAATATATATATATATATTAAAATTAGAAATTTTATTTTGAGTGCTAATAAAATAAAATAAATTTTATTTTAGTAATGGAGTTAGTAGGGTCTTTATATCCACTCTGGTCATACTTGGGTTCATTGGGGATTAAAACACAAAGCACTCAACAAAGATTTCATGCATAACAATTGACTTCCTTACTACAAGTAGTGTTGAGGTTAGTCTACAGACTAGCTTTTAACGTTCACAATATATTTCGTATGCATATACTTCAGGTTTTTTAATGGGTTGATTAGCCCTGACCCAATAAAGGTTAATAAGAAGGTCAAAAGTTTAATGGGCCCACTCCTTATCTTGGGTGCCCTAGAAAATCATGAAGCCTGTCTATACCTCTGCCTCTATCTCTCTCTCTCTCTCTCTCTCTAGGAATCTTGCGGGTGGGGGCTTAATTTTTCGGGCCGGACCCGGAATTCTACACTCTCAGGCCCAAAACCCATATTTCGGGCCTATTTCCGGCCCTTGTGAAAGTTTCTGTCAGTAGAACGTTTTCCGTAACGCAAGGGGAAGAAGGTTTCAGAGGCCAGAAGTGCTTCTCACAACCTCCGTGCGAGCCCTGATTTCGATGTATCCAATGGACCTAGTCGATGAACAGAAACTTTATGAGAGTTATGTGGCTTTGAAATTTGTTTCAGGAAAGCGGACCCAGTGGTGCGTGGCGCTGTGCATCGGATGAGACCGAGGCAAGCGGGAAGACTAACTCCCCGTTTACTTTGAGCTTCCACTGTACGAGACAGGGGTTGTTATTCTAGACGGATCTAGGAATTTCTTCTCCTTCTCCGGCGACGACGGCGGCCCAGACCGGCGATGGACTCCTCTCTGCTGCTTCCTCGCTCCTCCCTCCTCGCGGTCCTCTTCCTGGTGTCGGTGGCTGCGTTGCCTCTTCTCTCCGAGTCGACAATCGATATCCAGCAATGGCGTGGCGAGGAGCGAATGGGGTACCCACCGTGATCGTTTTTCCTTCAGGACTTCGGCACAGCGCGATCGAATTTTTTTTTTTTGTGTTCCGATTCTGCCTGTGTATCTTCTGGTTTTCTAGCTAGGGCTGATGGCCGGTTGGTTATTTTGTTGCTGTACGTCCAGGGGGATCGACCTCAGGCGCGTCACCCAGCTCTCCTGGAACCCCCGGTCGATCTTCATCCTCCCCCCTGATTTCTCCCGCGATGATGCTCATTCTGAGTCCAATTCATTCCCTTCGTGATTCTCTTGTGCGCCGCGATGCTAACTGGGTTCTGCTTGTGGTTTCTGCAGGGCTTTCTTGTATCATGGATTTCTCTCTGATGCCGAATGCGATCACCTCGTCAAGCTGGTGAGAGAGAGAGAGGCGTTTTTCTCTCCCAGAAGCTTCCCTCTTCGTAGATCTCTCTCACCATGACTACATAATGGCGGAGATGAGAAGAGTTGTGTTTGATTGAACAGGCGAAGGACAAGCTGGAGAAGTCGATGGTGGCTGACAATGACTCAGGGGAGAGCGTCATGAGTGAAGTGAGGACCAGTTCTGGCATGTTCCTGAGCAAAAACCAGGTGGGGCGATCTCCCATTTCGCTTCCGTCTCCCCTCTCTCCGCAGCCATTCGCTTGTTTCTCGGACTCTGCGATCACTGAGCATCAGTGTTTTTTGGCTTTTGTTGTGGTGAGCATGTTTCTTTGCGGGGAGGACTCGATGCCCGTGGTTGCTTCTGAGGTTCGAGATGGTTGCTAGCCCGGATGATTAATTTCAACGAAATCGTAGCTGTCGGGATTAGGATTTGAATGGGTAGATTGGGCTCCAATTGAAGAACACTATGGAATATTTAGCTCATGATTTTTCTTTTCTTTTTCCGGAATGGGGAGGAGGGTTGGACAAATTTGGCCTAGAAGCTTGATTTCAGGTTAGGAGGGGTCGCAGGGGAAGCAGCGTCTTTGGATCAAGATTCTTTGAACCAGAGGGTCTGTTTTTCCGTTCTTCTCATCATGATGTTTTCTAGATGGGAAGGCAAAGTGATGAGGAGGATCTGTTGTTGAGGATTTTCAGGAGCCATCTGGTTTCTGGTGATAAAAATAGATGCACAAACCAAATCTTTGGGCTGATCCGAGGAACTGTTATTATCGGCGGATTCAAATTTTGTCATAAATTGGAATCGCCGAATCCTCAGGCTTCAGCATGTGAAGGACCGTTAAGAGTGTGAGATATTTCTAGCAGCCGCTTTTTCACATCCATGGATCCTCCTCTCAACTCGGGTCACCTTCTACTTTGGGCAAGATCTCCGGTGAATAATCAGCCAGCTTCATCAGCAAGTTCTAACACCAGGTGAACTATATACGAACCAGAGATGCAGTTTTGAAGGACGAACAGCTGGTCAAGTGCCTGATGCAACACCTCAAAGGCTTAAAAATCATTCTCAGAGACTTGAATTGCTTGCCTGGTTTTTTTTTTTTTTTCCCCCTGAAGAAAAAATCATCTCTGTTTCTTAGATTTATCTTCTTCAGTAGGGGGATAGGAAATGGGGAGGAAGTATTAATCACCCATTTTCGACCAAGGTTTGAAGCATGATCTCCCAAAGTAGACGGCATTTATTTATTTTCGTAATCTCCATCTATTCAGGACGAAGTCGTAACAAGGATCGAGAGGAGGATTGCATCCTGGACCTTCCTGCCGGAAGGTAGTCCCTCTTGCCTTTGAAGTTGAGTGAGTCGGAGATGAATCCCCTGAGAAATTTCTTGGTTGCAGAGAATGGGGAAGCCATCCAGATACTCCACTATGAGCATGGGCAGAAGTACGAGCCCCACTATGACTTCTTTCACGACAAGGTCAACCAGGAGCTCGGGGGGCACAGGGTGGCGACTGTGCTCATGTACCTGTCCGACGTGCAGAAGGGGGGGGAGACCATCTTCCCGAATGCGGAGGTAACTCGTGACTCTCTCTCTCTCTGTGTCTGTGCCTGTGTCTGTGCCTGTGGCGCTCCCTCTGTCTTGAATCTGCGCCAGATGGATGAGTTGATGAGCAGGAAAAAAATGGTGGGTTTGTTCTACTTGTGAAAGAGCCTGTTTGCATTGAGTTTGGTGGCCCATCAATAGGTTGATATCATGTCAGATCTGATGGTTGCACTTCAGTCAAAACTCTCTCTCTCTCTCGCTCTGTCTCTTAGTCATTTTGATAGGCCTTCTCTGCTCATAATCTTCAATGCGTCTCTATCGTCTACGTTTCAGTCATGAATCTGTACTCTCTTCCTCTCTCTCTAGCTTGTTGGTGAACTCAAATTATTCGCTGCACTTTAGTGTCTCCCTTTGTCCGGATTCTGCCTATATAACGTAAACATGCTGCAGGGTAAGCTTCAGCAGGTGAAGGACGACACTTGGTCCGACTGCGCCAGTGACGGCTACGCAGGTATATTTATTTACTATTTCGGGAAATATCCTTCAATCTCCCCAGAGAGAGAGAGAGAGAGAGAGATGGGCTTCTGGTGTCCGACCTTATCAATCGAAAGATTGATTTTTTTTGTTTGGTCGGCAGTGAAACCGAGGAAGGGTGACGCCCTACTGTTCTTCAGTCTCCACCCGAACGCCACCACCGACAATTTCAGCCTCCACGGCAGCTGCCCGGTGATCGAGGGCGAGAAGTGGTCGGCGACGAAGTGGATCCACGTCAGATCGTTCGAGTACCCGCCGCATGCCACGTCAGCCAACGGCTGCGGCGACGAGAACGAACTCTGCTCGTCGTGGGCCGCTACCGGAGAGTGCGAGGGGAACCCCTCCTACATGGTCGGTTCCGATGGCGCCCCCGGCTTCTGCCGGAAGAGCTGCGGCGTCTGCTGAGCCTAGCCCCTCCTCTTCTCTCTCTCCCCCCTTTCTCTTTCTCTCTCATAGCCTTGGCCCATAAATATGCTGTGAATGGAGAGAGAGAGAGAGAGAGAGTTTTAAGGAAGGATAACGTGAGACATTTCAATGCCTGTTTAAGGTAATGTGTGGGTCTGTGGTGGTGGTCAACTTTGGGAAGCAAAGTCAAGCTAATTGTAGCTCAATCTTGGTGTATGATTTCTCTCTCTAGTCTTTTCGAAAACCCGTTGCCCACGTGGCTCCGAAGCGCGTCGCTAAACGAGAGGGAAGCGTGACAGTTGACATCAGTCAGATCGATCCAAGGATGGACCCATCTCTGTCTGAGTCAAGCACGCCACAAAAATAAGCCGGGGATGTCCTCCTGCCACGAGGTCCTATCCCCGGTAAGAAATATATTGCTTATCTACCCTTCTATCAAACCAGATCTACGGTAGGGACAATCTGGTAAATAAACAGCGACCCGGCAGCTATTTATAGTTATGTACCCACGGTAGGTAAATTCCCTTACTAAGATATCGTTTGAGGGTATAAGTGCAAATACCACATGTTCAGAAGGGAAAAAGCTACCTGGTCAGCATACGTGAAAATGACAACTATACCCTTTAACCAGCACTCTCTTAAATGGTGGTCAGTAGCGACCTTTATGGGGGGAATACTCTGAGAATATTGTCTGGTGGCCTCAGTAAGAAGTACGCGTAAAATCGAGGGATAGGGGGTTGTTGACGAATTGGATGTTTTTTAGAGGACTTAAACAAAAAATAGAAAAATATTAAGATAGTATTAATTCAATAATATTAATCATTTTAATTTATATTTCTTACCGGTCGTGTATTGGGCCGGCCAGATAGGAGGTCCTCGCTGTATAAGCCACAGATATATCGCCATGACGCCCCCACGACAGGGCCTTCCAAACGCACCAGACTGTGACAGCTCATCCGACTCCCCCACCTCACTTCTCCCCGCGTCCACCGACAGCCCCACCGACACCCTCCCCCTTCCTTTCTCTCTCCACTCTCTCTCTATCTCTGTCTCTATCTCTTTCTACGAAGACCAGTGCGATGAAAGTTGATCTCAGGGGGGTCAAGTTCTGGAAGGATTTTTACCTGGGTTGGTGGTCCAGGTAGCATATGAATCTGAGGGAGGGGGGAAAAGGAGAGGAAGAGGGGGAAGGGGGTGGCGTTGGGAGCTTGACTTACCTCGCACTCTTGGCTCACGTGCGGAGATGCCCGCCGCCCGCCGGGCCACCAGCTCCGCCGGTCGTCATCTCTCAAGGTGAAAGGAAAGAGAAAGAGAAAGAACCTCAGTGACCCTCCCTGCAAGTCGAGGCATTTAAAAAGAACGGAGGAGGGAATTACCAGAGCTTGCCGCCGGTCGGTGAGAGAGAGAGAGAGAGAACCTCAGTGATCCTGCAAGTCGAGGCATTTAGAAAGAACGGAGGAGGGAATTACCAGAGCCTGCCGGCGGTCGGTGAAAGGGTACAAAAGTCGCCGTCGGTGGGGTGGGCAGGCGAGATCTCCACCTCACAGAGAGAGAGAGAGAGAGAGAGAGAGAGAGAGAGAGAGGAGTCACTGAGCGAGCTGCGACAACCCAACCACCAGCGACCAATAATGCCGTCCTCCTCCTCCTCCGGTTTCCTCTTCTAATCTGCGTAGCAGAGGTGGAAGAGCTCAGGAAGAGGAAACCAGAGGAAGAGGAGGAAAGCAGAGGAAGAAGAAGAAGAAGAAGAAGAAGAAGAAGAAGAAGATGTTCGGGCGCGATCCGTGGGGAGGGCCGCTGGAGATCTCCCACGCGGACTCCGCCACCGACGATGACCGGAGCAGGAACCTGCAGGACCTCGACCGGGCGGCGCTGTCGCGGCAGCTGGACGAGACCCAGCAGAGCTGGCTCCTGGCCAGGCCCGGGGAACCGGGGAAGAAGAAGAAGAAGTACGTTGACCTCGGCTGTATGGTGGTCAGCCGCAAGCACTTCCTCTGGACCGTCGGCAGCATCCTTGGTGCCGCCCTCCTCGTCGGCCTCATCGTCCTCATCGTCAAGACTATGCCCCACCACCGCCCCCGCCCCCCGCCGCCGGACAAGTACACGCAGGCCCTCCACAAGGCCCTCATGTTCTTCAACGCCCAACGCTGTAAATTCCTGCTCCTCCCCTTCCATCTTTTTCCTCCTCATTTCTTCGATCAGATTGCAGAGCTCCTTCTTCTGGTTTCCCTCTGACGCGGGCTGAAATCTGCGAGCAGCTGGCCCGCTGCCGAAGCACAACAACGTCTCCTGGAGAGGGAACTCGGGGATGCAGGACGGCATGTCCAATGGCGGCACGAAGAAGAACCTCGTCGGCGGGTACTACGACGCCGGGGACGCAATCAAGTTCGGCTTCCCCATGTCCTTCTCCATGACTCTGCTCAGCTGGAGTGTCATCGAGTACAGCGCCAAGTACGAGGCCGCCGGGGAGCTCGAGCACGTCAAGGAGATCATCAAATGGGGTACCGACTACCTCCTCAAGACCTTCAACTCCTCCGCTGATACCATCAACGAGATCGCCGCTCAGGCAAGTCAATTCCCCCTCCCTGTTCTTCCAAATCGGCGCAAAATCATCGCCGATCAGCCACCATCCCCTCGAGTTTCAACACCGGCCGTCGCAGATCTGCCTGAAATTTCTCAGTAAAAGCAAAATCAACAATCTCCGATCACCTCTGCAGGTCGGTGCCGGGGACACTTCCAAGGACACAAACCCTAACGACCATTACTGCTGGACGCGGCCTGAGGACATAGACTACGAGCGGCCGGTGTACACCTGCCACAGCTGCTCGGATCTGGCGTCGGAGATGGCAGCGGCTCTCGCCGCCGCCTCCATCGTCTTCAAGGATAGCAAGACCTACTCCGACAAGCTCGTCCATGGGGCCGCCACGCTCTGGAAGTACGGGCGGAGTCAGAAGGGGAGGTACAGCCCGAACGGCGCCGATTCCTCCATTTTCTACAACTCCACCAGCTACTGGGACGAGTTCGTCTGGGGTGGCGCCTGGTTGTACTACGCCACCGGCAACTCCTCCTACCTCGCGCTGGCCACCCATCCCACCATGGCCAAGCACGCTGGAGCTTTCTGGGGCGGTCCTTTCTACGGCGTCTTCAGCTGGGACAACAAGCTCCCCGGTGCTCAGGTATCCTTCTTCTTCTTCTTCTTTTCCTTCTTCCTAGTTCTTCATGGGCTTCCGACGGTCTCCATGCTTTTTCTTCTTCATCGTCGTCTCCAACAATGGTGGTCCACTTCGGCAGGTGCTGCTGAGCAGGCTGCGGCTGTTCCTCAGCCCGGGGTACCCGTATGAGGAGATCCTGCAGACCTTCCACAACCAGACCAGCATCGTGATGTGCTCCTTCCTCCCCATTTTCAACACCTTCAACAGGACGAGAGGTTCGTTCCCAGAGTTTCCGGAGTTTCTCCCCCTTTCTTCTTCAACCAGACTGTGCTTCTTCCTCATCGTGGAGAATCTTACAGGAGGACTGATACAGCTGAACCACGGGGCGCCGCAGCCGCTGCAGTACGTCGTCAAGGCGGCGTTCCTCGCCACCGTCTTCAGCGACTACATGGAGACCGTCGGAAGCCCTGGCTGGACCTGCGGCCCCAACTTCTACCCGATCGAGGTCCTCCGTAACTTCGCCAGAACACAGGTCTGTCTCCATCTCCGCCATCGCCATCGCCATCGCCATCGTACTTCCGTGAGGAAACAAATTAGGGTTTCTCCTGTGCAATTCCCCAAATCTGGTGCTCGATCCTGCAGATCGACTACATTCTTGGGGACAATCCGCTGAAGATGAGCTACGTGGTGGGGTACGGGAAGAAGTACCCGAAACACGTCCACCACCGGGGCGCGTCGATCCCGAAGAACGGCGTCAAGTACGGCTGCAAAGGAGGGTGGAAATGGCGGGACACCAAGAACCCTAACCCTAACACCATCATCGGAGCTATGGTGGCTGGCCCCGACAGATTCGACGGCTTCAAGGACGTCCGCACCAACTACAACTACACAGAACCCACTCTCGTCGGCAACGCCGGCCTGGTCGCTGCCCTCATTGCCCTCTCCGACATTCGGACGGGAATCGACAAAAACACCATCTTCTCCGCCGTGCCCCCCTTCTTCCCCACCGTGCCGCCTCCTCCCGCAGCTTGGAAGCCATGACAGAAAGACCAGAAACACGAGAAAGACCAGAAGCCCAGGCCACCTGCTCTCTCTCTCTCTCTCTCTCTCTCTCTCTCTCTCTCTCTTTCTCTCTCATTTTGTACAATTCCTCCGGGAAGGAGCCTTCGCTCTCTCCCATCTCCATGGCGCCGCATCACAGATATCTCCGCCTCTTCAATCCCTTCTCAGATAGTTCTGCCCACAGGAATCACGAACCACAAAATCAATGTTTCAGAGAAATTCTTCGTTTGTGTACACCGCCGACTACAATCCTGAAGAGATCTCCTTCATCTTCTCCGATCCTTTCAGCATCAGGTCACTCGCATGGCGGCGCCGGAGCCCCCTGCAAAACCCTGGAAGAGCAGGCCCGAGGAAGACGAACTACGTGGCACGAAATGCTTAAGAACAATTCAAATGATGGGCGACCGCATGGGGGGGCACTTGTCGGTAACCACAAAAGCTACTTCCTGTTGGGTGAGAGTTTTCAGCCAGTCAGTAATGGGCCGAGCCGGATCTTATGTTTTATATGAGCTTCCTCTAATGGGCCAATATCAGCAAAATGGGCCGTCGACAAGGAAATACTTTAAGAAATGTATGACGAAATCATTCTAAGAAAAAGATAAAATAAAATATACTACTATATATCTAAATCACAATGAAAAGCGAAGCATATTAATTAATTATATTCATGGTAAGATATTAATTATATAAAATGTATTATATATATTAATGATAACATATTAATTAAATAATATCTCATGTAGGTTGACCGACGGTCTAAGTTCGTCGTCAAGGCGCCCTGGGTTGTCCCGATAAGAGTCCCGAGCCAGTCCTGTTGACTCTTGGTATGTCGGGCAATCTGACCAGTTAACGGCCGCAGACAGGTTCGTCCGGCGATGGGATTTTCATCAAAAAAGGGACGGTCGAGATCGATGCGTATATTTTGCGAGTCCGAAGCGCTGCGTATAGTTTCGTCGTACGTAAGGACCTAGAGACCAATAGAACTGAACAGGGTGAAGGAATACCAGCGTGGCAGTGGAGAGATGTCTGATAAGGGTGAGTGGCGATACGTATACATAGTGTTTTATTCCTTGGGTGGGAAGGACGGGGTCGGGAAGACGGAGGGTTTTGATTGAGACGGTGAGACTGAGTCAGGGAAGGAGGGGGGAGGGAAGGAGAACGCCATTAATTTAACCGGCGGAGGGGATCAGAGAGGAATCGAGATTGCAGATCCGTCGAGGAAGGAGGGGGTGGGAGTGGAGGGGAGATCCTCCGCCGATCTGTAAGGGGTTGGCATCTCCGGCTGGGGCTCCGTCGGCGCCGCCGCTTTCTCCGGCGAGGGAGGAAGGGGGCCGAGGATGAGGGGCGCGTGGGGGAGGAGGGCGAGGGGGCAGACGGTGAGGTTGGGAGGGGAGCGCGATGGGAGCTCCGGGAGGGGAGGATTGACCCAGGCGCCGTCGCAGACGGTCAGGCTGGGGCGGGTCCAGCCACAGGCGCCGGGGCACCGCACGATCTACTGTAACGACCGCGACGCCAATCTCCCGGTCAAATTCAAGGTGCGATCATCTCCGGTTCCTTCGTCTCCCCGTTACCGGTTATGTTTGATGATTCTGAAGCCAGACTGTTTGGGGACTCCGCGTGAGTTCTGCTCTTAAATGGGTTTCTGGTGCTATGGAGTTTTTCGCGTCTGGTATTTGAGATGTGCTTGCGCAATTTATTTGGCCTGCCTCAGAAATAAAATAAACTCGTCGAAGGGACTGCTCTTACCATGTTAGACATCGCAAAAAATAAAACTGGGTTAGTTCCAGCTATTTTTCCATTCGGCTGACAAGAATACGCGGGACTAGCTGTGTTGCGCGTAGGATTTCAATATGGTATTTTCGTTTCCACCACATGGTTCTCAGAATGGAATTAGGTGATAGTCGAATCTCTTCTGACTTGTCCCTTTCCTGCGCCAGAGTTGCCTTCAAATTTTCACCAAGGGCCTGCGGATTGTTCTCTCAGGGAACTGAAAATGTCCACTCTTCATAATTGGGCTTGTTCTCTGTGATCACTCATGTCGACTATTCATAATTTAACACCGACTATGGACTATGATATTTCCAGTTCTGCAATGATTTCGAAAAATGGGAAATAGGCAATGGGATTATGTTCAGAGAGACTGGATGAGGCATTTCCTTGGAGGACGCTCATTCAATGTATGCATTCACATCTAAACATTCATCTACAGGCTTCTCAAGATCCAAATTAATAATCAGAGCTCTCCAGCTTAAAATTAAGCCAGCGTGTAGTCTATCTGATGAATTTGACTTCCATTGATGGAGGCAGTCTTGTCACTCACTAATCAGTATGCTTACCATCATCTCTTGGCTTGTTGCCAGCTTATGTTATGAAGTTGTACATTTAGTGGGTTAATGGGTCTAAGTTGTTTACACTCTCTCCATCTTTTTTTTTGTATATCATGACCATTAATGTCTCATTGATGCCCTTAAAACCTTCAACAGACTCCAAAACAGCCTGCATATAATCTTTTTTTGATGTCCCATAAGTCATTGAGAAAAAAAAAAAAGAAAACCCATCAGACTTTGGAAACTTGTTCTCTAAAAAGAAAAACTAATTTCTGCTACATCTTTTGCTGTCAAAACTTTCGAAATCTTCCTTGGCTCCTTTCTTGATGACCTGGACAGCAAATTCTCTCCAAATGGTGGCCACTAATCATCCTCTTCTGCATATACACATTAGGAGATACTTAATGCGTTTACTAATGTGATTTTCATTTATAATCTCCTGCTCCCGTTCAGTTTCTGCTGAGTTGTACTTCTTATTCTTGAGGCTGCCTTGTGAAAGTAGACTATTTTTGTCACATTCCTTTAGTCGCCTATCCCTTGATGTCCTTTTCCGGTGCCATTGATACCTGGAGATAATATTCCTTCGTTCTGCCTTGAATGTCTCTCTGGTCTAGTCCGCTTTATCATGTATCTCTACTTCTTTCAATGCATTAACTTCCTCATGTGGAGAAGAACATTTAAGCTCCCTGTCTGGATTCACTTCTCTCCTAGGCAGTGTGAACAACATTGAAGCTCCCTGCTCTGCATTCCCAGTGCACAAAAACTGGATTCCCTAATAGTTTTTATGTCGTTTTGTGGTTAACGGGCTATTGATACCTGAGAAACCTTGTGAGAACCTATCCAAAGAGTTTTTAAATTTTGGGGAACAAAATGTCTCTTGACATGTCAGAACTCCATTTCTTCATGAAGAACTCATTTCATTGAATCATTTATCTTCCCAACATTCATAATTTAATTAAAGGTAGACCTTTTGATAGTTGTAGTCCTTCAATATTTTTCATTATCTCCTCTGCTCCATCCTTGGTCGTAGCCTCTTGGAAAATTTAAAATATGAACCTTACATTTTCTGACTAGCATTCTCACCAATATCCACTTCTCCTCAATATATATGCCCAGTGAAGTTGACGTGATTCCATGAAATTCACGCTTTCCTCACCCACATCTCTCCCTCTTGCTTTCTTCTCCTTCCATCTGTTTTGTTTCTCTGTTATTGAGTCCTCCATTTAGTGCCCTTTGCCATACTCAGTGGCCGCATATTTTTGATCTTTTTTAAAACATCAGACACATTCTTTTTAATGCCATTGACAGTCAGCCTCACCTTGCCAACAAGCTCTTATATTGCTCCACATTCGCTCTTTCTTGTCCCCTACCTTCCATTTCTCCAATGACCTCCTTTTTTTCTTCTCATAATTCTTTCTCCATATCTCCTCTGTTTTCAGCGCCTCCATTTATTTTTATAGTCTCTTTTGCTTTCTTGTTAGTTTTTGGTATTATATTGCCATGCTTCTGGGTTTCTCCTAGGCCGTAGAACCCAGTCTGGGGATAGACTGACCTGGATGGGCACCCCCCAGCGTGTTCTGCTCATGTTTTCTTCCTCAACTTCTTGGCCTGGTTGTAGTGTGAACATTGGAAGAAGAGTAAGGTTGGAGACATGATTAAAGTGAATGAACCTTTGTTATAATTAGCTTCCAGAAAATCATGATAATTCTAAATAAAGCAGTCAATGCGGTTGAACAGCTTCTTCTTGTGCACAGAGTACAACTTTACTAATTACTGGTAGTCTTGTATGTTCTGTGCTTTCTTTTTATGTGCTCTTCTCTTTTGCTCTGTGTTCTAAAGATGATGGATTCTTAATTTATTTTTTTGCCATTTCATTTTAGGGAAATTCTATATCAACGACAAAATATAATCTCTTGACCTTCCTGCCAAAAGGGTTGTTTGAGCAGGTAAAGAAATTTAATCTTTAAACACTTTGCCACAACTTTATTTTCACTTGGCTCTTACTGACGAGCATTCAGTTTTTCTCATACAGTTCAGACGGGTGGCTAATTTATACTTCCTTATGATCTCAATTTTGTCCACCACACCAATCAGGTTACCCTCAATACAGTTTGATATCTTTTCTATTTAATTCTAGGATAAAGTTGTAGCTATTAAGGGTTATATAACGTGTTTTCTTTTTTCTTATGCTGGGAGGATTTGTTACTAAAGCTCATCTTCTTGACAGTCCAGTGCACCCGATAACAAATGTGGTTCCTCTATCTCTCGTGCTTCTTGTGTCGCTTGTGAAGGAAGCATTTGAGGACTGGGTTAGTAGTGAGAAAAAGGCTAAATACTTATGATCTTCTATTCATATATGTTTTTATATGATGTATCTAAAGCAAAATAAATTCTTAGTTAAAGGACTGATCTCATGAGAACTGTAGTTTATCAACGCATTTTTTTTATAGAAAATGGATTCTACTTTGTTTATTTTTTCCCTGACATTTTGTATTTGGCCTCTCAGAAAAGGATGCTTAATGACAGGGTGATAAATAGCACATCAGTTGAAGTTTTGCAAGATGACAGATGGGAAAGCATTCCTTGGAAGAAACTACAGGTCGGAGATGTTGTGAGGGTAAGTATCATTTACATGTTTGCTGGATGAGAAGCGATTTTACTGATGGCTATTTTTAATGTCTGCGTAATATAGTTCAAGGAGCACTTAAGCTTCTGCTCTTCCAATGCAAGTTGCCATTATCTTGTGATATTCACTGGATAGTGTGGAAAATTGTCTCTTTCGTAGGTTGTACTGTTATTTGTGGCACGAAATTTATAGTTCAGTTTGCTACTTTCTTTGCCCTCAGGAATTGTACCTTCTTAGTAACATTTTGTTGATTGTTGTCTTTATATTTTGTTATTTTGGAAGCTTTTGTTCTATGAAATAGCTTGCTAGAGGCCTAGTCTGAAAAAAAATAAAATTGCTTTATGCTAAATATAGCAACAAAGGTCTGCTAGCTTTGGGATGTAGTGGGGGTAAATTGTTCATTTTTTTTACTTTCGTAATGACATTTGCTGAATTTGTAATCTTGTTCGTTGACAAAGATAGAAACAAAGATCGTTTAACTTTCAAAGGTAGTGGGGAGAACGTCTTGAAAATAGATCTGTTAGATATGGAAATTGATGAATTTGTTAAGGCAGAAGGATACAATGTGGAGTAAATAACTTCTTTTTTAGTTGGAAGACGATTATGTACAGGGATGGCCCCTCTATCTCTGATGCCTGTGTTCTGTCTCTTATACTCTCGACACATTGATGCTCACTAGTAGGTTTCGGGGGTTAGATAGTGCACCTCTTCAAACAAAGGCAAGGCAGGCCTAATTCATAGTACCACAAATTCGGTACAGCGAATTTGTGTATACTCACACTCTATTAACAATAGTATAATGCGAGATGCACTTTTGACTGTAAATTTTGATCATTCTTAACCTAATACGTTTCGGTTTCAATCTAATGGCTCGTGATGAAATTCGTTGGATATGTTGTTGTGGGCACCTTTTATAGCTCAATGCCTTATGCCTATGACGCCTAATGTTGCTGCACAGAATACCTGCATTCGTTTACATTATTCCTGTATTTTTCTTTGTCCTCACGCTTACCTACTAAATTTTTTCTGCAGATCAAACAGGATACTTTTTTCCCTGCAGATTTGCTTTTCCTTGCGAGTTCAAATCCAGATGGTGTGTGCTATACTGAGGTTAGTTTTTTTTTCTATGTTTATCATCTTTATAATCTCTTCATATTGAGCGCTATTTTGACTTGCACTGCTTAGATTCATGACAATTGCATTAGAAAGAAGGTTTGCCTGATTTTGTTACTGATTACCAGTTCTGATTATAGACTGCCAATTTGGATGGAGAGACAAATTTGAAGATCAGAAAAGCACTGGAAAGGACTTGGGATTACTTGCTTCCTGAAAAAGCGGCTGAATTCAAAGGTTTGAGTGGTTTTTTTTTTCCTTGGTGATTTTAGCTACGTAATCAGTTTTTGGTTTACAAAAAGGGTACTTTTTTATCTTGTGCGCAGGGGAGATAGAGTGTGAACAACCAAATAATTCGTTGTACACATTCACTGGCAACCTTATCATTCAAAAACAAACATTACCTCTTTCTCCTAATCAGATTCTTCTAAGGGTGCGTTTTTTTCCCTCAATTGTCTGCCCTTTTTAATTTTCAGAACATTAGAACTCTCAGATATGATATACTTAGCATGGATATAATTATTCTTCTTTTTCTTTCTTGTTGCAACTGATGCAAATTACATATAAAATCATAATTACTACTTGTTCCCTTGTCAAGTGAAAAGGACTTCACTGTAGTTATATTACTTGCCAGATGGAACTTCTTGAGCAGGTCTAATGATACTGGTCGTTAGTACAAAAGACGAGAATCGTGGGCTGTCCCGTTTGCAATGTTACAAGTCAAATTATGTTATGGAAGAACTAGATTGACTCAGCGAACGGCTATGGAGCCTGCTTCTACCTCTTGAGCTTGGCTGGTCATGTTTATGGAAGTAATCTTCAATAAAAGAAATGTAACTAAAAGAATTGACCATCTTGATAACCAAGCTGTCTGAACTGCTTCCGTTAGCCATCAAATAAAGAACAAAAGATGTAATTATCTGTGTGAAAAATATAAAATTTCCCGTGAATTTTTTGTGCAACCAAGGTTCCGCCATTACGACTAATTCCCGTGAAATCTTTGTGTAAACGTAACTATGATCAATCCTTTTACGAACAGGACTCTTATAGTCGGTCACCATTGCTGGTGAAGATACCTCGTAGTAACATTATATGCTCGTTTTTAATGGATGTCACTTGGATGACCTTGTATATGCTAGTCGAAGAAGACATTGTCCTCAAGATTGTCAGGAACCTTGACTGGCTGGCCATTACTGTAACTGTAAGAAAGGAGAGAAAAGACAATATTTCCTACCCATATTCTTTTATAAAGATCGTATTCTTTTATCAGACAGTTTTTGAGGTGCGTACTCTCCCATTTAGTATTCTCTTTTAGTTAACTTCACATTCTGCTATTACATTTTTTGTCATGAAACGTTGTGCACAAAACTGAGGCTAGTAATAAATAGATCATTAGTCAGAAATTGGTTAAAAGAGGCTGTCCACGTGTGCATAGTCCAAGCCTAATCTCCAAAGCGCAAGTGTTTCTTATAGTTTTCAATGATGAGATGGTATGGAGGATTATTTACGACATGGAAAAGCAGGGAATTACTTGGATATTACAGATTTGGTCGAAGATTTCCCTATCCTATGGTTTCTGATCGTGGTTTGGGGAAAGTACTCTTGCCGTCTATCTGATCAGCCAAATGGAGAGAGAATATAGGAAATTCCAGCAAAAAAAATTATAAATACAGTAGGCAAAATCAATTGGATCATTCTTGTTTACATGTCAATTTATATGTACCCAGTTGGTCGGGAACAATGGAAATGAGAAATAGTCTCTTAAAGTGTTCTTGTAAAACACGATCAAGAATAGGATAAATCTGCTTCTTTAGTTTATACCTTTCAGATATCCATAACCTTATTAGAGCAGAAGAGGAATTTTTTTTTCAGATAAATCTGTGCTTTAGTTTTTCGTTTTTTTCTGTTTTACTACATTTATACTTGACATTTTAGCAAACCACCATAAAAAAATGTGCTATAGCTTATGATTTGAATCGCCATGGAGATATTAGTAAATAAAACTAGTTTAGTAAAAGAAAATTGAAGTAAACTATAATGCAGATGCCAGAATATCATATATTTTATTAGAATTTGTCGTCAAACTATGACTCAGTAAGCACCAATGAAATAGACCTCTGCTATGAACGAAGGGACCTTTTCTTGAGAGTAGTTGAGTATATTTTTTGAGAGACAGATTCTTTGTCCATGGGCTTGTTCAGAGGCCTTGATGTGGAATCAAAAGATAAATGCGGTGCTATAACTCTGTAGAGATGATATTTCTCAGCGAAAGTCTTTACAGAAGTGGTACGTTTTGTTTCCTATGTTGTCTCGATATTATGCAGCTTGCATCTTTTGTCCTTTTTAACCATTGACCTGGATAAATCTGATTGTTTAACCAACACAATTTTCATGCTGCACTTTTTTTGTCTGTAAATATTGCTAGTTTTCTTGTGCTGTTAATTCATTTGCATCATCTGCTAAACAATAGTAGCTTCTTGTTTTGAATGTCTTAGATAACCTTAAAATTGACGTAGGGACGTGATGCTTGAAATAGTGAACAAATTGTTGGGATCGTCATATTTACTGGGCATAAAAAAATATTTCACTTAGTTTAACTGTCTTCTTTGGATTAAACTTCTCAATTTTTAGGGTTGTAGTCTTCGAAACACTGAATACATTGTTGGCGCCGTCATATTTACAGGGCACGAAACAAAGGTTGGTGCCTACAGTGACTTATTTCTCCATTATCATATGTTCTGTTGTTTGTGCATTATCAATACTATGGTGAGTTCTGTTTTCTTGTGCCAACTGTAGGTTATGATGAATTCTATGAATGTCCCTTCAAAGAGAAGTACATTGGAGAGGAAACTGGACAAGCTTATACTTGCTCTTTTTGGTGCTCTGTTTTGTATGTGCCTGATTGGAGCGATTGGAAGGTTCAGAAATTCTTAGTCCCTTTGTTTCATGACATTGTTTTCATTGGTTTACATCCTAATCATTTTATGAAAGAGTTTGGTTGCGTGAATGAGGAAATTAGGTTTTCTGCTGGTTTAATTGAAAAGTGGGGGTAAACTACCGTAGATCCGGACAGTGAATTAGTTTGATGTTGAATTTCCATGGGTATGTTGAATAGTATGGTTAAAATATGATAGAAAGGAACTTCCAATATGTGTGCATTTTAGTATTCCTTGCATCCTTCTGCAGCTTATATTTCATGGACTGCTGATGTTGTTTTGTTTTGTTTATGTACACAGTGGTGTTTTTATCGATAGGAAGTACTTCTACTTAGGTCTGAAGGGAAAGGTGGAACAACAGTTTAACCCTGGCAACAAATTTGTGGTATAGTTTTATACAAAATTATCCTACTCTTGAATTAACATTATATGTTAACTTCTGCTTTATTTACTCGTAATGCATTCTTTCTTTCTCAGGTCGCTATCCTGACCATGTTTACTTTGATAACACTGTATTCAACCATCATTCCTATTTCTCTTTATGTTTCCATTGAGGTAGGTTCTAAGATTAACTTGATTGTCTCTTTGTTTCTGTTTATTCGAAAAAATTTCGAGGATACTGATGCAAGTTTTTTTTGTAATCATATTCTCATCATAAGATGATCAAGTTCATACAGTCTACCCAGTTTATCAACAAAGATCTACATATGTACCATGCTGAAAGTAACACTGCTGCGTTGTCTCGAACATCCAATCTGAATGAAGAACTTGGACAGGTATTTTAGGAACGCTTTTTGTATGTCAGAATTTAGTCCTGTTTCGTTAAGCTACTGTCGAGGTGTCAAGAAACCAGGCTGCTTCTGTCATAAGATCTTATTGAACCATGTTAAAGATATCCTATTGAAGATCTCTAAGACTCGGATTTTATCTTAGATTGGAGCGGTGGGAAGATATCTAATACTCATATTCTATATTTTTATGAGTACTTATCGTTATCACTTCTTTCTGCTGCCTGACTTTTTGTCGAATTAGTACCTTGTTAGTTATCACATCCTTTTTGTGCATTTCTTTCTCCTATATCTTAGTTCCGAATCTTGTTAGAAAATGGTTTCGATGTCATAGTTCCTCGGTATATATAACAGTGGCTACTAAGAAGACACAAGATGCGAAGTGGTTACTATCAGGAGTTGTTGAAGAGGGAGGGTGACCGTGGATGAGCAGAGGAGCGAGCGTGGAAACTAGGGAAGCTGGGGGGGGAGGGGAGTTACTGCAGAGGGACGGAGGCTGACGTTTGGGGACTAGACATCCAGGGAAAGAGCTTGAGGGTTGTGCCTGAGATGACACGAAGGAGGGGGCTGGGTTAACCAAGAGAATATGATACTAGGGGCCTAAGAGGTTTGCCAGAGTTGGGAGGGATTTCTAGCCGGAGGAAGAGAAGATCCAATTCTAGAGTGAGGTAGGCGGTTCTCTGTAAGAAAAGGGATGGAAAGCGATAAATTCCATTTCAGATGGATGGGGAATGGCGAAAAAGGGAGTGTTTATCTGAGAGAAGAGAGAGAGCAAGAGGCATACTTATCGATGATAAAAGTTTATTTCATATAAATCGAATTCATGACTGAGTTGACCTGAAAACCCTTTTAGCTTGCTTAAGTGGTATGTGCTATCTCAAAGTAGTTGACCAAGAAATGCATGCTCTTTAATGAAATTATTTCAAACGACTGGGAGAAGACTTTGGAGAATGTACGTCGGAATTCTTAGGTTTCAGGTGCTGCTCTGTGTATTTGCATTGAACAACATGTTTTCCTCTTTTAAAGCACAACTGAAGTTTACTCGGATTAGATGATATGATATAATCAGTGTGAATTGTCTTATGCGACAAGAGTTGCAACTTCATGTCAATTGACATGATTTGCTACTATGACAAGCCCTGGTTGCTTGGGGGAGTGAGTACCTTGGGAGATGCTTTGCTCTTTGGAGTATCTTAAGCCAATTACAAATCTTTGCCCAGAGACTCTGGTTTCTCGGGTTCATGTACATGCTTAGACATAAAATCTCTTTGAATCTCTTGAACATGGTGTTTCACACCTGCTTTCTTATAACATGTTCAGAAGATGGATGCGGAAGTGACAAGTATGCCATTTATTGATATGCATTTTCGATGCTTTGTGAGCCCGAAACAATTGTGAGCACATAACATGATAGGGGGCCTCCAGCCTTTGATGAGGATTCTCTATTGAGCTTTCCTGAGTAGAGTCGGAGATGAGAATAATGATCTTGAAATATAATAAGTACGATTATTTTCATTGTTTTCTATCCTGAAAGATTGTTCACTTATATTCTTCTATTTGTGCAGGTTGAGTACATTTTTTCTGATAAAACTGGTACATTAACAAGAAATTTGATGGAGTTCTTCAAGTGTTCAATTGGCGGAGTCACATATGGCAATGGAATTACAGAAATAGAGAAAGGCAGAGCTCAGAGGAATGGTTTAAAAATTAATGGGGTGTGTCTCCATTCAATTGCCCATTGGGAAGGAATTTGGTGTCGAAAATAACCATCTTTTTCACATTCCTCCAGGATCCTAGCTCTACTGGTCCCGTGCATGAAAAAGGATTTAATTTTGACGACCCCAGGCTTATGCGTGGTGCTTGGCGAAATGAGAACAATCCTGATATTTGTAAGGTAGGTAAAACTAATGCATTGATGGATCTTTCATCTCTTTATTTTGTATTCATTTCGTTACTTCCTTATATTGGCAGATGGTGGAAATCTGTCAGGACTGGTAAGGTCCAGCTTTGGGATTTTTATTGCTGAAAATTCATAGTTACTCTAGATTAAGTTGTTGCACACAGTTCTAACATGGTGACATGCTTCTCAAATATTTTCAATTAAGCTTCTTTCTAATTGTTGATGACTTCTCCGATCGTGAGCATTGAAAAAATTAAATGGTGGTTTGTTCTTATAAGACTTGATGGTTTTCTAGTGGAAAACAATAGAGGATTTTATTCGAATGCTCATATTTTTGAAAACATAACAGTATGGTGGTATGCCTTTCGTAATGCTTTTATTGACTTATATTGAATAGTCAAGCATAGGAGGGGCCTTGGTGGCAGATCTCAATCATCCTTTTAATGCTCGCTGGTGATTCCCAGTAGTCAGAAATGATTTCTTGCCTATGTAGAATAATTCAGAATAGGTGGTTGACTCTGGAAGGTGGTTAATGGTTAAACATGATGGACGAACGTGAATTACTTGCATGGTACCAGGAATGGGGACGCAAATGGTCACCCAATGTGTAAGAGAGTTCCTTATCGTTATTTCTTTCAATGAGTGTACCCACTACTTTATCATAAGATTCTACTCCGAAGAAAAGGCATACGAAGGGAAACTTCAATTTGTATAGATTTGCTAATAAGAAATCATTTTTAACGTAGTTCCATTAATGTAGATTTGACAGATGTAGACGTTGAACGAAAGTGAATGCTTGGGGTCTATATATTGAAACATCTTACAGCTAAATATTGGATAATCCCAAACATATGAACTTTTTCTTTAAATTTCTCATCTGTAGAGGTTGTTGATTAAACCTCTATAAGTTTCGTTTGTTTCTTTGCCTATGTCATATCCGCCAGAACTTTTTTATTTTACGCCATACTTAATTTGCGGCTATTTGCTCTCTAGGAATTCTTCAGATGCCTCGCAATATGTCATACCGTGCTTCCTGAAGGAGATGAAAGCCCAGAAAAGATAACCTACCAAGCTGCTTCTCCAGATGAGGCTGCCTTGGTCACTGCTGCAAAAAACTTTGGATTTTTTTTCTATAGGTATAATGCATGTTCTTATTTTTCCTTTAGGGAATTATATTTCTATCATGCTATGTAGTTCTTATCTTACAAATTGAGCATGGATTTTTTAGTTTGATTGCCCTGCTTGTTATTCATTATGTATTCTGCTTCCTTTTCTTGCCTCTTTTGTTAGCATAGAAAACATGCCATTGTGCAATGTGATTTGCTTAGCAACTGGCTGGTTCACCTCAGGCAAAAATTGAGGTGGACAATGCCAGATCTCATTTTGTTCATACGCAAAATCGATTTGAGAAATTCCACAGTGATAGATGTACAAACATATGATGTTGTGGGAACATGAAGAAGGGACAAGTATTAAGATTTATTTTGCCTTTTGTGTGACAAGCTTTCCAGACACACTATCTATCTCAATGGCTATGTGCACCTGTTCTCAGCCCAATGAGGTTCATTTAAAAGATACTGTCATTACAATTTTGAGAAGAGATTAGGCCTTTGACTTACAATTTAGAACCAGAATGGTTATGCTCATCATTTATATTGTAATTAAGGGAATGACGGGGTTATGTTTTTAAACGGGGCAGTCACGAAACCTACCTTGAAATATCCCACTTCTACTTGGACTAAGAGTAAGGCAGGATTGTCTATCCCTCACCTGCTATGTGAAGCACGTAAGATGAACCATATTTCTCCACTGCAAGAAACTGCTTCCCTCTCCCCTTTCATTTGACCTAATGTATACGTTTCTGGTATGGGAAAAATTGCGAATGTTACTGGTCAAATCTCCGAAGTATTATTCATTTTTCTAATTCAACTCACTGCTTCACCCTGGGATGCAGACCCTGGTTCATCATGTGGCTTCTGTCTGACTGCCGTGTTACTCTCGTCGAACTCTGTCATTTTCTTTTTAATGGCTTAGCTTTCCCCGAATTACTGCACCACTCACAAATGGATGTGGTTGACTATGCTTTCGAAAGGTTCAAATATCTGTTTCAAGCTGATGGCCTGGAAAAACTAGATAAGGGAAGCTCTATTTTTAAAAGATTAAAGCACTCCCCAAAAGTCATTCGGCCAGCTATGAGTTCCTGATTTTTTTTCGAAACTTGAGCTTCTCTTGGGAACATACGACTAGATGGTTCGTCATATTCAGCAGCTTCTCCATATTTTAGTCTTTTGTTGTGTGGAGCTCCACAGGAGGTCATAAAGGATGTTCCATTAGGCTTCAGTGGATTTCCATTTGTCTTACTGCAGCAGTATTTGAAATTAAAATGTCAAGTTTCGAAATGGAGATGCATAGTTAAGCTAGAGAGAGAAGTTGCCATTCATGCCTTATTGGTCAATTGTAAGAAACACGTTTCACAGGTACCCATTATTCCTTCTATGGAGTTTGGATTTCAGATGTGCTATTCAATTTTTAAAACTCAACTTTATTTAATAATCAATATTGCATGATTTTTCGTCAATCATTGTCTTCAAATATAGATGTATTTCTTCATTTGTTGATAATTTTTTATTCCTCTCTTCAGGCGCACACCAACTCTGATAAAAGTTAGGGAATCACATGTTGAAAGGATGGGTAAAATAGATGACATCTCGTACGAGATTCTGAATGTTTTAGAGTTTAATAGGTAAAACTATATTTTTTACTCATTATATTATTTTTTTCGTTGTGCCTGATTAAGAACAGTTGATGCTTATTTCTATATTTCATGTAGCACAAGGAAGCGCCAGTCTGTAGTTTGTCGTTATCCAAATGGAAGGCTTGTTCTGTATTGTAAGGTGAAAATTTGATAATCACTGCTGTCATTTCTTTTCGCTCTCTGCACGATACTGAAGGAAACTTTGATTCTCAGGGTGCCGATACTGTTATATATGAACGATTGGGGGATTCCAATACTGATATCAAAAAGGTGACACGGGAGCATCTGGAACTATTTGGTTCTTCTGGCTTACGTACTCTTTGCCTGGCCTACAGAGAACTGAGTCCTGAGCTGTATGAAAACTGGAATGAGAAATTCATTCAAGCCAAGTCTTCCTTGCGTGATCGTGAAAAGAAGTTGGATGAGGTATGTCTTCTTATGGGTAACATATGCAAACGATTTTTGTCATGTGCTCTCGGAATCTTGCCAGTTTTTAATGAATGGGGCGTAGTTTTTTCTCACATTTTCTATTTCGTTTGAGGTTTAGCTATGAGAATAGGCGCTGAAACTAGCTTCACTATGGGATTGAGGGGAGGATTGATCATTATCATCCTCTTAGGGATAAATTTGGACTTATTTAACAACTTTTGTAATCAGAGTTAGAATAAATTGGCTCTGCCTTTCCGGCTCTGTAGGAAGAGGGAAATTAGAGGAAGATCGTGACAGTTAGAGCCTATGGTTTCTCGCACTAATTCTGCTCTTTTTCTTTGAACCTCCCCAGCCTGTTCTTTTTAATATTTCAGTTGTACCTTTTTAATGGTAACAACCTTCATTCTGTCAAGGAACTAGCAAGTTTTCATACAGAACAGGTTCCTTTTCTGTAAAATTGGATTACAATCCTATTGTGTTTAATGTGCTTCTTATGTTCTGATGTCATTGTCTATCTTTGCTTGTTTGGGCTTGAATTTCTTGTAAACATTATTTGACATATTGATCATTGTGCAAAATATTCGTTGAGTATTTTGTTATATATGCCCTGGAATGATAATGGGATTCAGGTAAAATTCTACCACTGTTATGGGTTCACTGGAAAGGGGCATGACGTTTAACTTCTGAAAGTTCGAAACTACTATCATTCAAATTTATCATCTTTGAAGGGTTTGGAAGATTAACGTTTTTATTGCGTCTGTCTTTGAACAAATGTTTTTTGCACAAGGAATCCCATTTTCATTTTTTGGTGTTTTTCTAACTTACGCATGATAGTCAAAGGATTAGAGAAATTGTTTCCAGTGACTTTGAACCCTGAATAATATTCCTAATTTACTCGTTAAAGGAATCTAATATGGTAGCAATGCTAAAATCGTAACTAATTGAATTTTACGGCTAGTATCATCATTGTTGCAGTACTAATCTAGGTAGGCATGGTCAGCGTGTGTTGAGCCCTATTCTGGTCGTCGTCAGTCAATTTTGTTTCTTAATAATAATTCGTGAAATTGTACCACATTGGACGCGTCAGTCTAGTTGAATCATTTTGTTCCAATTCAAGTGGCTGATTCTGAGAACCATGGGACTGTTGAAGCCTGTAGATAAAGTTCAAATGAGTTATTTTCTGGAAACCAAGTATATTAAGTTAACAGCAGAGCAAGAAGAGTCATCATTCTAAAAAGAAAGAAGGTTGAAGATTATTTTCTCCTAGCCATTTTATGTGATGCATATTTTTGTTGTATATCCTGTTTTCAACGTGAATTCATTCCTTTTCTCTGCTGCAGTGTTCAATTGGCTTTTCCGTTGACTGTCATTCTAGTTTTTCGTGCTAACCAGCATCCATCATATTTCTCCGTTTTTTAATAAATCAGATAATTTTGTGTCAGAACCTCTTCCCAGAATGTATGATTATATTTCCCAGAATGTATCATATTAGTTTTTAAAATGTCTAGGAGGCTTTCTTTTCTTCACTTCAAATCTTCATGCAGATTGCGGAACTGATTGAGAAGGACCTTATACTCATTGGGTGCACTGCTATTGAGGATAAGCTTCAAGAGGGTGTTCCTACTTGCATAGAAACCCTCGCTAGAGCAGGAATTAAGATTTGGGTGTTAACTGGAGATAAATTGGAGACTGCAATAAACATTGCCTATGGTAGAATTCCATCTACTGATAAATCTCTATTTTCTTTCGTTATTTATATCTCTAATTATTCTCACTAATCTTTTATGGTTTTTGTCTGGTTTTTCATTTTACACAGCCTGCAACTTGATCAATAACCACATGAAGCAATTTATAATCAGCTCAGAGACAGATGAAATAAGAGAGGTTGAAGATAGGGTGAGTGTACCTACTGAATGGCTGATAATTCATTCTCCCCACTGAGTCGTACATTTTTCCTTAACTCTGTGTGTTTCCATGTTTCTAGGGTGACCAGGTGGAAATCGCCAGGTATATCAGGGAGTTTGTGAAGCAACAACTTAACAAGTGTCTTGAGGAGGCCGAAAACTTCATGAATACTGTACCAATACCTAAAACAGCTCTTATAATTGACGGCAAGTGCCTGATGTATGCTTTAGACCCCAGTTTACGTGGCAAACTGTTAAAGTTGAGTCTAAACTGCGATGCAGTTGTTTGCTGCCGAGTTTCTCCATTACAAAAAGCACAGGTTTAAACTCCTACCAATGTTTTTTCTTATTTCCTCTCAATGGGCTAGGGTAGCCTGTCAATTGTGACAGTATATCTTGTTCTCGTATTAGATTCTGGCGTTGTTTTAAAATAATTCTTTGTTCTTTTTTCCTTTTTTTGAGTTGTTACGTTTCACTAAATTAAAATTTCCGACCTAATTTTTATGCTGTTTATTGAATGTTTCCAAAGCTAAAGACATCTATAATTTGAATAGCTGCGTAGTTTCATTTGATGTTTCCTTTTCAAGATGCACCTTTTATTACTGCTTTGGAGACGCTCACTCTTATCCTCTTAATTTCTTGTGTTGTAAATGATAGTTCCATTGCTAAGTTTATCATATTTTTCTTTTTTAAGGTGACAAGTTTAGTTAAGAAAGGTGCGAAGAAGATAACTCTAAGTATTGGTGATGGTGCAAATGATGTTAGCATGATTCAGGCTGCACATGTTGGTGTGGGCATAAGTGGTCTTGAAGGAATGCAAGCTGTTATGGCCAGCGATTTTGCAATTGCTCAGTTTCGCTTTCTCACTGATCTTCTTCTTGTCCATGGCAGATGGTCATATCTTAGATTATGCAAGGTTCGTTTTTTTCCAAAAATCTTTCTCAGGCATGTTGGTGTTGCTTTCTTCTACTTATGTTTTTTTCTCTTTTCCATAGGTTGTCACTTACTTCTTCTACAAGAATCTCACGTTTACATTAACCCAGTTCTGGTTCACTTTCCAAACTGGTTTCTCTGGTCAGAGATTCTATGATGACTGGTTCCAGTCCTTGTATAATGTGATTTTTACAGCTTTACCAGTGATTTTTGTTGGACTATTTGACAAGGTATTGAGTTCATGTCTTTGATTCTTTTAGAAAAAATGTTATATACTCATATCCCTTTCCATATCTGCGAACTTTATGCCTTACAACTGCATGCCTTTTTTTTTTTTTGCTGTAATTTAAATAATCACCGGAAAAAAATCAATAATTCTTAATGATGCAGGATGTCAGTGCTTCACTTTCGAAGAAGTACCCAGAACTCTACAAAGAAGGAATGAGGAACATGTTTTTCAAATGGAGAGTCGTGGCAGTGTGGGCTTTCTTCTCTGTCTACCAATCATTAATATTCTACTACTTCACAACCTCAGCCAGTCGCAGGGGTCACAATCTGTCTGGAAAGATATTTGGGCTCTGGGATATCAGCACAATGGCCTTCACTTGCGTTGTAGTGACCGTCAACCTGCGTCTTCTTCTGGCGTGCAATTCAATAACAAAGTGGCACTATTTTAGTGTTGGAGGGAGCATCCTGGCGTGGTTCTTGTTTATCTTCTTGTACTCTGGGATTATGACTTCGTGGGATAGACAAGTATGACCCACCTTTTTAGACTGATTTGCATTCGATTCGTTGTGTTTGGTTTGTTGGCTCACTCCAGAAGTTTCATTTTTCAGGAGAATATTTTCTTTGTGATTTATGTGCTAATGAGCACTTTCTACTTCTACCTCACTTTCCTGCTTGTCCCTGTTGTTGCTCTCCTCGGTGACTTTGCCTATCTGGGGTGAGTGTTCTCTTTTTCTAACGATGAATTCTTTACCTTAAAGCACGAACTAAACGTATGATCCTGTTTTGTGTTAGAGAATGGTAATTACAAGCAGTCATAGGTTTTATTTTTTCCCCCATTTATTCATCTGATATTGCTGTTTTTGGCATTGCTTTCTCTGGTGCTTTTATTTCATATTGCGGTACTTGTGATGGTGGGTCTGTGCTTGTTCTATCTAGTTTTCTCGCTTCTGAAATATATTATTTTCTCGCATTTCTATCAGTGCTTGATCGTACTAATTGCTATGGCGGTGGATGTTTGTGTGTGTTCTCCAGGTTGCAGAGATGGTTCTCCCCCTACGACTACCAGATCGTGCAGGAGATGCACCGGCACGAGCCCGAGCCGACGACACGGCCGGAGCTGCTGGAGATCGGCAACCTGCTGACGCCCGATGAGGCCCGCAGCTACGCCATCTCCCAGCTGCCCCGGGAGACCTCCAAGCACACCGGCTTTGCCTTTGACTCCCCCGGCTATGAATCCTTCTTCGCCCTCCAGCAGGGGGTCATCGCCCCTCAGAAGGCCTGGGATGTCGTCCGGCGGGCCAGCATGAGGTCCCACGCCAAGACGAACAAACCCAAACCCTGATTGCATATCCTCTGGGGGCGCCGCCGCCGCTGCTGCTCCGCCACCACATCTTCCTCGACGGAATCCATCTGTGCGTGAATTTTCCCAAGAACCCGGAATTCAGCAGGCCTGATCTGATGACGGTGATGCTCATGATTTTGGTTCCCATGAAATCTTCCCGCAAAGTTGCCCGAGAACCCAGAGATCAGAAGGCTCTTGATTTTGCTTCTTCCCCAAATTTTTGCCCGGTATTCCAGAAGAACTCAGATCCCCAGCTTGATGATGATGATGATGATGATGATGATGATGATGATGATGATGATGTTCTTCTTCATCTTGGATTCTTGGGCGGCAGAATCTGTGTACAGTTTTGCACTGAATCTTCTTCTCTATTAGAAATTTGGGTCCCCTTCTTCCCCTGGGGTTATTATTTGTATAGGAATGAACGCCATGAACAACAGATATAGGTTTTATTCCTCCCTCCCCCTCCTATTTTTTTCCTCAGAAACTTCCTTGGGCATGCAGATGATGGCAGCTTTTCTCCTTGTCCACTGCGATTTTTCCTATTCTGATAGTGAGAACTGGGCTTTCATATGGGGACTGTGTTTACATATTTGAGCTCTCTCTCTCTCTCTCTCTCTCTCTCTCTCTCTCTCTCTCTCTCTCTCTCTGTCTCTCCCTCTCTCTCTCTTAGTTGGACTGCTTGAGATCAGGTCGCTGCGGCAGTAGTTGACCCTTCTTGTGAAGGGTTAGATTGCGGGGTTCGGATCCTACTGCGCGAGTACGAGAGAGAGAGAGAGAGATGCTGCTGAACGTAAAAGAAGAGCAAAGTATGCGAAAAAATGCGATCTCTTGTGATGGGTACGTCGATCATCTTTTTTGGATTTTGCTTGAACAGGATAAAGAGAAAAGAAATGGAGAAATTAACAGAGAGAGAGAGAGAGAGAAGGGGGGATGTGGCGGCGGATGTCGTGGCAATGACAGCGGAGGCCTTGCTACAAAATGGGAAGGCAGCGGCAGCAGCGGCGGCGGTCATGATTCGCTGTCACTTGCTCGCCTGCCGCTTCCCCTTCTCTGCCGACTCCCGCCGCCACTCCTCCACCACTGCCATGGCCGGCGCCGCCCCTCCGTCCGATCCCGCCGCCGTCGTATCCCAGAAGCGCGCGCTGCGGACGAAGATCCGCTCCGCCCTCCGGACCCTTCCCCCGTACCAGAGGACCCAAGAAGGTCCTCGTCGTCGTCTCTCTCTCTCTCTCTCTCTCTCTAATTCTCGTCGTCCTCAAGGTGCCGTATGTTCTTCCGTGCTCTACGAGTGGAGGGAGGATCGGCCCATGTGTCGGAGGATCTCACGAGAGTAATCTTTCTGTGGAGAGAGAGAGAGAGAGAGAGAGAGAGAGAGAGAGAGAGAGAGAGAGAGAGAGAGATCAATACTTAATCTGCGGTCTGATATTTTTTTTCTTTTCCTTAAACATAATTGTTTCCCGCAGATGATGCAATCCAGGATATTGTTCTAAATTCTCCGTGGTTCAAGTCGAGTAAGAGATTGTGTGCATACGTAAGCTGTGATTCCCTGCGGGAAGTGGGCACATCAAGAATTCTGTCGGAAATTCTTTCGCCAGCTGCTGGTATGCTTTCCTCCTCGTCTTTTCTTGGGATGTGATCATGCACAGTTCGGTTTATTATTCAAGATATATATCGTCGGAAAACATGTCAAGTGTTCCACTCAGAAGAAGAAATATGCTCATTTATGAGCCATCAAGCTTGGATAATGTCGCCGGGGATGACCAGATAAATTGGTGGGATTATGATAGTGGGAAATACATCAGACGGCTTGATTGGCCAGTCTTGATTCAATCCAGCCATTCGGGTCCAGGTGGGTTGTGTGGGATTAGCTGGTGATTGGGTGATTCTGACCAAGCAAGGTCCTAGTTGGCGGGTTCTTGGATGAGTCAGCCCTGAACCGTCCAATTCTAGGAGATACTCTAATCTATGACAACCCATCAGTAGAGAACGGTTGAAAATAATAAATAAAAAAAAATCTTTTTGGGTCATGTGGAAAATCTTTTTGGGTTCTTGACCCAATACGAAGACTCTCCTCTTAGGAACTCCTGAAATCATTTTAGATCAGAAGGAACCGTGATGAAAAGTATAACCCTCCCTTCTGCAACCATATAGGCTTACTGCCCGGCATCTTGATGGCCGTATCAAAGCTGCTGCCGTCATCTTGGTTTATGTTGAACAACGAAGATCAATTTTATAATTTTCTTAAAAAAATCTGGGTCTGAAAATATTCAAATGGCAGGGCATTCATTGCTGTCGCTTGGGTTTTACCCTGTTCTCGGTTTGGTATTTAGAGGAGTTGATCTTAATTGGGTTCATTCTCCAAAGAAACCCTCACCCTCACCGTCACCCTCACCTATTTATTTTAAAAAACTGATTCTTATTTCACCAAATTCGGCCAACTTATTTTCATAAGTCAACTGATTTAGCCTTCAAAACCTGCTTGCCTCGTTCTTCTTCTTCTTCTTCTCAATGATATTGATTTCTGGTTATCTCTGCTTAAAATTATAAATAGCCATTGAATGATATTCACGCACTGGAACCCTTTTAAATGTTTTTGATGCAAATGCTTCCCCATTCAGTAATATTTTTCTTGCTTATGTTCTAGCTCATCATGAAATGGTCAAAAGATCCTAAACATGGGAAGATTAAGATTTCCCTTCCCCCCCAATGGAACTTCTTGGGGCGAATGGCTGGATGTTCTCAGTGGGTATGCTGTGTCTAACCATTCGTTTTCAAAATTTTGTAGGTGACTCTCAGGGGAGGAAGAAGCTCTATGTTCCTCGCGTCGAGGACAAGAACAGCCACATGCGCATGCTCCACATATCTCAACTTGATGATCTGGTGGCTAATTCCATGAATATATTGGAGCCATCTCCGGTCGGTGATGATGGCAATCCGCGAGAAGATGGTACGTCTCCGTTTGCTCTCACGAAGAACTCTTCTCTGTTTCCGATAATGATTCTCTGATATCACTTTTTTTTTTGTTAAATATCATCTCAATTGATCTTTCTAGCTCTTGTACATTTTGACAAAATTGTTTTTTTGTTAAATTATTTCATCCTAGATTCTTTATGCATCAGTTCCCATCAGAAAGAGAGAATGAAGTTAACCCACTGATGATTCTTCACATCATGATTGAAAGATCTTGCATCAGTGTTGACTTACCGAAGGGGCAGGGGGGTTGATTGTTGGATGGAATTCCTCATGGCTAACGCCGCTGCAGGCTTATCTGATAATGTGCATCATGTTTTCAGAGCACGGTTTTGAGATACATTTAATTATATTTATAAATAACTTAAGATAATAAATACTAAAGATTCGGAAAAATAAATTAAACACATGCATGCAACTATAGGACTGATGTTCCCATGAAATTGATACAATTTTCTCAATAAATACATAAGATTAAACCCTAGAATTAATTGATTGTTAAACATTCCAGCTTCATTTGTTGCTGGCGCTGACTTGGTTATTGGATCAAACATCAAGCCCATGATGTCCAGTATTCAACCTCATGATTTTTAAACATAACTAAAAGTAGAAAATTTTCTTGGCATGCAGAAATCGGATCAAGAGTTCTTTTTTTTTAATCCTAAAATCACAAGATAAAAAACAATTTCTATTTCTTTCATTAAAAACATTTCATTAATCGATGGTTGGTGCACAGAGATGTTTATTTACGGATTATTTCCCTTGCAGTCATGCTGGCAAGTGACCCTGTTGACTTGTTTCTTGTGCCAGGTAAAATGTTATTTATTTATTTAGCTTGCTAGTTGTATTTTTCTAATATCTCCATTTTCTGGCAGGACTTGCGTTCGACAGATCTGGGAACCGCTTAGGGCGTGGAGGAGGGTATGCCTTCCCTCCATAACATTCATTTAATTCTTCGTCTCAAGTAATCTTCTCTTGTTACTTACGGGTAATATTTTATTTTTTGAATTATTTTTATATCATCTTAGGCCACCATAAAAAAAAGGTTTATCTGCTTGTGTTGACCTTTAGAACGGAGTCAGTTGACTTTATGACGAGGACATTAGAGTCAATCACGCATTGAGTGGGGGAATGGCATCTCATGGACTTGGTGAAAATGTGATAGGATTGTTTTCTTTTTAAGGAGGTTATCGTAGGTCACTAAGTCCTAGTTGATCTTTGACTTTTTTCGGTCATGTCAACCGTTTTTCCTACTTTTTCTAGGAACATTTAAGGCCTTTTTTTTAAGGACGTTCTTTAGGAGCATTTAATGGCCAAACTCCAGCCCAAAATTTCTCCGGCTGTGTGGGATCTCTACATCATCAAGAGTAGTGCAGTTGACCACAACTCTACTGTGACTACTCAAAAGGGGTTACTTCTTCCGTTGGTCAACGCTCGTTGACAACTGATACTTTGTTGATTTCTCTTAGAAATCAACCACATTCATGGAAAGCTCTCTCACTAGGGTAGAGATAGCAAGATCTTAGATAGCAGGCTGTATGAAGTCAACGCCCACTTTTCTCTTAGGTTAGTGGAAGAAGTCAACAGTGAGATGAAAGAAGATGTGCTCGGCTGGCTTTCTGCTCTATTTTTAGGAAGCCCGCCCGCCCACCATGAAAATTCCTGCCTGCCCTCTCAAGATGACGTTGACCATGGATTCTTGCCATCTTGTCAGCGCACATTATCTCCCCTATTTCTTATTTTTCAGGGCCTTTATCGAATTAATTGAGTTTTTTTTCCTATTTTTTGTCTTTTACTTCTCTGTTGGCATGTTTTAATCTGGAAGCTACTACGACACGCTCCTGAGGAGATACCAAGCGCTCTGCGCGAAGAGGCAGTGTAATCGCCCTCTTTTAGGTACGAAATGGGCTCCTTCCACCGACCGTTATGCCATAATTCTACCATAAATAACTTATTTTTTTGGGTGGTCAACTCTTTTCCAATTTCAAGTAATTTCCCTTCTCCTTGACCCACCACCTGCATAGTTGACCTTGGCGGGTAGGGCCCATAAGGGGGTTTGAGGCCACTGCAGGAAAGGGGGGATTATCATTATTGGAAAAGAAAATCACCGTAATTAAGATGATATTTTTTCTGTTCTTAATTTGGCAGTCGCACTGGCGTACTCCGCTCAGGTTGTGGATGAGGGAATCATCCCAGTGACTCTCCATGACGTGCCCGTTGACGCTCTGGTCTCCCCCTCTGGTACCGTCCCCATCAGCGCCGCCGCCCTCCAGAGCTTGGCCCCCATGGGCGAAAGGTCAAGTCTTGGTTGACTTGGATGACTTATGCTGCATCATTTTTTGAGATTTTAAGACCCCCCCAGTAAGAATTCATGTATGATTTGATCCTCTCTTGAGATACCCATCTCGGAAACACCCTCGCCCGCATCTTAGTGGGTAGAGTTTGTCAACCTCCAAAAAATTCAACGCATGAGGAAACCGAGTGGTTTCTAAGGCGCTGGCGGCGGCCTTCCAAGCTCAAGACAATGAACAGACGCCAAATTCTAATATTCCACGAAAAGTTAATTTATTCATAAATAGATTTAATTGCATGATAATTCCATTGTATTTGGTTTATTTTCGCTGGCTACTATTATTATTAATAAACGGGCGATGATGACGTAACAATACTGCTTTTTTCCATAAAATCCCTCGAGAGATCCTCTCAAAGTTATTTCATTTAATTTAATTAAATATTATATGATTTGAAATCACTCGGAAATATCAAAAGTATGAATAAAAATATTAAACTGAATTTGACTAAATAGTGGGCCCCACCATGAATTCCTATAAAAAGCGACTGGGGTGGGAAGTTGTTATTGGCGATTCAATGTCCTCCTTCCCGCCACCGAAGCCATGGGCTCTCCTCTCAACACTCTCCCTGGCGCCATCCTTTTCCTGGGATTCTCTCTCCTCCTCCGGCTCCGGCAGGAGGCCGCCGCTGCCGGATCGGACTGTGGCGCCACCGTGCACGAGGTGCTGCACCTGACGGCTTCCCGGAGGGGCTCTTGCCGGATGCAGTGGCGTCCTACTCCCTGGAGGCGGACGGACGGTTCGCGGTGGAGCTGGATCGCCCCTCCTGTTATGTCCACTTCGGGCAGTACGTCGTGTTCTACGAACACCGCATCACCGGGGCGCTGAAGATGGGATCGATCCGCGACCTAGAGGGGATCCAGGTTCTGCGACTCTTCCTCCGACTGGGGTCGGTGAGATCAAAGTTGATCTCCCGCCGTCGGCCTACGTCTACTTCCAGGTGGGTTGGATCGCCAAGCGCCTCGCCGTCGACGACTTCCGCGGCGTCCAGTCCTGCCAGGATCGGACCACATTCCAGGACAAGATCAGAAGACTGGTACGGATGATGATCAGACTGATAAATAATCATTTATCTACTCTTTTTAGCTTCCCGGATTTCATTTCTTCTTGAAGAATTATTTACCGGAAAAGCAGAGTTACCTGTGTTTTATTAAGGGAATTGAATTACGTCCGGGTGAGTATCATTCTTGCTTGATTTCACTGTTCCGATCATTCGAGGATAATTATTGATGAATTTCGGTCTCGATAAAGTGCAGATTACTTTGATACAACTCTGAAAATCTCTGAAAAATTTGCGATGTTCTTTCCTAATGCCCTTCTATGAACTTTTCAGACCTTTAGTTTCGTCAACCAGATAAATTATATAATTCAGGAAAACTAAATTACGACTGTTTCACGCGAAGTAGTCTGGGATGTACTGTGATAAATCTATTGCGTCCTCAATGGATTCCATTCAGCAGAGATCAGATAAAAAAAATCAAGTAATCGATGCACAGCACCGATATAATTGTAGGTTCCTCAATTTTTCGGAATCCTATTTTTCGCAGGAGCAATATATGGTGGGATTAACCTGGAAATTATAGTATATTACCTGATTCATGCCATTCATGTTTTGAGATTCAAGCATAGTCGCTGTGGCATGTAGTAACCTGCCAATTTTATTCTTTCGCTTCTTCTTTTCACCTGCGTTTTCAATGGGTTTCCTACTCATTTCAAACTATGATATAGAGGGCCCTCGTCAGATCGAGAGACCAGTCGTGATTTAATCTAGCTTTTTTTCTTCTTGTTCCTCATAGATGAACAACTTTTCTAACTTTTCCCGAAACATATGTCGAGGATCGAAAAAACATCAAATGGCTCTTCTGAGTTCACTTAATATATCACTCGAATCAAGGATGAACTTCGCATGCTGCTTTCTTTTAAACAATAGGATGGTTTATCATAGGATAGGATTCTTTTGTAAATCTTCTGCTATCACATCATAATCTCATTTAAAGCTGCAGAGGAGACGCTAATCTCAGAGCCATTCTCCATTTAACAAACCAGGAAACAACGAGGCTCAATCGATTCCCTATCCGTCTTATGTTCCATGAAACATTGTGCAGACCTTTCTATACTCTACATCTCATATTAAACCGTTCAAAGAAAATTAAACCATCCATGTTTACGTTTTTTTTCTTAAACTTCACTGGAAATCTCTCACGAGTCTCTTGTGGCTGATACACCTCATTTTCTCAGTTTCCTGAACCTCGCTTCGAACTGGAGGACTTGATCACAGGAGATATTCACGTCTCAATCTAGGTAAATTGGTGTTTTACCGATTTATGTGCGCAGATTAAATGAAAATATTTTCTCAATTTTCTCGAGTCATTAAGGCTTGTGCTATGTAGTATGTTGGACCCATTTGGGTTCTTCTCGTTCCACAGTTTCAGGAGGAAGTTTAGAGTCTGTGTGTTAACGTTTCCTCTGGTCTATCAAGAAATTACTTCAGTTATATCTGCAATCAAACCATGTGATCAATATTTTAAAAAATTCTTCACTTATTTTTGTCTAAATTCGGCATATTTATCAATAGGCGAAGTGCTACATCCGTACTGTGTTGGTTTGGGCAATGAGAATCATCACCACCCAAAGGAGATCAGCTTTGGTTGTGGGAGACGGAGATCAATTTGATGCTGATAGAGATCGTAATCGGTATCTATGATGTCCAAATCTGGCAACCCCAACTAAGCTTAGAAAGAGAGGACATTTTGTTAACTGGTGAAATTATCATAAGGTATTGAATTTAATGAGGGAAATTACAGTGAATTCCCTATATGATGCATTTGTCATCAAGAAGCTCTTACATTCATTTTACTCAGGCTTTTGAGTCTCTAGAAATTGACCTCTTCTGATCTGACCAGTGGATCAAGTTTCTGGAACAGAGGGCAAATTGGTCACCGTTGAAAGTCAGAGCAATTGACTTTCGTGGTAAAATTGAAACGAAGTCCCTTCATGACAGATCTGTTGTAAATCAGGTCTCATGTTTAAATTTCCGGACTTTTCAGTGTCTATAAATTGAAGATTTTTTGATCTGGTCATCCAATCTCATTTGACAAACGGATGAATAGTTAATCACAGTGGGAACTCTGACGGATTGAGTTTTATGAGGAATTGTCTTTTAAAAGCTCATCTAATTGTCCATAGGCTGTTATATTTATTTGGTCAGAATCTATAAATTGACGCTTGTGGGAGGACATTCTTACGAAACAAATTTAGTGAGCATTGACACAATTTTCCTCGCTGTAACAATGGATGGAGAAGCGACAGTCACCAGTAAGTCCTCACGGTGACGAGTAAGGAGATCACACTGTGGCAGTGCCACCTCTACCAGTGGTGGATGAGGAAGAGGAGGTGAGGTCCGCTTCTCACAGAGGCAGATGTCGGTGAACTCGATGGCGAACTAGATGCTGCTTCATCCCTTGAGAACAGCAATGACAAAGATGGGCAATCAGAAGAAGAATTTGTTCGCCTAGATGCAAGAGATGACGAAGAGAGAGAATGTGATGATAGAGAGAGAGAGGGAGGGAGAGAGAGAGAGAGACAAAGGGGACGAGAGAGGGGAAAAGAGAGGAAGGGGGAGTGTGTGTGTGTGTGTGTTAGGTATTAGGAACCCCATGTGTCCCCTCGCACATGTGAGGGGTTTGATTTATGAGAGGGCACACATGGGGTTCCAAAGACCTCTCACACATACACACTCCCCCTCCCTCTCTTTTCCACCCTCTCATCCCCTCACCCATTCTCTCGTCCCCTTTGTCTCTCTTGAATGTTATGAATGTGAAGGTTATTTTCTGTTTTCTTTTTTCTCACTTGAAAGCCCTCAAATCGTCCAACAATCTGTCTAGCTTTGCCATCAAAAACATCTCTCTTGTGCCAAACCCATGGAATCCTTCATTTCATCTACCAAGCTCTTCCAAGTGGACGACCCATTAAGGCCCTTATTATCTAGACTACTTTGATTGTTCTTGTTTAACCTGTGTCACAAACGCTTATGCATGATGACTATAATTTATTGAATTGAGCATTGACTGTTGCCTTATTAGTCCAAAATAAATTAGGTTTTTCTGATGGATCAATACCCAAAGTCACTAGAATGTATATCACATTACTCTCATCATAGATTAGAGGCAACAATGTGATCGTTTCTTGAATCTTGAATTCTGTATGTCGAGACATTTTGGTTAGCATTTTTTTTTTCAAATTTTTCACCATAAGTTTTAGAGGATCATAGAGAAAGATTCTAAGAAAAATGAGCCTTGATTTTTTTGTTTACATCACTAAGTAATCAATCAAAATTAGACTGAGATTATGTTGTAACATGTTTCACCAAATTGAAGGTCCTTAGGGAGATATTGAGCCTTTTAGACCCTCATGTTCTTACAACAAAGGTATACGTGAAAGAGTAAAAAAACTCAAGAATTAATTTTAGTTGGATTTTATGATATTATTCTTGATGAGGTTAATTAATTCATTTACTCAAGTTCAGGCCCAACAATTACTTCACAATCTTATTCCCCTGGTTAACAATATGTTTGCCCTTGTCTCACAAGAAGAAATTCAAGGGCAAGTTAATATTCAATTTTCTTCAGGTATTGATATGTCAAATATTGACACCTTTTCTACCAAAATGACTTGGTTTAAGTATTCTAGTATTTCTATAAAGCAATCAAAGTGAGACTACTAGTAAGAAAAAGGATGATCCACATTGCACTCATTGTAACTTCAAGGGATATATTATTAACAAATGTTTCAAACTCCATGATTATCCTTCAGGTTAGAAGTTAAAGTCAAATTTTCATTCTTAAATTGTTAATAAAACTTCTTATCATATTAACTATGTAGACATAATCAAATAATCAAGTGAGGTTTGGACTCACAATTGATGAGTATGATTTCAACACATCTAACTTCCTCTACAACCATAAATGACAGACAAGATATGATATCAACTTTTTATTTGGCAATATATGTCTCTTGGTTGCTTGAACTTTGAGCCTATCCCCTCCAAAGATTTACATAGTTAATCTGGTGCATCAAGACATGTATGCTCATATGTTAATATCATTATTTATTTACATCCAATACAAAACTCAATTGTTATCTTACCTGCTGCTCTATCCTTTTACTTCTATTACCATAATTCTCACTTCTCAAACGTATGATGTTTGTCCTTCAACTTCATATTCTTTGACCTGATTTGCACCTTCAACTTCATCTCTTTTTTTATCATTTTGTGATTTAGGGACACATTGCAAGAGAATAAATGATATGGGTGCTAAAGTCTGAGGCATTTATGTTACACATTTTATACTATCTTAAGACTTTCAACCATTTGCACTCTTTGCCAACACTACATCTATTCACATATGGTGCAATATGTTAGATACTGAAGAGATTAAAAAAACACTTTACCAATAATCTTTTTGACATGTAATGAAATAGTTTCATGTTTCATTTGCCTTTTGACAAAAAAAATCAGTTAGCTTTTCTTAATCAAAACCATGTTTTAGAACATAAATTTGATTTAATCCATTGTAACATATGGAGCTATTTTGTACTATGAACCATGAGATTTATTGATTTTTTCTTTACCATTGTTGATGATTCAACTCAATTTATATGAACCTTTTGATAAGGTCCCAGCCTACAAGAGCGTCAGAATGAAGGGGGAAAGAGTATGACGTGCAAAATAGAGAGAAGAAAGGGAAAGAGAAAGGTGGAGATTGGTCTATAGTGGTCTGGAGGAGAGGGAGGCCAGCAGTTGCACAACTTGAGAGGGAAGAGGAGAGATAGGGAGGTCAGAGAGAAGGAGAGGTGTCTTCTTGGGCAGTGGAGAGTGAGTGAGTGGTTCTCTATCACTTTTCTTATGAACAATGAATCAGAATTTATAGAGTATTGTTTCTATTTTTTTTTCGTGACTCATAGTAATATGACTACAAAATAAAATTAATTTTGATATGATAATATCAAAAAATTTAACTTCATACTTTCTTCAATGAACATAACTTTTTGCATCAACAAAACTTAGTTGAAGCAACATTGGTACTTATTTAAATATAGCCAAATGTTTCTTTTCTTAATTAAATTGTAGTATAATCTTGAACAACTTGTGTTCTCACCCTACATTTTTTTTCAGTATGTATGAATTATTATATAAGAAGTCAGATGATTATTGAATATTTGGAGTTTTTGGCTGCTTAGCTTTTGCCTCTACTCTAGATGGAAATCAGACTAAAATTTAGTCACATGTTAAGCCTAATGTCTTCATTGGCTCTCATTCAACCTATCAATTCTCCCTTCACAATCTCTTATATTAATATATCCCCACAGCCACCTTCCTAAGCACAATACATTACCCATGTTTGTAAACTTTCTTACCTCTAAAAATTACATTGTTATAATGCCTTCATACATACTACATCACAAAATAATAGAGTTTCATATCTTATATTACATTTCTTTTCTTACACCTTTCTATCACCCTTTCATAATAATTTTTCATGGTTGTTTTGTCATACTATGAACATCAATTTATCATTAAGTAATTTCATATCTTGATTGCTGTGCAGCTATAAAGACTAAATTAGATGTTATTAAATCACTAAACACTTTCTCATTTTCATCTTTTCCAATTGGGAAACTTACCATTGATTGTCTTTGAATTTACAAAATCAACTATCAATCTAATGATTTCTTTTCTTACACTTCTCTATCATCCTCTCATCAACAATTTGCCATAGTTGTTTCATTCCACTATGAACCTCAATTTTATCATCAAACAATTTGCCATAGTTGTTGTTGACTTTAAAAAATCAAATATCAATGTAACGGCTTTATAGAGCAATAGAAAACTCATTGTTGTCAAAGAATATACGTAGTAAGAAAAAATCATTTTCTTAGAAACTCTTACTAGTAATTGCATTTTCTTGTGACCTATTCGAAGAAGTTTATATGAACTTTTCTTTAGATTATCATTCTAAGCCAGAGGAACTCTTGGTTCATCAAAATAAGATTGCTTTAAAATTACATAAATAAATTTATGGACTTTTGCAGGGATCAAGGTAGTGGTACTCCAAGTTATCAACTTCATTGATTACCTTTGGGTTAAATCAATCAAAATCTAATTATTCTTTATTTAGAAAGGGCTTTGGTCCTCCATTTGTGACCTTAGATGACACTCTAATAGGTGGACTTTTGATACATTGAAAGCCTTTTTGAATAATCAATTCGAGCTTCATTATCTTTGCGATTTGAAATATTTTTTATTTATAAATTACACGTTACTTGAGAGGAATTATTTTGTCTCACCTACATGAGGGGGAGAGGGGGAGGGAGAGGGAGAGGGAGAGGGAGGGAGTGAGGAGAGGAGAGAGAGAGAGAGAGAGAGGTTGGTCGGATTTGCATATTTTCTTTAGAATTGATTTCGAGACCCAAGAGATAGAAATGTTGGCTATTGATTATTAGGAACCACAATCTTCGTAAAACAATAGAGATGGAGGTAGAGAAGATTCAGGAATCCTCAGCTGGCCACTGATACGACTGCCCAGAAAAAGAATCACACGGTGGCACCGTAGGATGAGGCCCGCTTCCTGCAGTGGCGGACGTCGGCGAAGTCTGCGGCGGGGACGGTCACCGTAATGGCCCCGTTACTTAACTGGATGGCGGAGTGCTCCTCGTCGGCGGCGATGCTGGAGATGGCGACCCAGAAGAGGAACTTCTTGGCCTGGATGCCGGAGACGCCGGAGATGAGGCGGCGGGAGATCCTCCCCCTTATGACCCGGTGGTAGTAGGCCAGCTCCGAGAACTGGATGTAGCAGGGCGCCGCCAGCTCCACCGAGAACTCCCCATCCTTGGCGACTGTGTAGTTCACCACGTTGCCCGGGAGGAGTCCCCGGGGGAACCCGAACTTCTGCAGCAGCTTGTGGGCGCTGTCGTTGGCGGAGGAGGAACCCAACGACGCCGCCGCCGGCGGTGGGCTCGGCACTCCGGCGAGGAGGAGGAGGAAGAGGAAGAGGGAGAAGATGGGGGAGCGGGTGAAGATCTGCATTCTCCTCTCTCCCTGGTGGGGAGGAAGCGGAAGCTCGCGCGATTTTAAGGGTCGCGTGGCCCCTTCCTTTAATGACACGTCCCTCACAGCGTTCAGAGTAAACTAAGAAAAGAATTCATGTGAGTGGATCAGGCGGAAAACGTTTAAGGCAATTCGATTGAGGCCTTTCACTTGCTTTGCCGTCGTCGGACTAAAGCTGAGCCCCAACTTTTGAGGAAGAGAAGTCAACGGGTGCCAATCTTCTGCAAGCATACATCCATAATAATTGGTATTATCTTTATACGAAATATATTATTTTTAATTTTTTTAAAAAATAAGTGGATTTCCAGTCACCGAAAGCTTGCTTAGGCTGTAAGGAATGTGTCCAAGATAATGCTTATCCAACATAGGGGTACTCCTCACCCTTGCCTGGTCAACCAGTCGATTATTTAGCGGCTATCCAATTTTGTCAAAACACTTGGCTAGCCATTGAAAATTATGTTTTGATCTCTTACTGCTCATTACGTCTCTGACAAGAAATGATTTCACCGATAACACATAGGGTATTTCATTTCCATTTTCCCCAGATTTTCTTAGCTGTCACTAGTATTCAATAGAACGGTGCTCTGTTTCTCTCTCTAGGACCCTCTAACTCTCTCTCTCTCTCCTTCTCTCTCAGAGCAAAGTGTGCCGCAGTTATTGTCATCTTTTTCTTTTGTAATGTCGCTCTGCCAGACCCAATCTTTCTATTTCAGAGTAAAAAGTAATGAATGTGGCCAGTATTCAGCGCGGATCCGAATGTCCCTCTCTCTCTCTCTCTCTCTCTATGTGACTATGTCAATGAACTCAAGTGCTGTCTAGGATCAGCCTAACCTTTCTCCTATTAGTCCTATACTCATATGAGAGACCGAGAGAAACAGAGAGAGAGAGAGAGAGAGAGAGAGAGAGAGAGAGAGAGAGAGAGAGAGAGAGAATATATGTAGTACATTGCGACCCTATTTATGTAAACTTTGATTCAGAAAGTTTTCATCGTTAACGTCGCACTGCTCGTAGACTATTGAACAGAGTGAGGGTTGAGCTGCAAGCTCCGGCAACGCGAAATTTTCGTGGAACAATCGAGATGGCAGCGGTAAGGAAGATCCAAGAGTCCGTTAGGAGAGCCTATGCGGCATCGTCTGAGGCGAGTGAGTGGGAGGAGGAGACCCACTTCTCGCAGTGGCGGACGTCGGCGAAGTCGGCGGTCGGAAGACTCTCAGTAATGACCCCGTTGCTAAACCGGACAGTGGAGTGCTCCTCGTCGGCTGCGACGCTGGAGATGGTGACCCAAATTAGGAACTTCTTAGCCTGGATACCAGAGACGCCGGAGATTAGGCCGGGGGAGATCCTCCCCCTTATGGCCCGGTGGTAGTAGGCTAGATCGGAGAACTGGATATAACATGGTGTCGCCAGCTCCACCGAGAACTCCCCGTCCTCGGAGACAGTGTAGTTCACGACGTTGCCGGGGAGTAGCCCCCGCGGTAGGCCGAACCGCACTAGGAGGTCGTGGGCGGAGGGGTTGGCGTCGCCGCCGGCAGCGGACGAAGAAGATGATAGGAGCGGCCGCGGCGAAGGTTTTAGAGATCCCATGAGGAGGATGAAGCAGATAAAGAAGACAAAGAGGTGGGTCGTCGGCATTTCGCCTACTAGTTCGTAAGAGGGAGGGAGGGAGGGAGGGAGAGAGGGAGGGAGGGAGAGAGAGAGAGAGAGAGAGAGGCGATCGGTGAGGTGGAGAAGGGGGGGAATCTGGAGGATTTAAAAGAGGTTTGATGGGAGATGGTTACCAGCGCAAATCAGTGTGCACACAGCGGATGCATAGCGGGCAGATGCACGGCTTCTTTCTTTGTCGACACGTATTTGGGGTACCATGCGCCAACTTGTGACGCCCCTGGAAAACCCGCTGTGTGAGACTATTCTCTGGGTCGCCTTGTAAGTCGTATTTTTCTTTTCAACTTTGATTATCGAAATTTTTCACGGACCATACTAGGTTCCAAGGATATCTAGCTTGAATTTCTCTTACTTATAATGTCCATAATTTTCTGAGTAAACATTATGTTTATTCTCTTTCGTAAAAGCTAAAACTTTTGGGGTCACAATAAGGTTTACTTAGGAGCAAAGAAACCTGTCCTTACAGGGATCATGTCCAGAATGTCATCTTCACAGTATGAGTCTATGTACGAACGCACGTTACTTAGCCTGCTCAATGAGATTACTTCAAGGCGTCAAACTTGTCTGGACAAACTGCAATAGACAAAGTTGACAATGTATTCTGTGGTTTTTCTTCAGAAGCTCTGATCTTTGGTTAGAATGAGTGGACTAAGTTCAAAGTACCTAAGTCAGGATATGCTGGGTTCGTTGGCTGGCATCATGAACTACCCAAGGAGGGGGTTTCCTTTCAAAACCGTATTCCAAAAATTATTTGATATTATTTCATATGGAAAGTAAACAATCAATGTTATAAAGTACCCTCCACACTTGGGCAATTGACACGATCTAAATACAATCAATAAGGTTCGAATCTTTAAATACAGTCAGTCCAATTGATACTTTAACTAGATCCAGTCAAGAAGCACAAAATTGATCTTTTCCTACAACAGAAGATCCTCTTTATTGAAAATGTGGTAGACTTGTCGCTCTCTGTTTCTTGGGTAGGGTCGACAAGAAAACATAGTTAGAGTTAACAATCCTTTTACATTATAGAATTATGCAATAGATTTGAGTATTATTAACACATCAGGTTTATGTGAAGAACACCACAATATATCAAAATTTCTATTTTAGTGTACGAAAAGTTTGGACAACATAACAGTACAATGTATTAGCGACAATAAATTTTGGTCACTGTATTGAAGTTTAAATCAAAATTTTGATGACATCTGGGCAGTATTGTAGGTTGGTATGTGAAGTCAATTGTCACACTTTATGACAGCAATATGACAATATATATATATGCCATTGAAAATCATGTAATAGTATGAGATCAGCCATATAATGTATTAACAATAGAGGCTGATGGGATTTTGAAACTAACAAAGAAAGATTTTAATAAGATCATGAAAATTATGTATTTGATGTGTGCAGATTACCATTGGAATCACATTGAGCGCAACTTTGTTTGTTATTGAGGTATAAATGAAATAGGAGGTTTGCAACCTTTTATAAGAATTGTAAAAAGAACTCTGCACCATAGGCGGAAACGTAATAGTAAGAAAGTCTTAGACCCAATGACTAAGAGGTTCAGTTTAACTTTGTTTTTCAAATCATTGGCTTCATAGTGGGGGAAGCCACTCTAAGGGCGATGTTGGGCATTAGAGTGATTTTTGAGTTGTGAATCTAAAGTGATATATTAGCACAAGATTATTGGTCATTAACTTCCTAGAGTAGTGAATCTAAAAATGAGTGCTAAGTGCATAGAGTCACGAATCTAGTAGAGATGAGTTAACACATGGAAATCATCTTTTATTTTATCAATAGGGGAAATCTAGCGAAGAAACCTTTAGATAGTGCAGTATGCCCTAGAGAGATGAACCGCTTTAAGTTGTGTATTTCCTTCTGACCACCTTAATAATCTATCTGAAGTCAACTTTTTTGAATGTTTGCATTAGTCATTTAATGCATTGAATACATTTTTATCATATCCTATCTTGGAAAAGAAGGCTAGTTCTCCTTAGCACTTCTCTTGGTTCCTTCATAATATCATTGGACCCAACATTTCACTTTGTGTGTGTTAAGCTAGATACACAGATAAAGTTAGATTAATGCCTCATACGAATTGAATTTTGGACTATCTCCAATTCTTGTAAATGGAGCCCAAGTTTGGCTTGTTTATGCTTTGGCTGGGGGACATCGCAAAGGGATTTCTCCAAATCAGTCATTTTTGGCATACAACGACCCGCCCAAAAAGCATTGAAGAATGGCCTCTTATAGCCCATGAACCACTTTGTAGTTGATAGACATCTTCAAAATAACTTGCCGATACTTTCTTCTTTATCAAACTCAACAGGCCTATCCAATCTTGAAATCCAACCATCCAATCTGGTTCAACTAAAAAATGCAAAACCTGAGTTTGGTTGCTTGGTACCCCTTGATATGAATGCTTTCATTATTGTTTACTAGTTGGACTACTATTTAGCAATAGTCGTATGCCACTACACTATTTTTGTCCAGCACCCATATCTCGTAAGCTACTAAAGTGGAAGCTCACCACCCAGTGATATTGACTATTTTTGGAAATTATTGTGCGTAATCTAATTATATGAGAGAGGTTTTACCAGAGAACGGGAAATCAGCCCTTTACTTCAGAGTCTCTGAATAAATTACTAATCACCCTTATATGTAACAACATGATCCTGATATCTTTAGTATGAATTTAACGTAGGGTGACTTTTGAGCTTCATCATATATATAATAGATAGGGAGCGTGTGTGATGAATAAAAGCAATTTTTTCCGTGCATGTCACTCTTGTAAGTGGCCTAGTTATGAAAATTAATGCAACGTTTTCCACGTGCATGTGAGTGGTACGTGTCGGTGTACACTAGCAACACACGCTCAAGATATAGACAGTGTAAGCTATTTAGATACTTCATGCAAATCGATATTGACCAACGATAGACTCCCCCATTCTACTTCCTCGAACCATCCTTTCCGGCTTCCGTGACGAAGGTCCGTATATGTTCTCCTTCTTCCATCTTCCTACCATTCTCTCCACGCTGCCCATCTCCAGCGCCCTCTCCTCCCCAGAGAAACCCCAAAGCGAAATGCCGACTACCTGCTATCTATCAATCCTCCTGCTCCTCGGAGTTCTCACTCTGGCGGCGCCACTTGGGGCGACGATTTCTACGGCTGCTGGCGGTGGAGCCAATAAGACAGCGCACGAGCTCCTCCCAAAGTTTGGTTTACCCAGGGGGCTCCTCCCCGGCAATGTGGTCAACTACGCCATGTCCAAAGACGGAGAGGTGACTGTGGAGCTTTCGGAGCCCTGCTATATCCAGTTCTCTGAGCTGGCCTACTATGAGAAGATCATCACGGGGCGGATCTCCTACGGGCTCATCTCCGGCATATCTGGTATTCAGGTGAGGAAGTTCTTACTGTGGGTGGCCATCACCAACATCGCCGTCGACAGGGAGAACAACAGCATTCAATTTAACAATGGGCTCCTCGCTGAGAAGCACCCCTCCTCCGAGTTCGACAGCGTGCGACCCTGCGAGAAGTGGGTCTCCTCTAAAGATGGCGACGATGACGACGGCAGTGCATCACTCCTAGGTCCCTTGTGATCTATTCATCGCCGTCGTCGTTCTGCATTTCCTCGGGTAGGTTCTCATTCTCTCTCTCTCTCCCCGCACTTTCAGTCCACTTTTTTTTTTCCCGATACCTGGTTTGACATAGAAGTAGATCGCTCGTAGGTTCAGTCAAATGACTAAATGATCTTCATCGACATACTTACGAAGATAAATATATCCTCAACCTTGACTTCTGAGAAACCAAAAAATATTTTCTTATTTTTTTAATTTTTACAAAAATATATTTTGCTTCAATATTGTTGCTAAATGATGTTACCACAAGTTTTAGGATCATCATTTAATTCAGATGAAATTGGCGATTATTTGCCTGACAAAATTAAAACAGTGGATCGTTAGTCATACTAGGGTTCATAAGTGAGAATAAGATAACAGATAATTACGAATCTGTATTAAAACATTCATTAAAGATGTAAATTTCAAAATTATGATGTTTTCATGCCAATGTTATCATTAGTGTAAAATAAAAACAATAAAAATAAGATCATAGTTCTTTATGTTAGCTAATAGTTGCAAATTATAATGTAATAGTTATGATGGTGAAATATAGAATTATTTATCTACTAAAAATTTTCTTTTGAAAAATAATACATGGAAAAACACTTACTTGTTTTTTTCATTGTAAGGATGTTCCAATAATTAAGATGCTTTTTCAAGCATCAAGAAGTTCATGTATAAGTGAATCAATGATTGACATGACAATCATAGCTAGATCAAACAAGTGAATCACATTTCCTATGAGGAATTTATTTTTCTATTTAGGGAACATGATGGTTCACATTGGCATAAATATATTATCATTCCCAAGCTATTATTGTAAATTATTGATTGAACCTTGTAGGATTTGAAAGTGCCACGTTGGACTGCATCCAGGGAATTCCATCAAATGACTTTGAGCTTTGAATCACATCTTGTTTGATGATGACGGTGATTATTATGATCTTTGTTATGTGGTTTAAGTAGGAGGTTTCTATTAATGTTAACTACTAATCTAGCTTGAAAGTGCTTCTTGCTGTTATACAATAATGGTTAAACAAAATTAATTTCGACATCTTACTTCATGAAATGATGCTTTCATTTCGTTTCCTGTTTTGAGATTCTCATGGACAGTCATGATTCTAGATTGAAGAGAGGATTCTGTATTAGGGTGAGGTGCTAGTAAACTAGTTTAGCATAAAGCATGATCCAGCGACGCCCAATCTTAAGCCTCAAAATCAAGTCCGAAAATGACGGTTTTGGTTCTAAAGTAGATAGGATGCAGGCCTTGTGTTTATCTCTCCTAAAAATCCAACGGTTGTCTCTCTCTCTCTCTCTCTCTCTCTCTTTCTCCCTCTTTCCCCTCCCCCCCTACCCCCTTTCTAATATCTTCTCTTTCTATCTCTCTCCATCTCCTTCTCTTATGCAAATATGGATAGTTACACTTGTGTTGGGGACTTTATTTTGTTTAAACAAAAGACCAAACTATGGCTCATAGTTCCTTACACATCTCCAATGGCAACTATAAAAGTATCAATTTCTACTTGAGAAAACACATGATCTAACATTAGGAAGGTAGAGCCTTCAATAATTATGTACTGTAACATGTATGTTCTTGTCAAACTGGTCCTACACTTTTGTCCCATGTGTGACAGGAAATCACACTAATTGCCAATGAAAATTAGTCATATGCAGAAAAGTGACCCTCTTATGGAAACTAACTCAACTAGAATATAGGCACTTGTACAATTTTTCATGAAAAATGCTAAATTTTATAGATAAAAAAATCCCAAAATTAAGAATAAATTATAATCTTAACATTCTTTTACCTAGTATATTATTGATAATAGTAGATGCTTCATATAAAATTAGTATTTAATAAATTAGGGAGCATCCATAAAAAGGAAGATGAAAATTGGAGAGATATTGAAATTTTCTTTAATGGTTAAAAGGAAAAAAAAAGAGTTTGCTTCTACAATTTCATATGTCTAAAGGTTTGATATCATAATAGAATAACTATTAAGAAATAGGTTTATGAATCGAACCATCATATTAACATATTTGAAGAAAACATGGAAATTTTACTACTTTAATTATACTTGAAAACTATATTTGGAATTCAAAGAAAATTAAAAAAAGTTTTGGATCATGACTTAAGTAGGGTTTTGAAACACCTATTGCAGCATCCTTCTTGACATGCCACAATGGTTGTATGGTTTCTCAAGCTTCCAATGGCTACAATCAACTAGAATATGTGTTAGCCATTGATGAATGTAATAAAGATATAAAATGGTGATTAGCTGATGATAGATATCATGGGTAAATCAATTAATACAAGGTGAGAAATTTTCAACAAGTTACATGAAATTGGTAGTGGCTCAAGAATAATTCTTGATGTTGCTAAGAAAGGCCTTATCCATAAATAGAGCCTCATTAGGTAATAAGCATGATGTAACACAAGATAAAAAATATGGAAAAAGATAAAATAATAAGTATGAAAAAGATTAGCACAATTAAACAAGACATCTATGGAAAATGCTTTCTAAAGCTTAAAAAAATGCTTATTGATCTGGAAAAAAACATAAAATCTTACACAAGTAAAATGCAACATTCTTTTGTAAGAATTTACATCAAAAATTACTTTTACATGACTATATGAATATAGAACGTGCATTAAGTGATGGCTTAAAAATAACCACCAATCTTCTTAAATTACACTTGAAGTTTTTTACATTCCACAAGGTTGGTGTTTTTGACTTGGTAGTTAATATTTTCCATGCACGAATTATTTTTTGTTATCAGATTGTTATTAGAATTGATTCATCACACAATGGTGAATAATTGTGACATTGAAAAATATTGAAATGATAAAATGGTAGCTTTATGAGAGCCACCATGAGTAATGTTTCTGTCTTAATAATGATATTGTTCTATAAAAACTATTTTTAGCATCATAGAGAAAATCAGAATAAAATAGATAGAGTTGTACTTGTGTTTGTCAACTAAAGAGTAGCTTGGAAAGTATGGACCTATTCACATATGCTAGAAAATATTATTTTGATCAACATAACATCAAGATAAAAGCAATAATGCAATGCCACAATACTAAAAAGTACCCTTTGGATATTCATTAATGTCAATAAACTGGCTTTTACCTCTTACTTTTAAGAAGAAAATATTAGCATATATAGAAGCCATTACTTTGGATTTTAGGGAAAGAGGTAATAAGTATACAAATTTTCGTCATTTGTACTTGTAACCTAAACACATGGAAAACTAGGGAAGCTTTAGCTTCTAAAACTATTGGGAAGGTATGTGTTTATCTTGGGTACAAATTATAGAAGTTTAGGTTTGAGTTGCATTGTTGGTAGGTGGGAAAATACATTTTCTTATCACTTTCTTTTCATTGTTAACTCCAAGGGAGCTAGCATACTCTCAAATTGGTGAAAAATCATGCAAGGAGACTCATCATATGAACTACATCAAGATCATCTTAAAAAATAGGGATGCTCCTATTGAGTTGTGTACTAAAGATTCAACAATATGCCATGAACAGGACAATACATGATATGTGACATGCAAGAATGATGTAATAGATGCCATGCACGGTAAGATTCAAAATATAAATACCCAATAACCTATGTTATTGACCTTAACAAGATCTAAGTTTTAACACCAAACTAATGCAAAGTGGAATATTTAAGAATATGAAAAAATTAAGCCAATCTTGATATTTTGATTTTACTAAGAAAATAATTAAGATGGTGTAATTTGTGAGAGTCTACCACTAAATAAGGTGATTGTGGAAGGTAAACTCATTTGTAAAAAGACAATGAGGATCATTGTTGTGAAATAAAACTAAAGTGATACAAACACTAATACTATGTTGAAGCATTAACTGAATAAGATTTTGATGATAACAAATAGTTATAAGATCAATTAAAAATATACGATCACTTATCTAAAAGTTTTCATTTTCATTAAATATGAATTCAGAGATAATTAAAAATATTGATAATCAAAATATGTACTCATGACCCATAATGTTGAATTCATTTTTTTGGCTAATTTCAACATTATAATGGTTTATGTAAAAATAACTAATATTTACAAAAACTAGTATAATGAGAAAAAAAAAGTAAGTGGTACTCTAAAATCAACTAGAATACCTGAATTAAAGTATGGGTATGAAAACTTAGTGTATTATACCCTTGACATCAGATTATCACTTGAAATGATTTCGATATCAATTTAAGCAAATTGAATTCAAATAACATGTTCTCTTACATATGATTTTTTCAAGTAATGAATATACTTAAATAAATAATGTAAAAAATATTATGAATCATGGAAGTTATGATTACAAGTATTGAGAATGTGTTCAAGGTTTTTACTTGATTGTTTTAATATTTTTTTGAACCAATTTGAATAAGTTTCATCCAAATTACTAATATACCTAGATACATATTATTGGTTCTATTTTAACAATATCATATCACTACCACATTGACCCAGATGATATGCTTCAGATATTAAATTTTATGCTTTAATGGAGCCACGTATTGTTGACATATGAGGATATCTAGACCCTTAAAGCACATTCTATTGTTTTTTTAACTATTCTAATTTTCATCTATTTTTGGTAAACTATACATTGAGAGATCCTACAAACCTGCAAAGACCTTCTAATTTCTCTTTAAATGTTGAGTCTTTTGAATGTCTAATTAATTTATAATGATCATCTTGATACCTACAACAACCTCAACCCCTCTGCTAAGATTTTTGATATAATATCTTGAGAGAAATTTAGAGAATTTCATTGCTAAACTTCACAAAAGTGACTAGTTGAGGAACTACTTTCAACTATTTAAGATTTTTCCTTGACATTAGTCAAATGTCAACATCATTTACATTATGCTAGGATCATTACAAGGAGATGACAATGAATAATGAAGTCTCAAGCATCATTTTCTTCATTAGAATTCTAAAATGATTCAACTTCAACATGATCAATCAAAAACTTCATATATTGAAATCTTTCTTATTATTTGTGAGATAACTTTGTGATTCTTATTTTTTTTATTACTTAAGGGAGCTGAACTTGGTAATCAATTGTTGGCCTCATAGAGTCATGAACCAAGGAAAAAAATCATGAGAGATATTAAAGGGTTTTAGACCCAATAATCAGTGAATGTGATTGGGATGCTTAATCCTAGTGGGACCCAAAAATAAAGATTGTTCCCAGAGAGGATATAAGTAGAGGGTCAATCCAGTTTTAAAATTATTGAGCTCTCATACTTACTGATTTAACAAAAGTATATGACTTAGGATTTGTAAGATGAGATCAAAGTTCTTCAAGATAATTGAACGAAGTAAGAAGTAGAGGTTGATCAATTCAACCTCCCTTCTTGATCTAAATGTGCCTTAAATCCAATAAATGGAAGTCCATTTTCTACTCTTTTAGTAATAATGTATCTAAGGATATCCTAGGTAATAAAAATGATAAGATCATATCTAAATTGATAGGACAACCAACATTAGATGTTGAACCAAGATACATGTTTTTCAAAGAAATCCTCCTCCATCCATATAGAGATCTAGATATATTTTTTAGAAGATTAACAAATGGAAGAATGTCTTGCTACCACTTAGATCTCTTTCCTTGACATGATGTTAGATGTATTCCTCTTCCATTAGGAAGTAAGATGAAATAAAAGTACTTTACAATTGCTTTCTCAAAGATAATTTATTTGTCGGATTTGACATGTATAATATTTTTTATTTCTTATACAATTTGATGATATTATTTAACTTAGAAATGTTATATATTACTTTATTCTCTAAACATAATTGAGTTGCATGAATTGATTTCAAATCTTATTAATTCCAATTTTCATTACTTAATTTTTCTACCTTTCCTTTTCCATAAGGAGCTTTTTGTGAAGTCCTTGATGTAGAAGGATTACCTCAAAAATTTTCATTGACTTTTTTGGTAATACGAAAATAAGGTAACATTAATTTGACTATTATATCAAAATGTTGTGAAGTAAAACCAAAGGGATGCAAATTGTAATGATGGAAGTCGTATTACAATGTGTTATACTCTTTGATAAAGATGTATTCACAATATCAAAGCCAATAAAATGACAAAATTGTATCTAAAACATGGATATATGTTGTTCAAAGAAATCCTCCTAAATCCAAGGAGAGATCTAAAACCATTTCTTGGAAGAATAAAAAATGGAAGATAGCCTTACAACCATTTGGGTCTCTTTCATTGGGTTGATGCTAGATATCTTCCTCCTTAGGTAAGAAGGAAAATCAAAGTAAAAGAAGTAGAAACCCCCCTTCTTCTTCTCTCAATATGCCTTAACTATTCTTCCTTCAGCTTTCTCTTACTCTCTACCACTCTTCTCAACCTTTACAATGTATAGGTTACTACACATCCCTCCCCTTTGTATAGTGTAGGAGAGAGGAGGAGACTAAGAGAGGGAGAGTGGTTTAAATGCCCCATCTTATTTGCTAGGCCATTTTTAGCGGCTCTCCCATAACACGTGGCAATTTTATAACAGTTCAAAAAACCAAAGAACATTAAGTCTATTAATGGCATTTGGTCGCCACATCAAATTGCAAATTGTGAAAAGTGATCTTCTAAACTCATCCCTTCTTTTCTAATATTTGACAAATTAAATCAAGTCCCAAGGATTTCCTCAATTTCCTTTATTATCTTGATGAGAAGTTGGTTGTGATGGAGGAATAGGATGATCTTTACCCTCCTAAGCTGAAGTAGACTATGGTTGAAGCTAATTTTATTCACACTCCCTTCTTGTGTTGAAAAGAACGGTGAGAAAAGTCACTGAGGAATACTCAATAGGGTCAAGGAGTAGGAGGTAAAAGTTTTAGAGGAAGAGGGAAGATGAGCGGAAAATGAATGCAGTGCATCAATTTCTGATGGGCTTCAGACAAGGGGTGTGAAAGCCGTAAGAAGGGGTGAGAATAGCAGCATTTGTGCAAGCAAGTTCATCTCTCTCGCGAACGGTATTTTAAGCTGTCGTAGCTCTCTCGTCTCTTCCTCTCCCTTTTTGGGCGGCTGCGGGGGTGGCCTCAAGGGGGGAGCGTCGTGGGAGCACCCGAAGAAGCTCTAGGGTTAGGGTTTTTCCCGGCAAGGGGTTGGCTACCTCCCTTTCCTCGCTACTCTTCCTTCGAAGCGGCGAAGAAGATGAGCGTGACGGGGCCGGTGCCGTCCTCCCGCGATTCGCATGGTAACGTCGACGAGCAGATTGCGCAGCTCATGCAGTGCAAGCCGCTTTCCGAGCAAGAGGTTCTTTCGCTCTCTTATTCGTGTTTTATTTTCTCAGCAATGAAGATAATGCTTTTATGCTCGAGTGGGCATACCTATATCTTGAATTTTCACGTCGAAGGGAAGGCCTACCCCTCAGATCGGACCGTTTCGTGAGCGGATCAGTGCCTATTATAGGGTTGTGTTGCTTGCAGAGGAGGTTTCCGTCGATATTTTCTTACCGCTGTTCTGGTTATCTGTCAGTTAATAACGTTTCTGGACGCCGAAGTTAGGGTTTGGTACGGAAATTGTGCGGACAATCTTTTTTGACCTTTTATCTTCCGACTTCATGCCTGGATGTGCCGGATTAATTTTGGCGTCCTACTCGTGTTATTTGGGCTCTAAAATCTTGCGGGATTAGGTACCTATCTCCTAGCAGTTATCTTGTAGATTTTTGGATTCATATGCTTTCCTAGTTTAGGATGGCTGGCATGTTGATACAGTGATGGACATGTTGACCAGAGGAGAAAGAACAGAGATGCTTTCAAATAAATTGGGTCGACGTTATTTCTACTTTGTGGATCGATGATAATAAAGTCTGATGGAGAAAGATGCTGAGGGATTGTCTTTAAGCAATTCAGAGACGGTTCACATTCCCCATTTTCTATTTGTAGAGTTCCCTTTTGCTTAGCATTCCCCATTGAAGGTTCCTTCATCCTTTTTCGAACATAGTTTGTGATGCCTTTATGGTCGATTTTTTTTAAAGTTATCATTTCGAAGTATGTGTTCATGTTTCCAGTTTACTTTCCCATTATTTTCATGGATATTTTTTTTTTGGAAAAAGCCAAAACCAACATCTGTTTAGAACTGGAAAATTCCCCATCGATCATGTGGCTATGAAAAGGAAAACCGAAATGTCTGTTCTTATGAAAGGATACTCCAAATGTCTATTTTTATCATGTTTTAAAGGCACCACGAGTTTTTGACGGTGGGTAGCTTTCCAGGACGCAACCACATTTCCTATCAATTTCCTGGCCATGTTATTAGTTCATTTTTACTATGGCATGGAAGCCCTATAGAGCCTTCACTTCTCGTAGGAGATTCCATTTCAATTCAATTTTCGATTAATATTGTGAACTGTTTAGTGATGTGAATTGCCAGCGAAAATGATAGAAGAAATTTTCCATACATTGGTTCAAAGGAGTATTGGTGCTGTACATGAGGATAGCTAGTCAATTAGATGCTGCATGAATTTTCAAACTAGAATCTTTGTTCTGTGTGAGAATGTATATTCCCAGGGTTGTGACTTGGTTCGTAGAAGCTCCACTTTAGATAATATGAACGAACAGCATAACTACCTTCCCTTCCATGTTTTCAATGCACTCCACCATAATATCGGATGATATATTTTTTGCGAATTTTTTCCCTGAACCTTGTATAATTACATCCAATCACTACCATACCAGGTGAAATACTTCAGTCATAGCTGCAGAAATGTCCTCTTGTCGTGTATTCAAAGTAGCTCTTTTGTGGGTGTAGATGTAGACTGAATGACATCTTGCCTTTAACAGGGTAAGTGGGAAATATTTTCCGTTCTCACATCTCTAGTGTCTATGCTGTTTCACGACTACACAAATACTTGTTTAATGTTCCAACCTTTTTATATCTGACATTCTTGTTCTTCTTTTTACTTTTGTTTAATCGTCTATAGGCATGACTCCCCCGTTCCTCACCCTACAACTTTCATAACCACTTAATTATGTCAGTTTGAAGTCCTTGATTCCATACTTTTTTCTCTATTGGTATCTGGAGTTTTATGCTCGAACAATTTAATCATAGAGAAGCAATGCTTTCAGCCATTTTCTTTGTGATTTCTGGATAGAAGGGAGAAAATTCCCTCATCTTAATTTTTAGAAGCATTCCCCTGTTGATGTCACTTCCACTAGATTGGCTCTTATTTTGTTTTCACCTTTTCTCTTTCCTTATTGTTGTTGGGAATTCAATCATCAATCTAATCATAGAAAACTCCTTCATGTTCCTCTTTTCAAATAGCCGAAAGAGTTGTATGAAGGACAAACTATCAAATTTTGCTGTGTCATTCATCAGTGGACTTCTATGTTAATTACAAGTCGTCTTTTTTGTATTTTTTATCAATGAGCTGATTGACTTGTGTTATCACATCACGTATTCTTTTCTTTCCTTCATTATCAGGAGTAATCTTGTTCATCCTCCTAAGGGGAGCTTGCTTTTCTTTGATGTTACCCCGGCATAGCCTCCATAGCGTCTTGTTTAATCATATCCCATTTGCACAATGTTTAATCACATCCTAAGGGGAGCTTGCTTTTCTTGTTTAATCATTCTTTTGAAGCTTTTACATCGTCTCTCAGAGAGCTCCTTTATCTTTTCCATCGGAATCTTAGACATCATATCTTTCTTTACTCAGGTTTATAACTATGCTTCTCAATAGAATATCTGGACAAAAAACATGCGACATGCTGTATGCTTCTTAACGTTCTCTTCCATTGTAATCATCTTGCCCCCCTTTCTTCAAATTATTTATGTAATACCCCATATCTCTGCCCCTTTGTCTACCCATACTTCCCTCGTTCTCTCTTACAATTAGTATTTTTCTTTGATCACAATTTCCCCCATTCTGCGTTCCATAGAATGTTGTATCCTTTATCTTCTTTGGTGACAGGTGTGGCCAGAAGACAGGAGAGATTGTCTTAGGCTCCAATAAGCACACAGGGAAGCTGAGATCACATAAGATTGTTCTGACAATTTAACCTGATAGTCATGCCATTGGGTACATAGGATTTTGATTAAACATCATGACAGTTGGGAGGAGACACAAAATTACACCTGTCACTTGAATGACACCGTTGGAAGTTAGGCAGGAATACCACAATTCGGACAACACTTAGAGAGTTTGGTCAGGCAGGTAGCCAGATAAACTTTAAGTCCGGATAAGTAGGTCCATCTTTATGAAGCTATCATGGTATCTAGTTAGGTATGAATCAGTTGAAAAAGGCGAGGTAATCACTCAAGGGACGAAACTAGTGGATATTCTTTCCTGACTTTACCGGACGTGACACATACAGGACAGAGGATATATAACCTTCAAGACAGACATGGCTCTCTTCGAAGTCTTCTGTGGTATGCTTTCCTGGCATTACCTCTTGGAAGTAGCGGAAATGACACCTACAGGATAGAGGATATATAAACTTTGAGGAAAACGTGGCTCTCTTTCAAGTCTTATGGCAAGATCTATGATGGCTGATAAGATCCATATTTACATTGAGAGACCATGCAGGGTGTGGACGATGTATGCACATTAGTCTACTGGAAATTTTTAGTGTACATTTGCAAGCTGATTGTAGATGGATGCCAGTGCAGACGATAGGTGAGGGAGGGATGCTTCTGTACATGAATATTGTGATGACTATTTGATCACCCACCTATTCAAAGAGACCAAGATGCTGGGAAGGTACGGAGGACTCAACAAAAGTTAGAGAAAATTTGTTAGGGTTCAGCTTTTTCGTTCATTTCCAATATTGATTGTGAAACACCATGAGCCCTATGATGTTGAGGCCCGGAATTTGAAAGTGACATTTTGATTTGCCCGCTTGGTTGATGCCAAGTTATGCGAGCTATAATATATGCTATCCATTTCATCCTTTCAGCTTTATTATCGTGCTAGTCAAATGAAGAAAGGCATACTTGTCCCGTATTCCATGTTTGAGTGTCGTTGTAACATCTTGTATGGCGGCCAAATATTTGTCATGCTGTTGGTGTTGCTAAATTACTGGGTTCTTTGGAAACTGAGAGGCACATCCAAGTTCATTTGGATTTTGGAAATTCAAGTGATTGTTTGACAGGTTTTGTTGATTTAAATTTTGTACATTTGGTGAGGAAGTCTTTGGCTGGTTGTAGTTTCTTCATTAGTGAATGTATTAGTTGGAGAGTACATTACATTACAGCTGAGATACATATTGTCTCTGTAAGACAGGTGCATGGCCTCAATTGAGACAATGAAAGAAGTTTAGTTGAAAGGCTTGTTAAGTGACCTTGACTCATATCAGGAGATGACTGTTATCCACTGTGATATCTGGAGTAAAGTTCATCAGGAAGAAAGGACCGAATGCTTCATGTAAGGACGAAGCACATTGACATCAGCTACCATTTCATTTGGGAAGTTCTTGTATGGTGAAACTGTAGTCACAGTTGACAATCATCTTGATGTGCCGACCAAGTCTGTTCCATCTGACAAGTTCAGAAAAGGCTGGAACTTGATTGGTGTCTGCAACACAGTATGGCATTACCGGTGGTGAGGGTACTGATTCCAGCTATTTATTGTGTGAGCTTCATGGAATCCAAGTTGAGTTAGAGCTTTCTTGAATGCGACTTGAATTCTTTTGTGGAGTCAAAGCCAAGATGCAAACTGATGCATATTTTTAATAGATCCACCATGGGAGTTTTATTTCTGGAACCTGTGTTGGGTGGAGGGCTTTTGGGACCCTAATTTGATGATTGTTGTAAATTATGGCTACCATTATCGTGGAAGATGTTATCTCCTGCCGTACCATTATTGAAGTTCTTTTGTAGAGCTACTGGGAACCCTTTTAGAATGGATTGTATATATTCAGGAGAGGGAGAGAGAGAGAGAGAGAGAGAGAGAGATAGAGAGAGAGAGAGAGAGAGAGAGAGTCTCTTCTTCCCATCTTAATTTTTTTCGGTTGGATAGTGTTATTTCGTCGTCTTTTATCATCAATGGAAGAAATGCCATCCCCAACCAGTCTTTCCTAAATGGTCATGATTCCTAGCATAAGTTACCTTTATTGAAGGTGGTAGCTTGTGCCTGGTAAGTCTTTCCTAGACGAGCACACATGCCAAGAGTGACTTGTAGAACAAGTCTTGTTTATCCGATCTCATATTTCTCATTTTTCATAGATAAAGACCATGATTCCTAGCATGTACTTTACCTTTATTCAAGGTGGTAGCTTGTGCCTGGTAAGTCTTTCCCAGACGAGCACACATGCCAAGAGTGACTTGTAGAACAAGTCTTGTTTATCCGATCTCATATTTCTCATGTTTCATAGATAAAGACCGTGATTCCTAGCATGTACTTTACCTTTATTCAAGGTGGTAGCTTGTGCCTGGTAAGTCTTTCCTAGACAAGCACATATGATTTTTCCTGTCTCCCTTTATGCTTCATCCGGCCATCTTGTATTTGTCGATGCAAATTTTTTCCTGACTCAACAAGCCTGTAACAGAAGCCTGCCATCTTTGGAACCTTCCACTACCTTGGCATTCATGGTGGTTCCTATCTCCATCTCTTCTCTGTCGTCAGCCTTATCTTACAGCAATGTATTCAATCCTCCCTGAGGGAACATGAGGTTCCCCAAAATGAAAAGGACGAAAAGGACCTGCTTTGTGGCTCTCTTCCCACCCTTCAACGAAAGGTCCCTACTTCGAGGAAACCACCATCCTAGTTATCAGGCCGTGCAATCTATAAGGACTGTTGATATCTTGTAATGCTATTAGATAGTGAGTTGTAGTCTGAAATGAATATCTGAGAACGCTGCATAAGCATCTTCAGTACTGGGGGATAGCCATAATGTCCCACCAGACATTTCTGATTTGGAGATGGTTTATGGTAAAGACTCCTTAATTGGTTGATCACTTCTATGTATCCTTTCTTATGATGCTGAAAAATTGGGTAAAAACATGGACTGTTTGTATCCATTCTAAAAGTTTCTTATTAGCTTTTAAAGTATATTGGTTAACTAATCATTTTTGCCATCTTTATTATTTTTGGTAGGATCTCTCACATTCTCCAATGCTGTTTACTTGTTATCTCTCTTTGATTGCCTCTTTGTTTGACGATTTGAATTATGGAGTAGTTTCATCTAAATCATTACTTATGCGCAGGTCAGAGTTTTATGTGATAAGGCTAAGGAAGTACTGATAGAAGAAAGCAACGTGCAGGTTTGGATAATATCTTTTCCTTTCTTTATTGAAGACCAAACATGTCTAAGAAATGTTGTTTCAGATAGTTAGGGTTGTCTAAATAATGAGTTACCAGGTGTTATACCTTTATATCTTCATTCCTGACATTGATGACTGCCTAAGGATAATGCCCTGACATTAGTAGCGAAGCTGAATTGCATCAACTCTTCACACAGTTGCTCCAGGGTTTTAACTGTAGTGATGGTTGATTACCTTATGCCTATGTGACTTCCCAAGGTATCGAGGTGATGCCTACTTTTAGACATATTTCAAGTACAAAAATTATTTTCAAATCTTAAAAAACTATAAAAGAAATGTGCAAGTGGACGACTTAATGTATAAAAGTTGACGCATAGTTTTGACAATTGACAGAAATTTAGACTATGATGTAAGGGAAACTGCAAAATGTTCAGCTAAAACTCACAAAATTCCCCAAAAGGTGAGGCTATGTGTAAATAGAGAGATGCAAATCAATTTGCACCAGTATGGATGTATGTACCCTGTCATGCTGAGCCAGGCATTCGACCTCCCTAGATGCTGACATCGACACCACCTTGAAAATGTTAATCGCTTCATGGAGTCCTAACATCACTGCATCTTGGGAATGGTTACAAGGATACTACCTTATTGCACTCCAATTACAAGTAGTGCAAAGCAAGTCGTCCAAGTGAGGAGCCCTATTCAACTTTATCACATTATCATGCCCGATTAGAGTTTGATTTGTTTTATTTTTCTCATATGAAGAGTGGTGGTTGCCAAAAGCTCCGCTTTTTGAAGCCAAAGGGAAGATTTGGTTCTTGCCAGCTGAACCAGATGAATGAAATGAAAGATTGTGTTAATCGTCAGATACCATTTCATTAGTATGACTCAACAAATTATTTTTTATATCATATGGAACCGATAATCCCCACAAATTAGACTTGTAGCTGTGCAGATGAGATCAGACTTTGCAGGACATCTCTTGTCCTTTCAATCGGCAGCTCTATAGTTAGTGGAGAAATATGAATGATCTACCTAATAAGAAACATAATACATACTGGAACACGGTGGAACGTAATGTTCACACAGAGTTTATTGCTTTAGTGGTCATTCTTACGTTAGATTTGGGGATGCTATGCTGTAGTATTGGAATCAATTGGAGATTCATAGGGAACAAAAAATATGGTGCGTTATTCTTAACCAAACCCTTTTGTCGTATGGAATCAGACGTTCATATGTGTATCTGAAACGTGAACTTTTCAGGAGAAAATGTATTTACATTTGACTGGGTGAAACAATTGGTTTGGTATTTTTTTAAAAGGTGTAAGGATATGCTTCCTTCCCTCTCATTTGATAATTAATGATTGCGGTCCTATTCACTCTTTTATAACGACCTTTTCTTTCTTTTGGGGTTATGTTACAGCCTGTCAAGAGCCCTGTGACAATATGTGGTGACATTCATGGACAATTTCATGACCTCACTGAGCTATTCAAAATTGGTGGCAAGGTGATTTCCTTTCTGTTTATCATCTTTATTTTCCTGCTTCTCGTGTGCAGCACTGTTGTTCTTGATGAATATGAATGTTTGAAAACTTCTTTTTTTTTTCTTTCATTTAATGAGTGCTGTCTACTACTGTTTTTAGCAAGAGACTAGTATGGCGCTTGGTGATTTTAACAGAACTCTCCTTGTATCCTGTCAACCTGATGGGACTCCAGTTTTCTTCAGCCCCTGCGTGACTAATAGCTTTCTCTCTCCAATGTGCCTGGTCTTTTCTACTTTGTCGAGTGCCTTTTCTTCCTTTTCATTTGGTCTGTAAATACTTGCTTTGACATTTCGCCTCTTTGAATCTTATGTGTATCTTGGTTATGCTTTTTGCCAGTGTCCTGATACCAATTACTTATTCATGGGGGACTATGTGGACCGTGGATACTATTCTGTTGAAACAGTGACGGTAAGTTTTGATCAAATGTTTTTGGGTATCTTGTTCATCTGTCTCCTGAATTATATCATTTACGTATGGGCAACATTTTGCTGATTGCTAAAACTTGAAAGCATTTCGAAAGGGGAACAATGTTTCTTGTCCGTTTTATCTCATGCAATAAAAAGTGTCCCACCAGAAATGTTAGCACTGGCGCAAAGACTCTCCTTTTTGTCTCTTGCTTGGAAGAGGATATGAGATGCAGAAGGAATATGGGTTGTATAACATTTGATAGAGCGAGCTAGTCATTTGGGTTTGCGAGTACTGAGATCTGCTCATTGGATAGAGTTGATCATCCAAGGAAGTGCGTTATCATATCGAATTTATGTATGGTCGACTGATTCTCATCACAGCCTAATTTGGTTCCACTCTGGCAGACCCACCCTTGAGTCACTCTACCTTCATTTTCCAGATTAGGTGCGCTAAGTTTGTATTTTCATAATAACAGGGAGATTAGGTGCGCTAGATTAGGTGGCAGATTAGGTAGTTTTTTTTTCTCATAATAACAGGGAGGTGCCTAAATTTGTTTTGAGAATTTTTTTCCCTACTGATCAAGTTCTTTTCTTGGCTTTTGGTTGAAGTTGCTTCTGTATTGATTATTCTCTCTTGTTCTGTCTCATAGCTTCTGGTTGCCCTTAAGGTGCGCTATCCTCAGCGCATTACAATCCTTCGGGGAAATCATGAAAGTCGTCAGGTAACACCGTACCAGGATTCAGTGTTGATATGATAAATAAGCAAGACGTAGGGCTCGTTTGTAATTGTATTAGCTTCGTTCTTCTGACGACATTTCTATGAATTGTATTTAAAACCTGGATCTGTTAGTACAACAGCTGTACTCCAGCTATTTGTAAGTTCTGAAAATTACTCTATTGGCTTGCAGATCACGCAGGTGTATGGATTTTATGATGAATGCTTAAGAAAGTAAGCATTATTATTGATTTTTATGTTTTTAGAATCTAGTGGGTTCAACTTTCATGCATTTTCTCAGCTTCCATGGCAAGATTGAAGACATTCTTTTCACGTAAATAAATAGATACCTGTCAATTTTTAGCTTTTATTTTTCTAGATTGAAATACTGAATTGATGGTATTGAATTGGAGAGAATAGCAGCTAACTTTCGTACCTTGTATAGGTTGATGGCACGATTTGAGAGATTAAATATCTCAAACGGAAAAGATTTGAGCTGCTCATCTCTGAAACGCTCATTTAGGTTTTGAAATTTGTATAGACATTCCGTAATTTGTTCTCATCATCTGAGATAGGCATTGCTAACCATAAGCTGGTTTTTATTTATGCGAACTTAGATAAATTCTTGCATGTTTATAGAACTGTCTCAATGAAGTAGTTTCCTTGAAAACAGTTTCTTGGGCAATGTGCAGATTGATTCTTTCGGTTGAGGATTGATTTCTGTTGCAAGATGTTGTAAATGGGCTAGAGTTTAGGAAACCTAGTGCTGAAAGCCTAATACCTGTCTTGTTCCTCAATGAACCTAGCCAATTCATGCTCTTTCTTCCCCTTGCAATCATTAAAAATGGGGCCAGTTCTCTTGATTACAAACCTAGGCGGCTGACAGACACGATTAACCGTCTTCTTTTCATTCCTCCTTGGTAAGATGGCTGTTAACTTATCTGCGCAAGTTGATTAAGTACTTTTGTGTGGAAGATTCGGCTTGGTCATCATGCTATCTTATTTTATTAGAACCTTTTTTTACTGCAATTACAATTTTGGCATCATGGATGATTTTTCATTCATTTTGGTATCTGAAGGCTGCTTTTGTCTGAGTGAGGTGGTTGAAACTGTTGAGAATTGATCTTGATTGAGATTCTTGCAACTTAGAGAATGGAAGGATTCGATCTTCACGATCCTCCTCTTCCAGGAAGATGAATCAATCACCACTTCTTGGAGCAGAATTTCCCAATCCCAAAATCTTACATCAATTATCTCGGTTTCCCGCTCAAGTACAGGTTACATGAGTTAATGGGCCAGGCCCATTACATGTCTTTAAGCGGATCCGTTAACAGTCTAATGGATCCATTTAACATAGGGAATGACAGGAATGGACGAAAATACAATGAAAAGAAACAGATTGAAAGGAAAAACAATCCTAGAGAGTTCAACAGAAACATATCTTGGCTTAATAAAAAGTCAACAAATTCTTTACTAAACCTAGAATACAGTATAATTGTGAGATTTTTGGAGTTTGTCTGTGAAATTACAAAAGGTGAAGACCAACAACTGGACTACAGTTGCTTGGTCCTATTTTAAACAGTAGATGCATTTGGGGTATGGAAATAGTTTGGCAAAGTGACAATCCTTCACTTAAAATGCTTTGGTGCTTTGGCCGAAAAGTAAAATTTGAACTTTGGTGCTTGATGCATTTGTTAAGCTCAATTCTATTGGTTATGCGTCTGCTGATTTTTTTTTTGTCCTGATTTCCAGGTATGGTAATGCAAGCGTGTGGAAGACTTTTACTGACCTCTTTGACTACTTTCCTCTGACAGCACTGGTCAGTTGGTGTGCTATATCTTATCCCTGTCTGATATTTTGCTTGATTTTTCTTGTGTTCGTTTTCACTATATCTTGACCAAAGTTGTGCATAATCATTGTTGTCGTCATCATAATCTTGGTCAGCTCAAGGTAAATGATCGTGTCACTGTGTGATTTACTTTTTCTCGGCCATTAATTGTAGGGGGGCTTGCTTTTATTTTGTTGAGACAACCTGAGGCTAGTTGACTGGCAGATGGTGGCTGCCTTTTCATATACATCCCCCATGCCGTCAGGCTACGCTATCTGATAAGCAGGGGGGTCTACCCAGATTGCTCGACGCAGTAATGGAAGATGGGAACTAGATAAACTCTGCAGAGTGCCATAAATGTGGATGAAAAGTAGAGAAAAAGGTGTAGAAAAAGTAAAATAGGAAAAATATGTGAAGGAGAACACAATAGACGAACCAATAAATTTGTTGGTATGCTAAAATCTTCTCATAGAACCTCAACGATTTTGTTTCTATTTACGGATTCTTGGACTTTGTGAAGTGCCAAGGTGAGTGTTTCTATTTGTTTGATGAATTTCTTATGGGTATATTTTGTATTCATAATCTTACACCCGCTAATTTAGTCTTGCTGTTATGGAACATAATTTAATGTCTTATAACATTCGTTTAGTAGGAAAATCACGTATTTATTTGTTTTGGCTGAAAGCTCTGATTTGTGCTGTTGATTCACTGCTTCACTAACCGTATTCTCTTAAATCTTTGAAGGTGGAGTCAGAGATATTTTGTCTGCACGGAGGTCTGTCTCCGTCCATTGAGACCCTTGACAATGTGAGAAATTTGGATCGTGTGCAAGAAGTTCCGCATGAGGGGCCCATGTGTGATCTGTTGTGGTCAGATCCTGATGATCGCTGTGGTTGGGGGATATCCCCTCGAGGCGCTGGATACACATTTGGCCAAGTGATTTCTCTTCTTTTTCTGTTTTTATTGCTCCCTCAATATGAAGGCGACGGACATCCATATTATGGCCACTCTAATCTGATCTATTCATTTTTCATGCAGGATATATCGGAGCAATTCAATCACAACAACAGTTTGAACCTGATTGCTAGAGCGCATCAGTTGGTCATGGAAGGGTACAACTGGGGACATGTAAACCCAACCACGCCTCCCCCTTCTCTTTTGGCCGAATTGAATGTCTATGATTTTGCTAAAATGAGTCTCTTGAACAACACAGGAACAAAAGGTAGTGACCATCTTTAGCGCACCAAATTATTGTTACCGTTGTGGAAATATGGCCTCCATCTTGGAAGTCGACGACTGCAATGGTCACACATTCATTCAGGTTTCTCTCTCTCTCTCTCTCTCTCTCTCTCTCTCCGTTTTAGCATCTTGGCATGTCAGTTCTTCTGTTCTTCGGCAAAGCGATTTGTTTTGGGTAGCCATAATGAGTTGGGAATTGCTCTCCTGATGTTTTCTCTTGCAGTTCGAGCCGGCGCCCAGAAGAGGGGAGCCGGACGTCACGCGTAGGACTCCGGATTACTTCCTATGATTCTGGTCTCGGAAAGGCCGCCGCTCCCTAGATGATTCCTAGCTGCTGTTCCGGGGTCTCACTATTACCACGGTGGGAAGAGGGAAGAACTCTCTCCATCAACCCCCCCCCCTTCTCTCTCTCTCTCTCTCTCTCTCTCTCTCTCTCTCTCCTGCCGGGGTACGAGATTCTAAGTTATGGGACTCTGTGGTAGTTTCTCCCATTGGAGGCAGCGAAGCGAGGGTAGCGGCGGGAAGGGCGACGGCAGAAGGTTGGGTGTATCAATCGGGAAAACTCCTGGGTCTCTTTCCCTTCTGGGTTTCTTCTTTACTCCCCCTTTCTTTTGATCTTTGTAGAGGAGATGGACATGATGTCATGGTGTTCCGGTTATCAATTTCTAGTTCTCCCTTAGCCGATCAAGCCCTGCGTACTTCTCAAACGGTGATCCCTGGGCTCTTCTAGCCGGTTATCAATTTCTAGTTCTCGCAGTAGTCAGGAGAGGGGCTGGGCTGGGGCCCCATAAGATGGATGGGTCCTTGGTCTGTTTTCCGAGGAACTTCTGCAGACTGACCCGATCACGCCACTCTCTGCGTCCTTCATTTCTGCATGGCGACCAGATGCCGTGTAAGTCACACCTAAACGTGTTAAGTAGTGACTAAGTTGATAATTCAATTGGCAGGTCTCTCTAGAGATCTCCACAACTTCGCACATCACTTAAATCATCCTCACTTACCCAGCACCTCCATGACGAACACTTTAAAGAATTGCATGGTCAAATTTCTGACCAACTTAACACCTCGCTGTCGCGGGCCCGTGACCTAGCACCATATCCTGGGCCCACACTGACCACTTATCAACAAGAACACATCTGCGTCCATCCAGCCATGGATTCTTGAACATCCCCAACAGATTGCGATTACAGCCACATGTGGCTTTAGCTTTCCACAGGGTTTCTCATCGCGTCAGCTACAGTCCTCAGCCCCAACCAACAATGGGCGCTGACATCGGAGAGGTAGCGAGCGGTAGTGGCACCGGGGATCCGCCGTCTCCACTGGTTGGCATGGCCTCTCCTGGCGGCGAAAACGCCAACCAGAAGAGCAACCATGGTCGGAAGAACAAGCTGAGCCTCATACTGCTCATATTCATGATCTTCTTCGAGGTCTCCGGTGGCCCGTACTGCGAGGAGCCGGCGGTGCAGGCTGCGGGGCCACTAATGGCGATCATCGGTTTCCATTCATCTGGAGCATCCCGGAGGCCCTGGTGACCGCCGAGCTCGCCACCGCCTATCCAGGCAACGGGGGCTACGTGGTGTGGATCACCGAAGCTTTCAGCCCTTTTCCCGGCTCTATGATGGGAAACTGGAAATACCTCAGTGGCGTCATCAACAACGCCGCCTACCCCGTTCTCTGCTCCGATTATCTCTCCCGCATCTCCCCTCGCTTCGGTACCGGCGGCGGCTGGCGGCAGGGATCCATCATAGCGTTCACCGTTGGTCTTTCCTTCCTCAACTACACGGGTGTAGCCGTGGTCGGCTGGGCGGCGGTGGCACTGGGAGCGGTGGCGCTGCCGAAGATCCAGCCGAGAATGTGGCTGAAGAGGCCCAAGGAGCGGATGGGAAGGAGTGACTGGAGCCTCTACTTCAACACGCTCTTCTGGAACCTGAGATTCTGGGACAACGTGAGCACGATGAACGGGGAGGTGGAGCGGCCGCAACGGACGTTCCCCCGGGCGCTGCTAGGGGCGGGGCTGATAACCTACATCAGCTATCTGCTGCCTTTGTTTGCGGCGACGGGGACGCTGGATGTCCCCCAAGAGGATTGGAGCGACGGGTTCCTCGTCGACGCCGCTGGTGAGTGCTAACAAGAAGATCGTTGCCTTAGGGTTCTCTGATCGAGAAAAAGATGCTGAAGGCTTATCGGCCAATCGGCCAAATCCAAAACGATCAACTCACTTGGGGCATTAGATTTTATTATATATACTAATTTTATATTAATATTTTAAAATTGTATAAATAATATTTTAATAGATTTTATTCATAATAAGATTTTTTATATTTTTTAATTTTTGATATTAAGATTTTTCATAATGAATTTATAAGTACTTAAGTATTCATCTCTAAATGCTACACCATTAGTATTTTTTGATGTAATTTCAGAAAGTAGGCTCCCAACCTCTCTCTCTCTCTCCCACTCCCTCTCTTGTCACATGCACGCACTCATCTTATAAACAAGTCAGAAACACTGCCCCTTTAACCGTTGGTCTTTTGTCACTGTCTGGAAGAAGAGCCCAAAATTAATGGGCGATAAGGATGGAATGGAGGGCCTGAAAATTACTCATGTCCTGTGTTTTGACAAGTAGCTAGGGGATACAAGTTGAAAGTATATCCCATCCATTGCAGGGTCATCTGAATCTAATCCACAGTAGATCCCATCCGCGGTGTGCGGGATGATGGGTTGCAGGCATGATCGTGGGGAGGTGGCTGAAGGTCTGGGTGGAAGTGGGGGGCGTCTTCTCAGGCGTGGGGCTCTACGAAGCTCAGCTGAGCACATGCGCCTTCTTGCTCCTCGGCATGGCGGATCTCGGGCTCCTCCCGCGCGTATTGGCCGTCCGCTCCACCTGGTTCGGGACCCCTTGGCTGCCCATCCTCGGCTCCACCGCGATAACCCTCGCCGTCTCCTTCATGAGCTTCGACAACATCATCGCCTCCGCCAACTTGCTCTACGGCCTCGGGATGCTCCTCGAGTTCGCCGCCTTCATCTGGCTGCGCCGGCGGCGCCCCGTCCTGAAGAGGCCATTCCGGGTACCCATGAAGCTCCCAGGGCTCACCGTCATGTGTCTGGTCCTATCGGGTTTCATCCTCTCCTCATGGTAATTGGGAGTTGGCCAAGTTATGCCATCAGCGCGGGGCTGACGGCGCTGGGCGTGGCCGTCTACTACGTCATGAGTATCATCAAGGCCAGAGGATGGATAGAGTTTAGCAAGGTGGACGGTAATCAAGGAGAGGGTGAAGAGGGTGCGAATGGTGGGAAAGGGAGCGTGGTGGGTAGGGTGTGATAAAATTTCTTGTAACCCACACGGTGGATAGGGGGGAGGAACTTTCTCTCCTCACTCTCTCTCTCTCCCTCCCTCCCTCTCTCTCTCTCTCTCTCTCTCTCTCTCTCTCTCTCTCTCTCTCTCTCTCTCTCTCTCTCTCTCTCTCTCTCTCCCTCGCTCTCTCTCTCTCTCTCTCCCTCGCTCTCTCTCTCTCTCCCTCTCTCTCCCTCTCTCCCTCTCTCTCCCTGTCTCTCCCTCTCTCTCCCTCTCTCTCTCTCTGTCTCTCTGTCTCTCTCTCCCTCGCTCTCTCTGTCTCTCTCTCCCTCGCTCTCTCTCTCTCTCTCTCTCTCTCTCTCCCTCCCTCTCTGTCTCTCTCTCCCTCTCTCTCTCTCTCTCCCTCGCTCTCTCTCTCTCTCTCTCCTCGCTCTCTCTCTCTCTCTCCCTCCTCTCTCTCTCTCTCTCCCTCTCCCTCTCCCTCTCTCCTGTCTCCTGTCTCCCTCTCTCTCTCTCTCTCTCTCCCTCCTCTCTCTCTCTCTCCCTCGCTCTCCCTCGCTCTCTCTCTCTCTCTCTCTCCTCTCTCCTCTCTCTCTCCTCTCTCTCTCTCCCTCTCTCTCTCTCTCTCTCTCTCTCCCTCGCTCTCTCTCGCTCTCTCTCGCTCTCTCTCTCCCTCTCCCTCCCTCTCTCTGTCCCTCTCTCGCTCTCTCTCTCTCTCTCTCTCTCTCTCTCTCTAGACACGTGTGATAAAATTTCTTGCAACTCAGACGGTTGAAAGGGTGGATGAACTCTCTCTCCCTCCTGCCTCCCTCCCTCCCTCTCTCTCTCTCTCTCTCTAGACACGGGGTCTGAGCAGTAAGTACGTGTACTTATGTAGGTAGTTACCAGTAAATTCTAAAATTCTTGCTTCTTCATAAATTCTATAAATTCCATGTACTTACTCAGTTATCAATATGGCATTAATTATTTATCAGCTGGTGCCATTTACGGATAAGAAGATGCTTGCTTACGAACTCTGCATCTGGTTCGGCCACCTATGCTAACTAGCAAGTAGTTCCACTATAGAACAGTAGACGAGTGTATTGTAATGGGCAACTCATCAAGAGTAATAGTTAATGCCCCTTCAAAGACCCGCTTTTTGAAAGCCACTACCAGAAAATAACTTCTCAAGTCATTTACATGACAATGACTTAAGGCTCAGGGCAACACAATTATGAATTTTATTTATGGTACTTCTAGCGCATAGGAACTCAGTAACATTTGTATGTTCAACATCATTAGGACACATTGCGTAGAAGACCTTAATAGAAAGTTAGACACCTTTATGCATGAATGAATAACAAAATTCGAAATGCATATAAAGAGTAATTATACAATATAGGTGGATTAGATACAGATGGTCATCATTTAATTTATTAATCTCAGCATGAGATTGCACAAATCCAAGGGGACAATCAAATCTTATGTCACCAAGTTTGACTTCTTTTTTATGGAAAAGAAAAGTAATTAAAAACTTTTGTTGAGGAAATATGAGATTTGGTAAGACTATCTACTAAGAGAAAAGTAATTAAATTTACTAAGATGAAAAGAGAGTTAAATCAAGAAACTTTGCCATGACATTCTCCATTTAGATTTTACATATTTCATGTTTTGAAAATAGTATTATTTAAGCACATTTAATTTTTTAGCATTTACTAGTATCTTAATGGGTTTAATTCTTTTAAATATATAAAGCCTCCAATGTTAAAGTCATATGAATAGTTGATGAATACATTTATTATGGTGCATTAATTCGTGTCCAAGGCTCTAATAAAGATAACACCTCAAACTTCAAAATTATGTGAAACAATTACAAATCATATGTAACTATTTCACTATGCTGATGAATGAACTAATGTTCTTGTGTATGGAAACATTAATATAAATTTGAGGCTCAATAGAGTGTTAATTATTTACATGAAATCAACTTATGTCAAAGGTTGATGATAGCATTG